ATTACTGCAAAAAGATTCCTTGTTCAAGGTTACTAAATCTCCCAATGATCATTTCCCCCAATAAAGTCACAAAATGACGATTGTTTTGGTAGATTTCAGGCTAATGGAAACCATTGTCCATTGATTTTTTACCTTTACTTTAATCCCCTGTTTATGACGTGATGAAGCCATTCAGTGTATCGTAAATTATCTGGGCTCACTTTTGTATGTAGTTCCGGGTCGCTCGTTTCGCTTCAGTACACCACGTGCTGCTGCTATTTTGTTTACCTGGCGTTACCATGGTACATTTGTATTTATCTACACAAGACGTGAAGACGTTACACTTAAATGGTTCTGTTGTGACGTCATGCATGACTGAATAGTTGTAGCGGATAAATAATTTACAATAAACGGTGTTATCACATGTCTTTGCGAATTTTTACCGTTATAAGTATGAGTAGCCGCCTGAGTCTACATGTAAAGAGTGATAATGTTTACCGTAATTAGTATTTGTGGCCCCTGTGTCTACATGTAAAGAGTGATAATGTTTACCGTTATTAGTATTTGTGGCCCCATGTATCTACATGTAAAGAGTGATACTGTTTACCGTAATTAGTATTTGTGGCCCCATGTGTCTACATGTAAAGAGTGATAATGTTTACCGTAATTAGTATTGTGGCCCAACGTATCTACATGTAAAGAGTGATACTGTTTACCGTAATTAGTATTTGTGGCCCCATGTATCTACATGTAAAGAGTGATAATGTTTACCGTAATTAGTATTTGTGGCCCCATGTGTCTACATGTAAAGAGTGATACTGTTTACCGTTATTAGTATTGTGGCCCCTGTGTCTAAATGTAAAGAGTGATACTGTTTACCGTAATTAGTATTGTGGCCCCTGTGTCTACATGTAAAGAGTGATAATGTTTACCGTTATTAGTATTTGTGGACCCATGTATCTACATGTAAAGAGTGGTAATGTTTACCGTTATTAGTATTGTGGCCCCTGTGTTTACATGTAAAGAGTGATAATGTTTACCGTTACTAGTATTTGTGGCCCCATGTATCTACATGTAAAGAGTGATGCTGTTTACCGTAATTAGTATTGTGGCCCAATGTATCTACATGTAAAGTGTGATAGTTTTTACCGTAATTAGTATTTGTGGCCCCCGTGTCTACATGTTAACTCTGTAATTATCATGTACATCGTAACATAAATTGATATTATTTGCTGCTCATGTGTTTGTCTATGTCAACAAGGGCGTATCGCCCATTTATGAAATTTGGTATGAATAATTAAAACGTCTATTGCCCAAAAGAAAACAAGGATGCAAATATGTTAAACAAATACCACAGGAATAAAACACATCCATCATCGTTAGTCGATCAACCATATTGTGTGTATATATAATGAGTGTTACTGTATATATTGTGTGTATATATATATTGTGTATAAATATTGTGTGTGCTTATACATGTCTGTCTTCTGCATCTTTTTATGTTTATATGAGAAAACGTCGCAGTCGGTTCCTTGATCCGGATATAGATAGTTTTGAAACATTCCCGCAGTGAAATTGTATTTTAGTAAATAGTTGTCTCGTTGCTATATACCGTTTAATGGAGCATTACTAACGTTTAATGACTGGGAGGATATGATATTAGGTCTATATTCCAGTGAAAATGCTGGTAGGAGGCAAGGTACACGAGGGAAATAGTTGTCAAAGGTATTTTAAATAATGTCTGTATTTGAAAAAACCCAGTCATTAAACAAAATTAACTACAAAATACAGAAGATAACCGAAACATTTACTATTTCCGTTAGAACTCTATACAAGGTGGCTCTAAGATAGAGTACCCACCACGATGTTTTTCGTCTTATCCGTGACACATCATTGTTACTGTCCCTAGTTAGGGAAAGATCAACTCCTCCGTTCTCCGTTTTCCGCGTTATTTTAGTTCGTAACAAACGTAGGTTCGAAACGAAAGTGTGTACAGAAAAGTAAAAAAATAAAATAAAAATGCAGCTTTGAATCAATAAGCTTACATCAAAGGGGACCTCGCTCCTTCACCGGCACGATCACCAAATATTGAAATAAAAAGTCCAGGTCTCTGTTGCTCAAAGGTTGGTTAAAATTATTCAGTGGTTAGGGGGAATAAAACGTAATACAACAACACTAGGGGTATCTTATATCATTTTACTGCGATGCAGTTGTTGAGGCGTTATTTTACCTTGAAGGTCATTGTTTGTTATTAGTCACAATTAAAGATTTTTACTTTCTTCTGGTTAACCAACTTATGAGCTCTTGGGGTCAGGTCGACAACTCAAGATAGCAATTTGCGTTTAAAACGAGAAACAAATTACCTTAGAATATTAGGGTAATTTTAAATTAAAAAAACTTCATGAAACACTTTAAAAGAAAAAGAAAAAGAAAAAGAAAAAAAAGAAGATATATCTATATATGACATTTACTGAACACAGTATGTGGGTTGACAGTTGACGGGTTAGGTTGTTAGTGAAAGTGGTGCAGTGTGAAAGGATTGTCTGACCAACTTTCCAGACAAGGAAGTTATGTTACTTATTAATCTTAATTCTATGGTCGATTGGTTCTAGTATACTATATAAGTAGATGTAGATTCTTTGTGCGTGTTTCTCCAGCCTAAGAACGCTTAAATTACGTTTTAATTACACACCGGTCCGTGTACTTTCGACTAGAATTCCATATATCAATGATCCCTATTGTGTGCGACTAGTCAGCGAATGCGCATGCAACTTCCTGGTGCCTTTGTTAGCTGTGCAAGCAGGTACAAGTAAATAATTCTAAACCAGCTGAAGTGATACAACATTCTGTGGCACTTAAACACACCAATAATTCACTGTAATGAACATAGAATGCGTTCTAATATTTGTTATCAATATCAAAAAGTTCAGAACTTCCCATAAATTTGGAGCATTGAATTTAAATAAAAATGGTTAGTATTCCGAAAGCATAATGAAGAGTTTTCAGGAAGCGAGCGCCCTGCTCTCCGTGTTGTATAATAAGAGTTACAATTTATTTGGCATTTTTCTGATGGTAAGAGATGCTTGCCCATTAACTATGACAAAGGCTATTTTAATTCTAATTACCTTTTCACCGAAAAACACTCAACAGGGACTGGAACGACTCTCTTGATTATAAAGAAGATAGGGAGCTTATAATCCACTGCGCTACCGGTTATGATAATTGCTATTGTATAGTTGTGGTTTTAATTGGTTGTTTGTCACTTTCCTGCAACATTGCGGCGGATAATTTCAAATCACTCTAACTCCCTTATTTGGTCTAATGGCTGTTAATGTGTACAGAGCAAATGAAATAAATTTAAAAGGCAAGACAAGACGAGACAAGATTTTATTCTTTTAAACCACAATTTACATGTGATATTAAGAAAATATACAATGGGTACATTCAAGATAGAGAACGTGCTGTTTTAACCAGGAGACAACCTTCCAGTGTCTATACAATAGAAGAGGGACGGTACTCTCTACTCTAACCTGTAATTATCTGTAAGAGGTCGATCCCATCAAATCCAGATAGTATGTAGTTGTGTACGCTAATAACCGCAGATGACGAAACAAATATTTATTTGTCCGTGTGTTTATTTAGACGTCACCAAAACATGACCCGTCATTAAAAAACTATAGCAATGTGTTAATAGGACTTAAAACACAAACAAACCAAACCAAACCATGGGACTTACCCTGTTTCTCCGCATTACAGTCGCGTGGCCCCGGTAAAGCTTTCAAAAATCAAGGTTAAGGTTTTGAAGCGCATAAGTGATATTATCAGTTCATAACAAGGTTTCCTTAAAAATCGAACTTCACCGGAAAAAATCGTTATAAATTGGCGCCAAATTAGCTTTCAATGTCGTGGTCTTAGAAACACTTCGGATTCAACCAAGGTTTGTTCCTACCCCGTACAATATTGGGGACGTTTTTCTCTCCCTGAAATCCGTTTATAACCTACAGTAACAGATAACAAAAACTCGTCGTCTTTTTTACGCTCCGTTGACCTGTAAATGTGTGATACCGGTATTAACAGTTTAAGGAGCGTTAAATGCGTTCAAACATGTTCGCTAAATATCTTAATTTCATCTCGTCCCTCTATACACGTCAGCACGGGACAATACAAGTAGGAGTCTAAGGAATTTATTTAATTTCATTTCCTAATAAGGAAATTAGCATTTTTGCTTTAAGGACACATCCAATGTAAGGGAGATTTCCCATCGACTTCAATTACGCTTATCCTATTAAAAATCTTAAATGAAGTAAGGAAAATTTGTTAAATTCGGCCAGATAAGATTTCCTTTACTCAACGCCCTGTATAGCATCAGCAGGATTGTTATCAGAAAAAAATACACATATATAATCACATTTCTACGCATATATATTTGTAAGATACTTGAATCAAGGATTTTGACTTAATGTTTTAAAATAATGAGGTTTGAAGTACATCATCTTAAGCTGCCGTGAAGTAATTATAAGATTTCAATAAAAATATTTTCTAATATCACACTCATTATACGGTCCATTCGGTTAAATATCAATATAATATACGTTTGTGTAAGTGTGCTGTGACTCTACGGGTCCAGGCAGGTTCAGGTGTATCCTCGTTAATATCAGGTAAAATCTATACCTGTCTATCTACCCTTCCTTCCTTCCTGCTTGGATTAAGACCAATCCTTATCCACACCTAGTCACGGTCAGTCGATCCATCCATCCATCCATCCATCCATCCCATCCATCCATCCACCTATCCATCCATCCATCCGTCCGTCCGTCCATCCATCCACCCATCTTTAAATGAATAAAGAAACCAATCTATCAATCAACTATATTGAAATATCACATATCAGATACATCACATGTTGTTTATAAAGTTTGTTTTGTACATGTAAATTGTGATGTGTTTTATGTGACAACCTCCCTCGCATTGTTTTAACATGTAGCCTGTGCGTTACTTATCCCTAAGTATGTCTTTTTCAGGTTAGCTTTACAAACATACAAGATACCCCTGGGGGCCAGGAACTGCTGCTGAGGGTATACGGCTTCCGCTTCACTCGTGCGCATGACCAAGGTATTTTTAGCTAATCTAATTCCGTGCTCAAACAATACAAATTTCGTATTTATTTTGAAACTTTTAAGGCATGCGTTTATGTTCTGCAGTTATTAATAATAAAATAAATAAATTAAACTTGAATTATTGTCATAAATGAAAAATTCTATGATCAATTTTGTTAATTTATGAGCTATTATAGAAGTCTTTATTCCAATATTACGGTTTTATAAATATATTTTCACTAACTTGTACCCCGCAGGTGTGCCCGGACATGATTTGGATCTCTCGAAGTGGTAAGTTTTAACACAGATAAAAACATGTCCAATAGACCCATATCCCTGTATAGAGATTTTACCGCCAAAATGATGAAGGGGAAAATATGCGCATGCGCGATGGATGTTTCAGTTTCTGAAGAGCGAGGCGACCTGACCGGTGATGATTAAGCTCGTCACGTCCCCACTATTTACTTACGATATGCAGAAAATTTCAATCGTATAATCACCGCTTCTCATCAGAGCCTGTTTGTTTATAGAAGTGTGTGTAACTTAGTTTTATACAACGAAGAGGTGTATGATTGTGTCTAAGACTAGGGGCACTCGTGTTGTTGTTAACATTCATCATAGACGGCCACAGACATAAGTGAAGACGCTGATCAAGTCCTATGATGAACTATGACACTATACGCGTTCTTGGTTGGTTGGTTGAGGGGTTTTGCGCCTACGTTCCACGAACTGGTAATTTTATACTGCTGCACCTAAAGGTCAAGGTAGTTTCACTAGTTCAAAAAAAGGTAAAGGTCGAGGCCTTGGCATTGAGACTACTTCCGGTTCAAGATACTAGATATATAACATGCAACACTAGCACTGAAGAGCTTTTCTTACGATAGAAGATACGTTCGGTCAGAATGCAACACAATATCCGTGCTTGATTAAGCCTTAAAGGGGACATGCATATATTTGCCATATACAATGAACAAGGGAATTTATAATTACGTTTTCAGTCTATGCAGAGAATTGTAGATATACATGTATATATTCGTCTCTGGTCTATGTAAGCAGGCAATTATGGATTATAGATGTACTTTAATGCAGAGAACATGCTATATGTTTGATCACTGAATTACATTATTGCTTTCCAGGGTTGTAAAATAAATTATCAGCACTTGCCCCGGGCAAGAAGACCTAAGAAATCCACCTGTCCGAACATATTTTCTACTTGCCCAATGTAAAATGTATAATATTATTATATACATGTACAGACAGAAAACAGATTTTTCAAAATAATAGGATTTCTCCTGAAATATTTTAGTCTTTTTTCTCTCTCCCTATTATCAGAGACGTATATATATACGTCTCTGCTATTATAATATAAATTATTTACTATTTAGTAGCAGTGTTGATGTATTTATTTTCATTTTTTTATTATTGAAATATTTTGTTTGCCCAGGGCAAGGGGGGGCCAAGTTTTTGCACTTGCCGGAGCGCTAAAACTGGTTCTCCCGGGTGTCGGGCAAGTGGAATTTTACACCCCCTAGCTGCTATCTGAGTCAATGGTTTATGGAATTAGAGAAAAGTTTAACATTATATCAGACAACTCTGAATAATTTCAACAGCATTCTTTAAAAAAAAATGACTCCTTAGAAACCTAGATTTAGGTGGGCTCCGCCAGACCTTAGCTGATTAATACATTGAATTAATCAAACCTTTTATGACAATGTTAACAAATAAAAAAGGCTAAAGAGAGATCCTAAAAAGAGCTTGTCATAAATTGGCAATTGGTCAAATCCTGTTATGCTACAGAAAAAATTTAATCAAAGGAAAATAACTCATGCAGATGAGTGTTATCATATGGCCCTAAATCAGTACAAGTTCAAAGCATCAGAGTGACCCGCTTATATTTAATTACAATAGATTTGAATCGCCTATGGCATCACCAGGACATTCAATAGACCCTTGAGAATATGTTTTTGTCTCCCCAAAAATATCAGCTTTGACTTGTGGGTATTCTGAACAGGACTAGATCTTTGACTCTTCAAAACTTCAGTGAATAATATTCTAGTTTTAATACACTTCTGATTGCTAAATGTCTAGGGTAAACTGAAATCTGTGATCACATCGTCATATAACACTGTCGTTAAATGTGTCGGTGATAATAAATTTACATCGGCATAGTTAACTATAACAGGGAAATAGCATCGTGTTACGCTGGGTATTTAGCGAGTGTATTTGTGGTTTCAGGTTTTCCTTCGTTATAAGTCCCCACGGCGAGATCTTCCGTGTTTACCACCCTCAGGAGGACGATGAGGTGATCGCCGTCAAGAAAGGCTTTGCAGCACTGCTAGCTGGAAAACTTCACGACAAACATGAGGTACTTTTTATCGAATACAGAACCTTAAAACTGCTGAATTGTACATGTGGTAACTTTTACCTGTCTGTCCATCATCCTATACAAAATGTATACGGCTGTTCAAATTGTCCTCCTTTTCTGTTCCCTGCTTAACGTTCAGCATTTAGGGGAATGACAACAACTGGTTCACTCGTTGTCAGTATAATGTGACGAGGCGGAATGCTGTGCTGGGTGCCTTCGGCATGGTATTTCAGTGAGATAGCACTTTAAAGTAGGAGGCAAGACCACCAACATACCCTGTCTCCTGCATACACACACACAAGCACGCATACACTACACACATAGAGGCACGTCCTTAAATGACCTAAGCTGTTAATAGGACATTAAACAAAATAAAACTAAACTAATCGTCCTTCTCTGGTCCATTGTTTGGCCATCATCCTCTATTGTCTATCTTTAATCAAAGAGTCTAAAGTATCCGACAGCTCTTTCTCAAATTTAATGCATGAGACAAATTGTGAAAACAAGATGGCTGCCAGGTGGACATTTTCGATTTTGACAGTTATCTATATATCAAATTATATTTTAATATATATATCTTTATAATAAAAAATACTTAACATCAGTCACAGTCGGACAAGAATTTTCCTGAGTTTGAACTTTTAGAAAAGAACGGAACAATTTTTGTATTCTGCCTGGGAATATGTCCGACAGTCGCCTTTACAGAACTAAATTGTCACAACCTATGTTATTATAATGAGCGCTCCCTTCTGTTTTCTTAGTCCCCTACCGGTGAAACCGGGGGAGACTATAGTTTTCCTCTCCATCTGCCTGTGTACGTACTTAACACCAATGTCTGTCAGCGCTCTAGCAGCTTCATTCCATGAGGGATTTTTGATCAAACTTCACACAATTATAAAGGACCATAATATCTCGGACAAGTTCAAGTTTCAGGGACGTCTGTCAAGGTCTAGGTCTCCGTTACTTTTTTTTAGAAAATCGTTGTCAGCGCTCTAGCGGCTTATTTCCTTGAGGGAATTTTTAACACCAAAGGGCAACATTTTTATAAATCATTAAAGTTGGTAGAACTGTAGACACTGATGCTATTTCATAAATTTATGTAATCATATATTTTACAGGTCACTGGACATTATGGGGATGATGGGTGGAGCTACAATGTGGAAGAATTTGGACATGAAGGTTTGATTTGTGTATTTGTTTCGTGTTGTATATGTTTGTGATTCTAAAAGACTGTAAAACTTGTAAAGTCAACACCTGTCTAATTCAAAAGGAATAACTTCTACTTGCTGACAAAAATCAAATTTACATGATTAATTCAGTTCCGGTTTTTGAGAGCTGTCAGTGACTAACTAGATAACTGATTGAGTGAAAGTAATTTGACCATTACTTTCACAATGGGAAAAAGTTTGTTCTTTTCCACTTTGAATTTTCCATTTAAAAAAAATCTACATTATTCTGTTTATGACACAGATTGAATATAAACCTTTGATGTGATTAATCAAATGTATTTTGAGTGTATAAAAAGGTGTACATGTATTAAATAGAGAGAAACTTTCTATAACAGTGGCTGGATTGGCTGCTGACACATGTTTACTAATTACAAAAACGTGTTGCCCCAGTCCCTAAAAGCCCAAAATATACTGAATAAGTTTCCTCTAGTTGTTCAAAAAGTCATACCTATTTTCCTTAACTTAAAAAGAGCAGAAGAATAAGGTTGTGTTAATATATCTGTCTCAATAATTTTGCTTCCATGTCATGTCATTTAGATTGATAGAAAATAATCCAGGTAAATGTTTATCAACTTTGATCACCAGGTATCTTTATATATTCATCTTGACAGGTCACCACAATGCTACCTACACGATTTTGCCGCTGTCCGCAGGAACGTCATTCAAGAAGATTCGGCATTCACATCCAGTACCAAATGCTAAAGGAAAATATGTCAAGGTATGGATTGTTTATAAAAAAATTATAACATCAATTTCCTCGTTTTATAATGTCATACGAATTAAGCTACATGACCATGATAGTTTTGTCAGGCTCTGGACCCAGATAGGGATATAAATAAAGACGCCATATTTCAGTTTGAACTGTACCATTGTCAAATATAGACACAAACCGTACTGTATCACATATAATAATGCTACATATCTATTATTGATACATTTGTCAAGTAAAGACAAGTGACACGCATACTTCAAGAAACAAACCTATTTTCATTTTTCCTCGAAAAGGGACCTTGACCCCCAGACGAAAAATTTGAAATATTGATTTCCTTGTTTATACATATTTAAAGTTATATTTATTACAATGATTTTGTATGTGATTTTTTCTTTTGACAGACAATGGACTTCCATGACGACCTTGGCACAATTCACTCAGTTATGATTGAGGAAGACTTTACGTCGCCCACACATCCAAAGGAGTAAGTTTCTGTCTGACGAGGCAATATCGTGTGAGTCACGGTAGTTTAGTGGTAGGACGCCGGGCTCGTGACCGAAGGGTTGCAGGTTCGAGTCACGGTATGGCACTGTGTTGTATTTTTGAGCAAGATACTTTACTCCACTTGTTCCAGTCTACTCAGCTGTAAATGAGTACGTGGTTGGGTAGTGCTTGAATTGTTGAATGCTAGCTGTTCGCGCCGAAATGGCAGCTCTGGCTGTATGCTCCTCAGGGAGTTGAGAAAGATATTGGCTGGTTGCAAAGGTCCTATAACCACTGATAATAATTTGTGAACCGCTTTGAGACGACCTACGAACTACATGTATTATCATTAATAAGGAATCCATCAATTAGGGAAGGCTGAATATTACCTTATTCTAAACAGATAGTGGGTCACAATTTTAACTGTATTGTTCATATACGTTAATGATTGATTTACCTGTGTGTGTTCATATTATCAGTTAATTGTTGATTTACCTGTATTGTTCATATACTTTAATGATTGATTTACCTGTGTGTGTTCATATTATCTGTTAATTGTTGATTTACCTGACATATATTATTATCAGAAATCCAATTTGTACAAATTCACAAAAAGATTTAATTTCTCCAGCTTTGATCCCCACTATGGAATGCGACGAGTAAAGGCCGTGAATAAATTCAGTACCATGGGTAAGTAACGTATAACCAATTGGCTGAAGTAGAAAATTGGTGACATCTGTATTATTCTGATTGGTTATAAACTCCTCATAAAACACAAGTGCATAGATTGAAGATTTGAATTATGTTTCAATGAAGTGTGGTAGATTTTAATTGTACATAGGACTACGATCGCCTTCTAGCTTCATTCTAGGTGGATTTTCCCTTTAGATCAATGGTAGAGTGCCGACTAGAAAGTCTGATAGTGCAGGTTCAATCCCCAGTGGAAGCACACTATTCTTTTTCCTGTTACAGAATAAAGATTGAATGCCAATATTATATCATAAACCTTGGTTTATAGGCCGAATATGGGCCAGTTCCCCTTTCCAATTTTGGCATTATTTTCCCCTATTTCAGTTAAAAAATCACCCACTTATAACTGAAATACTACACCACATAAATATCTGTCTTGGTTCCATTTTAAGCTCACCTGCGCAAAGGGCAAGTGAGCTTATGTCATGGTGCGGCGTCCGTCATCCATCAACTTTTCCTTTAAACAAATTCTTCTGAAGAACAAACCGGCATAGAGCCATGATATTTGACTGAAAATGACCTTGACTTACTTTCAAGGTCACAGCGGTCAAATATGTCAAACTCTTTAAATGACTTCTGAAAAACTGAAAGGTATAGAACCTTCATATTTGGCTGTTGGCTTCCTGAGATAGAGCCCGACAAAATTTGAGAATGAAAATAACCTTGACCTACTTTCAAGGTCACAGGTGTCAAATATGTCAAAAACATCAAACAACTTCTTCTGAATAATCGAAAGGCATACAATTATAATATTTGGCTGGTGGCTTCCTGGGATAGAGCTCACCAAAGTTTGCAAATGAAAATGACCTCAACCAACTTTAAAGGTCACAGAGGTCAACAACTTTTCAAAGGATTTGTTCTTGAAGAACCAAAAGGAATTGATTCATAAGATTTGGCTGGTAGCTTCTTGGGATAGAGCTAACAAAGTTTGAGAAGGAAAATAACATTGACCTACTTAAAAGTTAACAGGGAAAAATGTGTCAAACAACTTCTGAAGAAGAACCAAAAAGCATAGAATCTTATAACAATATTTGGCTGGTAGTTTCAACAGATGGAGCTGACAAAGTTTTGCGAGGGAAATATTTGTAGTACAATATAATATTTAATGAGAACATTTTGCTATGACTGCTTAAATATTCAGGAGAGCGATGCAGGCCCTCTGGGCCTCTTGTTCATTTAATCATCCATCAGTCTCACAACTGAGCAATTTATTTCATTTTCCCTGTGTTGATATTAATTGTCACTGCTGATATTTTATATTATATAATGAACAGCGAGAAACATAATTAAAGATGTAATCCATACCCCCCCCCCCTCTTGTACTCTCCCTTCTTGCTCCGGTCTGCAGCCCTTGCTGGACAGGTCATGCACATACAGTGCATATTTTCCCCTACTTCAAAAAAGGGTTATAACTTTCTATTCCTGCATTAATCCCTGTTTTGAATTATAAATCTGTTGGTGAGAAGCTTTTGATTTGATTACTTTTCAGTCTACCCCGAGATGTCGGCCATTAGCAAAGGTCACCTGAAGTTCCTTACAAGGTACACTGCTGAGGACATATGGACGAGGCCAACTGCGGGGATCAATGTGGGCAGTATCCACATAGACAAGGTATGTGTTTTGATTGAGGTGGATGACAACAATTATATTGTAAATGTCAGCTGGTGAATGAGCTGTTGTCAGTTCAATGTTTGAATTAAAATATTTCAGTTTGAATTTTTTTTTATCTTATCTTCGTATTTCTTGTCCTAAGGTGATTTGATACACAGAATCAAATGAAAGATGGATGAAGTTGCAATATTAGAATAAAAGTGATCCAGGAACAAATACAAAATGTTAACTGAAATGGATAAATTCATTTAGCAAGAAGATTGCCTTATTATTTTGAGACAGACTATCAAAGAGACTGATCTGTGTCAAGACAAAATTATTAGATTTGTAACAGAAGATGGGAAAAAAGGCGCAGCCAGAAGTGGTTCAAACCTGGGACACTACGAAGTCTAGATGGATGCTGTACCAATTGAGCTACCTGGTCGCCAATGATAGACCCATTCCAGTTCTGCTACATTCCACTCCTTTTTCTATTTTGTTGCCTCCGAAGACATAACTATTTAGAACCCAGGTTTGGGCATCTCCTTGCCAAACATACACCCAAGGGTTGGTCACAGGCACCAACGTAACAGGAGATAGTAAAATGTACAGCCAGACCAGGGTACGAACCCGGAACCCTCCAAACTCTAGATGGCCGCTCTACCAATTTAGCTATCTGGTAGCCGACAATCGACCCAGTCCAATTACGCTACCTTTTGAAGATGGTACCTGATGCTTAGGATATTGCACAAACTTGTCACGTCAGGATCATACTGCTGTAGCAGATGAAGAGAACGAGACGACACAAGATTACTCCGAGAAGAAAAATCATTTCAGAAAGTTACGAACATCTAGTTAAGATTGAGAAGTATATATAGTGTAGAAAAACAACATCTTACTAAAATAAAAGAATCTGATTTTGAATTGATTCATATTAATTTCAGTACAATCCAAAAAAGCAAAAAGTGAATGTGGATGTTGCATGGCGAGGAATCCGCGGCAACTTAACCTGCATGTGGAACCAACCAGACCAAGGTAAACGCCTTTGACCTTAATATCTTGAAAGTTGATATTGAAACACAACTCAGACAGGGAGTCCTGCTGCCTTTCTAACGTACACAGGCCCTGAGAAGTTATTTTACTGTTAATTTATGTTATTTCTATATATATTACAAAAACAATTATGGGATGTGGGCAATTTAATAGGGAAATTAAAATGATTCCCAATAATTGTGCAGAGAGGTTTTAACATAAAGAATATAATGTTAGCGGAGAATTTTTTCTGTAAAATGGTATAATGAATATATTTCTTTCTTAAATATTAATTGTAATACCTGTTTGCCATAGTTAATAAGCAAGTAATTTGGCATTTAGAAAAATTCCAAACCAATTGATACAAAAAATATTGTGTGGTATATGCTTCAACATGTCTGTTTTATTTTTTACGCTTATCCTTACTGAACTGACCATGTGCTAATGCAGATTTTCTTAATTTGTTTCCATTTAATATATAAACAATTTTCTTTCTGCAGGCTCGCCAATGTTGAACATCTGTTTCTTCAAGATAGTTGACATCCTGCGGAGTTTACCTGATGCAGAACTGACAAAGATAGCTGAACATTACTTCAACATCATCAGTCGAACGTAAGTAAATAATCGTCTGTGCAATATTCAACACCATCAGTCAAGTGTAAATAAATAGTCGTCTGTGCAATATTCAACAATGTCAGTCGAGTGTAAGTAAAAAGTCGTCTGTGCAATATTCAACACCATCAGTCGAGTGTAAATAAATAGTTGTTTGTGCAATATTCAACACCATCAGTCGAGTGTAAGTAAATAGTCGTCTGTGCAATATTCAACACCGTCAGTCGAGTGTAAGTAAAAAGTTGTCTGTGCAATATTCAACACCGTCAGTCGAGTGTAAATAAATAGTCGTTTGTGCATTAGTTCCTACCTCTGGTTCAACGTTTTTAGCTGATGTAGGGTATAGACGAGAAATAGAGCTCAGGGAAAACAAATCTGTCAGGGTAGGAGACAGCCAGAGTTTCCTCTGGCCCTCAGACATCAGACATTATGGCAGATAGATGTCTGGTATGGGGCCAGAGCACAATACTGTAGGCAAATGTGGAATTCTCCGACCATTTGGTGTCTGAGAGTTTATATATATCGATAAATGGATAAATTTCGTCAGTAGAGTCCTTGATTTTCAATCGTTCAAAATTTACCACCTGAGCAAACACCATTTTGCAGGTCATGTGGTGACTAATCAACAAACCGTACTGATCCGAACCGAAAACAGACAGGAAATCTTGTTTAGAAGATTTCCGGACAACATCTTTTTGTTAATTAGTTACTCCCCGTTACCAAACGGTGTCGAAGAATTCCACGTTTTTATATAGTAGTGTGCTCTGGCGCCACAACAGTCATCTATCTGTCAAATGTCTAAGTCTGGTGTCAGGGCCAGAAGGAAACTTGGGCTAGGTAGGAGAATAATAGAGTGATCTAGACAGAGAAATCATCCCGAGGCAAAGACTTTTGAAGTATAGCACATGGCTTTGTCAAGCATCATCCTGTAGTAGCATCAGAACCAGTTCCAAAAATGCCAGAGAAACTGTAATATGAATATCATGAAAAATATTTAAACCGATATTAAAATTTATAATTAAGACTACAAGATCCACATTACACAATCATCTGAAGATGAGAAACAAGTAAATATCTGTTTGATGATGAGGCATTTTTTTTATGCCAACCAATGCCTGGGGAATACTAATTTATGTTATTTCTATAAATGTTGAACTCTTTCAGTCTAAACAAAAACAAGGCCAACATTCAGACAATTTTGGATGTGTTTGGTGTGTTGTGGACGGACCATGCTCAGGATCTGCTGACCAAACATATCTTCCTTAATTCTGACCCAGACCACGCCCTCATACAACGACTGCTGGTGCATGTGGTGGGCGTCGACACAGTTCCAACAGAGGTGAGATTTTACTGACGTCACAATAGTTTGATCAATGTTAAAAACTAATTTGAATTGAAAAATATTTAAAAAGTACTCACTTTAAACAAAATCAGATATCTCGTATGAATTCTAGTTTTGTAAATTGCTAATTTCCAAGTTGTAAGGTGGCTTGTGTCCAATGCAATGATGTTTACTCTGATTTTAGACAATACTAACAACAATGGAAGACATTGCCTTTAATCCTTGGAAGTTCCCCAAGTCCTTCTATAACCGAGATACGTATCACAGGACTCTACTGGCTCTGGGGTCGGTATCAAACAAGCTGATCAAGGCAGGCTTCAAGGACCGTGCCCTGTGGCTGATGGACAAAGTACATGACATGGTGGGACTGCATGGTGAGTACTGTGAATTGGTAAATTATGTCCCTGCAACAACATAGTGAAGAGGAAGTTAAATGTTTGCTCCCCATCAGTCGGTCTGTACATATGTGTGTCCATCTGTTTATATCAATACTGTATACAGGGAAATGTTCATCCATTCAAACTTTTACCCTTTGTCTGTGAAATCCAAATTCACCCCGGGGTAATTTTACCTTTTATATTTTTAATAACTAATATAAATTATGTTGTTGATTAATGTTAAAAAGACTTTTAACGCTAGATAAAATATATCTTGTGTATATTTGAGTTACCGTGGTAGCTTAGTTCCTTGTTTCCCCTTATCACCTGCTTGTTTCTCCTTTGTTTCCTCATAGCACCTGCTTGTTTCCCCCTATCACCTGCTTGTTTCTACTTTGTTTCCTCATATCATCTACTTGTTTCCCCTTATCTCCTGCTTGTTTCCCCTTAGCACCTGCTTGTTTCCCCCGATCACCTGCTTGTTTCCCTAGATCACCTGTTTGTTTCCCCATATCACCCGCTTGTTTCCCCTGATCCCCTGCTTGTTTCCCCTGATCACCTGCTTGTTTCCCCTTATCACCTGCTTGCTTCCCCATATCACCTGCTTGTTTCCCCATATCACCTGCTTGTTTCCCCTGATCACCTGCTTGTTTTCCCTGATCACCTGCTTGTTTCCCTATATCACCTGTTTGTTTCCCCATATCACCTGCTTGTTTCTCCTGATCAGCTGCTTGTTTCCCCTGATCACCTGCTTGTTTCCCCTGATCACCTGCTTGTTTCCCCTGATCACCTGCTTGTTTCCCCTGATCACCTGCTTGTTTCCCCTGATCACCTGCTTGTTTCCCCTTATCACCTGCTTGTTTCCCCTGATCACCTGCTTGTTTCCCCTTATCACCTGCTTGTTTCCCCTGATCACCTGCTTGTTTCCCCTGATCACCTGCTTGTTTCCCCTGATCACCTGCTTGTTTCCCCTTATCACCTGCTTGTTTCCCCTGATCACCTGCTTGTTTCCCCTTATCACCTGCTTGTTTCCCCATATCACCTGCTTGTTTCCCCTGATCACCTGCTTGTTTCCCCTTATCACCTGCTTGTTTCCCCTGATCACCTGCTTGTTTCCCCTGATCACCTGCTTGTTTCCCCTTATCACCTGCTTGTTTCTCCTTTGTTTCCCCATATCACTTGCTTGTTTCCCCTTATCACCTGCTGTTTTGTAATCGTAACTGTTATTCACTACCACACAGACCCCTGGGAGTACCGAACAAAGCGAGCAGCCATGAGTGAAGCAGAACAGATAGACTATGACAGGAGGCGCGTTGTTCTCTTGGAGACCCTAGGCAATGCACGATTGGACGAATCTTTTGTGTACATAATGTCTCATATCAACACGACAAATTCACCGTGGATTAAACGTGCTGGGTGTCATGCTCTCCGGAAATACAATCACCAAGAGGTGAGATAACGCTACTCTCCGAAATATGCAGAGTTGTTATTAAACTGATCAGATATGTCTTAATAATAATAATAATAATAATTTGAGGTTCTTATATACGGCTTTATCACAACCTAGTTCGTAGGTTAATGCCTCAAAGCGGTTCACAAATTATTATCCGTGGTTAGTTGTTCAATTGGTCAATTGTTCAGAGGTGTTATGCATGCAACATGCATAACACCTCTGAACAATTATGTCATTCAACTATTCAGAGGCATCATTCAACTGTTCAAGGGTGACATCAATTGTTCAGGTGTGTTATTCAGCTGTTCAAGTTTCACATTCAACTGATCAGGTGTGTCAAGCAAATGTTCAGGGGTGTCATTCAACTGTTTTTGGGCTTCATTCAACTATTCAAGGTTAACATGCAGTTGCATTTTTTTGTTCATGGGTGACTGATGTTCACTGATGTCATCAAACTGTTTAGATGTGTCACCAATTGTTCAAGGGTAACATTCAACTTATCAGGTGTGTCGCTCAATTGTTTAAGGGCGTCATTTAACTATTCTGGGTTGTCATTCAACTATCCAAGGGTAAAATTCAACTGTTTAGGGGTGTCATTCAACTGTTCAAGTGTGGTATTCAACTATTCAAGGGTAACATTCAACTCTTCAGGGATGTTATTCATCTGTTTAGTATTTTTTGTGTCTTAATATGAAAATGTATTTGTTCACCATATTAGAATAGAACTGTCTTGGCAAAAGTGGTTTATTTCTGGTTTCTTAAATAGGAATAACGTGCTGTTTGAGCCAACAACTACTAAATGTGTTATGCTGCCTAGATATATGAAGTTTCTTCAATTTGAAGTAATGAATCCTTTATCTTCCTCTGAACAGGCTGCTAATGTTCTACTGAATGCTGCTATAGGAGATGATGATGAGAATGTGAGATACGAGGCCATCCTCTTATACCAGGCCCACCCTAAGTCCAGCGTCATAGCACCAGTAGATAACAGGTAGGCCAGCGTCATAGGACCAGTAGATACCAGGTAGGCCAGCGTCATAGCACCTGTAGATACCAGGGAGGTCAGCGTCATAGCACCTGTAGATACCAGGGAGGTCAGCGTCATAGCACCTGTAGATAACAGGTATACCAGCGTCATAGCACCAGTAGATACCAGGTAGGTCAGCGTCATAGCACCTGTAGATACCAGGTAGGTCAGCGTCATAGCACCTGTAGATAACAGGTAGACCAGCGTCATAGCACCAGTAGATAACAGGTAGGTCATCGTCATAGCACCAGTAGATAACAGGTAGGCCAGCGTCATAGCACCAGTATATACCAGGTAGGCCAGCGTCATAGCACCTGTAGATACCAGGTAGGTCAGCATAATAGCACCTGTAGATACCAGGTAGGCCAGTGTCATAGCACCTGTAGATAACAGGTAGGCCAGCGTCATAGCACCAGTAGATACCAGGTAGGCCAGCGTCATAGCACCTGTAGATAACAGGTCTGCTACAAGTAGGTCTGCTACAGGTAGCTCATCCCTCAAGTTATACACAAATATAGGAGGCTTGTAAAAAAACATGTACTGGTGGATAGTTTAGCAGGTTACACCTTTATTTTTTGCCCCAGACTTTTAACAGGGGGCATATTGTGCCACCCATGCCCGATCAGTCCTTTTCTTATTCCAGTGTCACTTCTCTACCATTGTAGCATTCTGTCATAGCATTACGATTCATTTTTCACTATTTCCATGCATACATTGAAATATCATTTAAAAAAATCACTCACATTGTGAAATGATGAATTACAAAGCAATTTTAACAGAAAAAACATAATAGAGTTACAAAGCCAAATATGATGATGTTGATTCAACTATTGAGTGTGCATTTCAAATATTATTATGCTGGGTTTAGTGAAAACAGTCAGCACTTATTTACAGACTCATTTTCCCCACTTCTGTATACCGGGAAACTTTCGCCCCGTCAAATATTCAACCTTTGCCGATAAAATCCATGTTCGCCTTGTGCTAAGTTTGCTGTTCACAAGTAATTACTAAACATTGTATGTTGTGTACTAATGTTCCCTGTCATGATCAATTCACTCCCAATTGGGAGAGCCAATAAGGCGGAAATTAAACTGGGGGGAACATTTTTTAAGAATCTAAAAGAAATCCTGCATATTTTAATAAAAATCTATTAACTCATTCACCCCTGAAGATAGATTTGAACTCTTCCAATTCATAGGTTGGAATAGTTAACTATGAAATTTCAAGGGTAAATGAGTTAAACTGTGGAGAAAATTTCCCGCTATACAGTAATTTCTATAAAAACTTATTCAAAATTTAATCGTAAGTTTTGATTAAAGATTGTTTTTAGGAATCTTTGTTCTAAAAAACCCTGCAAACTTTCATAAAAATACGTTATCTCCTATGTTAATTGCAACACTTTGATGTTGGTTTTCTTTAACATGTTCACCCTTGAAGACACATTTGAACTCTTCCAATTTAGTGGTTGGAATAGTTCATTATGAAATTATGAAATGATAACTGCTAAATAGTTCCATTAATATCAATAAATGTACTTAAACTGTATCAGGCCTTGTGGAGGATAGAAAAAAATGTACTTCTGCACTTGCATCTCTAAATAAAAACGTTTTGAAATTATAGGGTGCGAACAGCCAATGGAACCAGCATGATTGTAGACCCATACTCAGCTGGAATTTATGATGTGCAGCCTCATAACCGCCGCAGACGGGGTGGGAATGAACCGTTCCTTGAGTTTAACCTGCAGGCGCCAAGTGTAGATTTTCGGAAGCTGCTGGGGTCGGAATCTCTAGGGGCTTCTTTTGGTGTCATCATGGTCAATATGCTTGACATTAATATTGGTGAGTAATGTAAAAGTCGAGCAACAAAATAAAATATAATCTATGCTTTTAACAGTATTGACATAGAACCAAGTCATAGTGGAAAGACACTTTAGGTAATTATATTATACACTGTGCTATGTTTTAAAACATTAAAAATGTACATGGTTAAGAGGGTTATTGCAGTGGGTATTAAAAATGTACATGGTAAAAAGGGTTGTTGCAGTGGGTATTAAAAATGTACATGGTAAAGACGGTTGTTGCAGTGGGTATTAAAAATGTACATGGTAAAGAGGGTTGTTGCAGTTGGTATTAAAAATGTACATGGTAAAGAGGGTTGTTGCAGTGGGTATCAAAAATGTACATGGTAAAGAGGGTTGTTGCAGTGGGTATTAAAAATGTACATGGTAAAGAGGGTTGTTGCAGTGGGTATTAAAAATGTACATGGTAAAGAGGGTTGTTGCAGTGGGTATTAAAAATGTACATGGTAAAGAGGGTTGTTGCAGTGGGTATTAAAAATGTACATGGTAAAGAGGGTTGTTGCAGTGGGTATTAAAAATGTACATGGTAAAGAGGGTTGTTGCAGTGGGTATCAAAAATGTACATGGTAAAGAGGGTTGTTGCAGTGGGTATCAAAAATGTACATGGTAAAGAGGGTTGTTGCAGTGGGTATTAAAAATGTACATGGTAAAGAGGGTTGTTGCAGTGGGTATTAAAAATGTACATGGTAAAGAGGGTTGTTGCAGTGGGTATCAAAAATGTACATGGTAAAGAGGGTTGTTGCAGTGGGTATCCAAAATGTACATGGTAAAGAGGGTTGTTGCAGTGGGTATTAAAGATGTACATGGTAAAGAGGGTTGTTGCAGTGGGTATAAAAAATGTACATGGTAAAGAGGGTTGTTGCAGTGGGTATCCAAAATGTACATGGTAAAGAGGGTTGCTGCAGTGGGTATCGAAGTGTACATGGTAAAGAGGGTTGTTGCAGTGGGTATCCAAAATGTACATGGTAAAGAGGGTTGTTGCAGTGGGTAGGTATCTCTTCTGGTTATTAACCCTTTGACCCCTGTGTAACTTTAGTAAACTTTTCCATGCATTGATCGGGATGAGTCTATTATGGTCTACAGTGATGAAAGGGTTAAACATTTCCTTCTGGTTGGGAAGTAGAGTTTGTATACAGGTCATAATGCACAACCAGTGAAAATATTTCACTGTTTGCGCTACATGAACCTGTATACAGTAGTTTATTGATCACACAACAAGGAACATGTTAAAGAGGATTGTCACAGTGGGTGGGTTTCTCTTATATGGAAGACCATTACTCAGTGCCAATGCTAATTGTCAAATGTCAAATGCAAATTACCAAATTTTAATGTGAAATTCTAAAGCCTAAATAAAAAAAGTCAGATTCTATCACACAATTTCAATGGCCGAGAGGGAAATATATATTGAGCAGAAAACATTCAATTATTTTCCTAGGACCATGTCATCGATTTTTGTTGCAATATTTTTGTACAGCACCTTTGAGCGGTCACATCAAACTAAATGTTCATGACGAGGCTTACGCAAGAGTACATCTCGGCCTTCTGGGGGAAAATCTGGACTTCTTTGTTGCAAGAATTTGTTTTAAAGGAGAAACCAGCTACAACATCAATATTTTACAGGTAACTAATTACAGTATTGCTTTAGTGGATATTTCAACAGTAAAAAAGTCATGACCTCTGTTACATTAGTGCCCAGGTAGACCCGTGTAATATTGTAATATTAAAAAATGTACTCAGCAATACTTTCACAAGAATCATTATGACCCTTGGAAAATATAGGACAAATTCTTTCCTGGAGGGGGAGTATGTCACCTTGGTAAAATTCTAGCCGCTTTCTACCAACTTGGCTAGCTCATTATAAGACTATTAGACTAGAGGTCTTGGGTTCGACTCCAAGTGAAGGCATTGAAAAATCAATGACATCTGTTACACATACAGCATAGTTAAATCAATTGAACTCATTGAAGAATCCAGAAATACACAGTACATGTAAGATATCATAATGAAGCACTACATCAATATACTTTAATTTGTACAGGTGAGAAATAGTTTGTACAGGTGAGGAATACTTTGTACATTGAGAAATAGTTTGTACAATGAGAAATTTGTTGTACAGGTGAGAAATTCTTTGTACTGGTGAGAAATTCTTTGTACAGTCAAAAATAGTTTGTACAGGTGAGAAATAGTTTGTACAGGTGAGAAATTCTTTGTACAGGTGAGGAATACTTTGTACAGGTGAGAAATATGTTGTACAGGTGATAAATACTTTGTACAGGTGATAAATATGTTGTACAGGTGAGAAATTCTTTGTACAGGTGAGAAATTCTTTGTACAGGTGAGAAATATGTTGTACATGTGAGAAATACTTTGAACAGGTGAGGAATACTTTGTACAGGTGAGAAATACTTTGTACATGTGAGAAATACTTTTTACAGGTGAGGAATACTTTGTACAGGTGAGAAATATGTTATACAAGTGAGGAATACTTAGCACAGATGAGAAAATGTTTGTAGAGGTGAGAAATACTTTGTACAGGAAAGAAATACTTTGTACAGGTGAGAATTTCTTTGTACATGTGAGAAATATGTTGTACAGGTGAGAAATTCTTTGTACAGGTGAGACATACTTTGTACAGGTGAGAAATATGTTGTACAGGTGAGGAACAAAAGTTTCAAACATTCAAATATTTTTGATTTACGCTCATCAGCCACACTATGTGTGGAACAAGAGATTCCATGTATATATACATTTATGAAACTCATCTCGAAGTTTTAATTTATGCTCGCCAAGGCTCGCTCGTAAAAATAGAAACTTCTAAGACTCGTGTCATAAAATCTCATGAAATGAAAACTCATTTAAGATCCTGTTTGTATACAAACATTCATGGTGAAAATAATACAGATGTTACTATTTAAAATGTTTTTACGAAAATAACACACAAGATATATCAAAAGCTTTCTTGGAAAATATAGAAAAGGTGTATCTGTTAGCTAAAAACTGGCTGTATTAGTGAGGACAGAATTAGTTAAGTTTAGTGGAACTGGACCGGGTCATTTGCCACAAACATGTAGCTCAATCGGTAGAGTTTCTGTCTAGAGTTTACAGGGTCCCGGGCCTCAATCCTGGTCTGGTTGTGCATTTTCCCTCTTGTTGAAAAGTTACCATTTACCTAGGATTAGCTTGGAGCAGTAGTTGTGTGGAGCAGGTTTTTTTTTGCAGTAAATTAGTGCCATTTTCAGCTGTCAAAGTGAGTCTGTTTTTTGAATGTCTGTATGATCACTGTTTTAGGAGGGAGAAATGAAAAAGATAGCCAAGTTAGCAAAGAATTTTGACAAGTCCATTAAAAATATCGTGAATGCTGTGGAGACGGGTGTAAACCTCTTCAAAGATATCATAGACGGCAAATTCTCCATCAAAGACATTGTCCAGTCTTTTGTGGATGCTCTACAAGAACTTCCAGGCAAGGTGAGTAATCACACTAAACAGAAAACTTCCCGTTAAAGGGAGATCACTCTACATGGAAACTTCTTGGCAAGGAGATTATTACTCTAATTGAAAACCAACACAAATAAGTAATTTAATAGTATCAGAAGTATTCCAAATTAACACAATAATAAGTGGTTTGAAACTTCAATTAAAGGTTTTGAATTTTGATGGATTTGGTGCCAAAAAAAACGAGCCATACCATACATAATACTTTTTAAGTATTTCTTTGACAATTTAAATTTATTAAGTGAACCACCCTATATACACATTGTACATATGTTTGTGCAAACATATGAACATTAACTATAAACAATATTAACAATATGTTACAATTGATGATAATTGTAATAAACTTAAATGTTTTGACTGATGCTATCTATAAGTAACATTGTTTGTTTTAGGTTTGGGATCTAAGGTATCGGGCGGTGAGGGCCATGCATATGTTTGGACAACTGGATGAAAATGAACTTCCGAAATTTCTACGTCCCCTTAGGAATTTGATATACAAGGTCACAACTTTGTACTCTGATATAAAAACTGACGTCTTGAACTTCTACAATGTAAGTTTAGCATTTTTATTAGATTTAATCACAATACTCCCAAGAATAAACCATTGAATGTTTTGTGCCTCTTGCAATGAATTAATATACAATTATGGACTTTTGTGCTGGTGAATATGATGTGATATAAACCTGAAAGAGTGATATTAACCGAGGCGAAGTCGAGGTCAATATCACTTTTTCAGGTTCATATCACATCATATTTACCAGCACAAAAGCCCATAACTGTTTTATTATATGCTTAAACAATAAAATAAAACAAAACAGAACTCAATGTTCTGATTTTCGAACGCGAGCCTCCGTGTAAAATTTAGCCAGGTTTGAATTCAACAGTTCAGCATTGTAGCTTTCGAAGGCATCGTCTAGGTTCTTTTTCTTAAGGTAAGCATGGAGGACATGCACTGCGTGTTCAATGGGCTTTTTTTATGTTAACAACATCTTTATCCTCGAATAGTTTTGATAATGTTCTGATGTAACGGAGGAGAAACGTTCGCCAGCAGCCATCTTCTATTGTTGTCTGACAGATCGCGTTCCAGTCTAACTGCGCATGCGCTAGGACAGGTTCCCGGGAATTTCCATATAGGCTATATTTAGAAATCGATATTCACCGGATAACCAGTCTACATGAGTTTTTGAGGACTGGTCACATGTATAGGATCCGACCAATGTGATTGCGAGAAATGTTCATGCATATAATAAAGTCAGTTGAGGTATAAGTTTCAAGGATATGTATTTTTACATAACCCTCTTGCATTCATACCACCATGAACATTGCAAAATACTCATCAATCATCATGTTTAAACACTGCCTGGAAGAACCTTAAATGATACAAGGTTTTGCTATGAAGTTTAATATTTGTTACTTTCGCGATGCATTTTTGATATATTTATTGTTTGACTGGTGTTATTTCAGACCCTTGTCCAAACCATCACGATCATCATTCCCCAGCAAGCCAAGTTGATCTATGAGGCCATCCTGGATATCATTGATGGTTTCTCTGTTATCACCAAGGATCCAAAGACGGCCATCATGGGAATTGGCAAGGGAGTGGTCACGTAAGTACCGTTCAAGTCTTGTTACCACGGAAACACCCCAAACATGTTTCATTAGTTATGACAATGATATATGTGAACAAACTTAATATCAATCTAACAATGGCAAACAAAAAGCCTTTTATGTGTTGTGTTACAGGGTTAACACAGCTGTAGGGAAAGGTTTGTAAGTCTAGACCTGTTGTTAGGTCTGTGGTATGTTGTGTTACAGGGTTTACACAGCTGTAGGGAAAGGTTTGTAAGTCTAGACCTGTTGTTAGGTCTGTGGTATGTTGTGTTACAGGGTTTACACAGCTGTAGGAAAAGGTTTGTAAGTCTAGACTTGTTGTTAGGTCTGTGGTATGTTGTGTTACAGGGTTTACACAGCTGTAGGGAAAGGTTTTTTAGCCTAGACTTGTTGTTAGGTCTGTGGTATGTTGTGTTGCAGGGTGTTCATTGCTGGTAAGGAACCGCTAACTTACATAGACTAGCTGTAGCAAGTCCCTCTATGGTATGAAGTGTTCAATGTGAATATGATTGTAAGTGAACTTTTTCAGCGTAGACTAGCAGTGAGGTTGGTGGTATGTTGTGTGACAGGGTAGCCATAGCCAGGCACCATGCACTTATTAATGTAGACTAAGGGCCCTTTTTGTGTATTCGGTTGAACCAGTTGGAACGGTTGAATCTGTAAAGAAAACGGCAGTCATAGATCAGAACTGTGGCTGACCTCAGGAATATTCGGCACGTGTAGATTGAGGGGTTCATACGTGCCTTACCGAAACTAAAATGCTGACTATTGCTAGTTTGCCTTATTTCTTTCTAAAACAATGTCAAGCCACGTGTAGATTGTAAGATATGTTATATAATTTAGTGGATGCATGAAAGAAGGACATATTATTCATGATATATTGTTATTTATTCTCTGAAATTTCTAGCTCTGCCTATAGTTTGGTCCAAGTGTAATAGGACGAGGAATAGTCAAAAAGATAATGCCGTCGCTGGGGCTAGAACCCGCGACCTTTGGCTCTCCAGCCCGATGCTCTACCGCTGAGCTACAGGGAAATTCTCTACAGCTGACGCTTGTAAAGCAACCTAATCAATGCACATCTTTTACACAAGTGCGTTTGTTTATCGTGGAATATTTCTGCGCCAATTGGGATACGCGAATGTAACCTAGCATTACCCCAGCAGTAATGCAAGTATTGTATGTTATATGTTGCAGGGTGTTTATGGCAGTAAAAGAGCTGCTGGATGCCAAGAACAAAACGCAAGAGGCCTGCTTCTTCCTAAAAGGTAGTGTGTTTCTCTAAAACCAGGTATTAGGGACATAAATGAAAACTTCTGTGACAATGGGACATCATACCGATTGAATATGTTTTAATTCAACTGTGAAAGAGAAATCGAACAGTATAAAGAAATGTTGATATTAGGATTTTATGTAAAACCACATTAAATCAATGTGTTTCTAAATTTTAAAATATCTGAAGTCATTGAAATGTTTATATTAACCTGTAGCAGAACTGGACTGGGTTGATGGGCGGCAACCAGGTAGCTCAATTGGTAGAGTGTCCATCTAGAGTTCGGAGGGTCCCGGGTTCGAACCTCGGTCTGGCCGTACTTTTTTTGTGCTTCTATTACAAACCACTTCAGATGAGGTTATTAAAAAGCATAGGTTTTATCCAAATGAAAAAAATGCTCCTCTATGATAATGAAGACCATTGCTGTTGATATGTTGGTGGGTGTGTAACTATGGTTGAACATTCGTTTTTAGACCAGAGACCAGATTGGTGGGACTTGGGACAACAGTTTGACATTATTATGGCAATGACTGCAAATGCATCAAATGCCATCCAGGATGAAGGGACAGCATGGGTAAATCAGCCATTCGCCGAGGGAGAGGACCTGGTGGCAGCCTTCACAGGGGGAAAGATGAATACGGTAAAACAGTCAATTCTTTGACACAGGGCATCGGCTTGCATTAACAGTTCATCTAGTTTTTGCTATCTCTGTAATGTCTTAACTCGCTTGGCTGTGTGAAATGATAGGACTAATCAAAAACGCATGTCTCGTTCAATGTTTATTACAGAAACGCGCCAATTCACCTCCTTTAGGAGAGTTCCTAAATACAGTTACAGACTTATCTCCCTTCAGCCATACATTACATCATTGTCTCTCTCGCCCATCACATACCATACATACAACACCTCTGTGTTGTAATTTTAAACTAAATAACCAATACAAGGTCACAGAGGTCAAGGAATAACTAAAGCAAGGTCACAGAGATCAAAGTCAAAAGTCAAGGTTACAAAAGTGTCATACAACATGTACTAATCAAGGGCATAAAGCTTGTCAAGTTGCTTGACCCATACTTCTGTACATAATCCAAAAACTGCCCTGAATTAAAAAACGTAGCTAATGAAACGTAAGTACGCTCTATCCTGTACTACTTCATGGCGGAGCGTGAAAATATCTTCAATATTGTGGACTGTTACAGAGTGTGGCCAGACAACAGCTATTGGAGAATCTGACAGCAATTAGAGATGAGCTACTGGAGCCATTTGCAGATCTCCGCACACTGGCCAAGAACTTCCTCCTTGAGTATGGAAAGGTGTTTACTCTAGTCAAGAGCATCAAGCAGGCTTACACCACACTGAAGGAAGGGTAAGGCTACTACAGTTATGAGGAGTCCAGTATAATGAAGACGAGGTCCACAGTGAATAGTTTCAGCAGAATTTTATTGTTTTGTTTCTCCACCATGCTCCTTGCCCTATATACCACAGAAGGAATATGCCTTTGACCTTTTACTATGATTTGACATTTAATGGTATGGATAATTTTTATGTGTGATACATTTTTTTGTTAAATTGGCATATAAGTCAGTTTCCCATATCCTTTGTTTTAAAACTAATTTGTAATTAAATTCAGGTAAATGATAATATTTGTGATTTATTTTCAGCTATGATAAGGATATCACTGATAGATTATCTTCAATGTGTTTTCAGGTACGATTTTGCTCGATCGATAATTGATAGATTATTTGGCCCAAAAGCTCACAAAGATTTCCCACGCACAACGCGACTGGACGGTGGAGGCTGTGGTAAGGATGGCTTTTACCCTTCAAAGCTCGACAAAAGTGGACAGGCTGAATACGAATTTGCCGGAGTTGACCTCACTGTCGAGGAGGACATAAATGTAAGTAGAACATCAAAAACAGGAGGAATTCAGTGGTTGCATCAATTCCATTTTTAAATCGAAATAAGCAAAACAATTACAAGGGAACGTAATTTTTGCATATTCCTATGCATAACTAAACTAATGTTTTGACTGCATGTTTTGAGAAAGATTGAGTATCAGTTTAGTTATTGTATAAAGCTTTTATTTCATGTTACCAAATTTTCAAATATTTTACCTAAAACAAAGGATCATTTGTGATTTTATCAGACTACAAATATGTTAAGTATAGGGAAAATGAAATATATAGGAACTATGATGTGTGCTTTTAAGAACACTGGAATATGAAAATTATTTTACTGATGTCTACAGTTATGTCAGAACACTGAATCATGTGAATTATTTTACTGATGTCTACAGTTATGTCAAAACACTGAATCATGGGAATTATTTTACTGACGTCTACAGTTATGTCAGAACACTGAATCATGGGAATTATTTTACTGACGTCTACAGTTCTGTCAGATCACTGAATCATGGGAATTATTTTACTGATGTCTACAGTTATGTCAGAACACTGAATCATGTGAATTATTTTACTGATGTCTACAGTTATGTCAAAACACTGAATCATGGGAATTATTTTACTGACGTCTACAGTTATGTCAGAACACTGAATCATGGGAATTATTTTACTGATGTCTACAGTTATGTCAGAACACTGAATCATGGGAATTATTTTACTTACGTCTACAGTTATATCAGAACACTGAATCATGGGAATTATTTTACTGATGTCTACAGTTATGTCAGATCACTGAATCATGGGAATTATGTTACTGATGTCTACAGTTATGTCAGTACACTGAATCATGGGAATTATTTTCCTGACGTCTAAAGTTATGTCAGAACACTGGATCATGGGAATTATTTTACTGATGTCTACGGTTATGTCAGAACACTGAATCATGTTAGTGATTTTACTGATGTCTACAGTTATGTCAGAACACTGGAATATGAAAATTATTTTACTGATGTCTACAGTTATGTTAGAACACTGAATCATGGGAATTATTTTACTGACGTCTACAGTTATGACAGATCACTGAATCATGGGAATTATTTTACTGATGTCTACAGTTATGTTAGAACACTGAATCATGGGAATTATTTTACTGATGTCTACAGTTATGTCAGAACACTGAATCATGGGATTTTTTTTACTGATGTCTACAGTTATGTCAGAACACTGAATCATGTTAGTGAATTTACTGATGTCTACAGTTATGTCAGATCACTGAATCATGGGAATTATTTTACTGATGTCTACAGTTATGTCAGATCACTGAATCATTGGAATTATTTTAATGACATCTACAGTTATGTGAGAACACTGAATCATGGTAGTGATTTTACTGATGTCTACAGTTATGTCAGAACACTGAATCATGGGAATTATTTTACTGACATCTACAGTTATGTGAGAACTCTTAATCATGTTTGTGATTTTACTGACATCTACAGTTATGTCAGAACACTGAATCATGTTAGTGATTTTACTGATGTCTACAGTTATGTCAGATCACTGAATCATGGGAATTATTTTACTGACATCTACAGTTATGTGAGAACACTGAATCATGGTAGTGAATTTACTGATGTCTACAGTTATGTCAGAACACTGAATCATGTTAGTGATTTTACTGATGTCTACAGTTATGTCAGAACTATCAATGATGGGAGTGATTTGAATAGTGTCTACTGTCAGAAGACTGACTTCTGGGAGGATTCATTGCTATCAAGCTTTACGCAAGATCTGTACCCTATTACAGGTGGTGGCCCCCTTCCCAGGTTTGATTTACATCACAGACAATGCTAACGAGGTGAGAATCAATGCCACAGGTGGCTCGCTCCGGGACATTGTCATTGTCATTACCAACGTGAAACCGAATAGCACCATTCTGAAGGTCACGGACTTCAGCTACATTGAGAAGCGGGTACGTGTTACATATTACTACGACAGAATCTTGTTCAATTAAATTTGAGTTTGAAATTAAAGTTGAAGTTCCGATAAAATCCTCGTGTGGCATATTTTCTGAATTCTTTGTAGTGAATTTGTCATAAAGAAAATTTGAGTGGGAATGTTATCGTTTTGACTCTTTGAGTTGATCAAAGTATGGAAACAGTCAAATCTCGTTATCTCGAAGTCGACTGTGTTTTATTTGTATCAAAGAATTAGTAAGTGACAAAATGAAATTCGAACACTATGCAGTAGACGATGTTTTGATGTTGGTTTTACGCTACCAAAACCAATATCTTACTTCGAGGTATCCAAGCTTTTCCACTTTTCAGGATTCAAATTATCAGTTTGGCCGGGACCAGAGAAATACTTCGAGATAAACAGGGTCTTCGAGTTAAAAGAGTTCGAGATAATGAGGTTCGACTGTATTTTCATATAAGCAATGTTTTTAAAATATATGTATATGCCTGTGATATTTTTTCACTAAGTTAATCATTTCCACTTTTGGATTTGAGCTGGAATCCATTCAATAATCAGTCCATTTATCTTTTAACGTTTTTGCTGGATTTGTTTTGGTAGGTTGCTGGAGGCCAGGTGGTTGGTAAATCAGTACGGTCTCCATGTACTGGCAACAACCACATCCATTTCGCCATGTTCAAGCCTGGAGGTCTCCTTAGTAACGACATTGCGCCAATCGATCCCAAACGGTTCCTTGAGCCACGATTCCCAGGCGTCCCGAAATGGATACAGCATTGTGACGATTACCGACTTGTATATAAGGTTAAACCCCAACTCTATGTTTAGATTTTTTGTTTGTTTGTGTTTGACGTCCTATTTACAGCTATGGTCATTTAAGGATAAGCCAAGTTTTGGTAATGGAGGAAAGTCAGAGTTCACGAAGAAAAATCATCGATTTGCGGCCAGTAGCTGGCGACTGCCCCACGTAGGCCTAGAACATGCAACCCAGTGGTGGAGGGCTAGTGGTAGAAGAATGTCAAAGGCCTTAACCATTTGGCCACTGTGGCCCTTGTTTATAGAATTATCTTTCTAAGTAAATAAGTATTGTGTAAAACTATGAGATATAAATGCACTCTCATTACACTATTTAACTGTAGAATATCAGTAAGCAGCACAGCTGTGTGGCTTGTTAGTAGATTTTAATGGAGGGATGTCACAAATATAGTCCAATGAATTGGCTCCATTCAAAGGGTGTTTACTAAATTAAGTTGTTTTAATGAAATTATTTTCTTTTTTTGTTGTTCAAAACAGTTTGAGACAATTGCAGAAGGAACCATTGTTGGTTTAGGGGGACAAGGTCAGAACAACACAAGTCCTAAGATGAATAATACGAATGTGAAGCCATTACCACAGCTTCCAAAAGCTAGTGATCCTGGCCTGCCTGTTCAGTCCGTCAAAGGTCAGTGCATTCTTACCTAGGTAATGTTAGACTCTTACATGTGTAATGTTAAATTTGTACCTGTGTAATGTAAAATTCTTACCTGTGTAATGTTGAATTCTAGTACTTAACCTGGGTGATGTTAGATTCTTACCTGGGTAATGTTAAATTCTTACCTGGGTAATGTTAAATTCATACCTTGGAAATTAATGTTAGATTCTTACCTGGGTAATGTTAAATTCATACCTGGGTTATGTTAGATACTTACCTGGGTAATGTTAGATTCTTACCCGGGTAATGTTAAAATCCTTACCTGGGTAATGTTAGATTCTTACCTGGGTAATATTAAATTCTTCCCTGGGTAATGTTAAATTCATACCTTGAAAATTAATGTTAGATTCTTACCTGGGGTAATGTTAAATTCTTACTTGGGAAATGTTAAATTCATACCTGCGAAATATTAGATTCTTACCTGGGTAATGTTAAATTCTTACCTGGATAATGTTAAATTCTTACCTTGGAAATGTTAGATTCTTACCTTGGTAATGTTAGGTTGTCAGGTTCTTGCGAGGTAAGGTTACATTCTTACAGCCTCATGGGCCTAATGTTCTTAAATGTCAATGTGCTTATGTAAAATTGAAACATTTTCACACTTTAAATTAAAAAATTGCAATATATCCTTTGATCAGAAAACCCAGCAGGAATGTACACAAAGAAGGAAAGCCAGCCAACACTTGCAGATGACCTTGATCAGGGGATTGAGGACCAATGTCCAAGTCCAACCACCTACAATCCGGGTACATCTCCCACAACGACCACCACCACCACAACTGTCGCCCCGGCAACCAAAAAGAAACCAGGTAACAACACCGTCATAGTAAGGGGGAAAACAAATTTATCCGCTGGTGTTCCTATTAAAGGATGGGTGTCTGTTTACATTCTCTGTGTCTACAACGGGTACAAATTAGTTTTCAACCTACCTTAGTTGCCCCCCCCCCCCCCCCCCATCACCACCACGCACACACACACACACACACACACACACACACACACATAAAAAAAAGGAACAAACAATAAATAAACTTCGGGACATAAGGGACCATAAATAGCTCATACAGACTGTTGGATAGAAGCTTTAGGACCAGACTATAAAGGGACCATAAACAGCTTATCCAGACTGTTGGATAGAAGCTTTAGGACTAGGCCATAAAGGGACCATAAACAGCTTATTCAGACTGTTGGATAGGAGCTTTAGGACTAGGCTATAAAGGGACCATAAAAAGCTTATTCAGACCTTCGGATGACAGCTTTCTGACCAGGCTATAAAGGGACCATAAACAGCTTATTCAAACTGTCGGATGAAAAGCTTTAGGTCTAGACTATATAGGGACCATAAACAGCTTATTCAGACCATCGGATGAAAGCTTTAGGACTAGGCTATAAAGGGACCATAGACAGCTTATTCAGACTGTTGGATAGAAGCTTTGGGATTAGGCTATAAAGGGACCATACACAGCTTATTCAGACTGTTGGATAGAAGCTTTAAGACTAGGCTATAAAGGGACCATAAACAGCTTATTCAGTCCGTCGGATGACAGCTTTCGGACCAGGCTATAAAGGGACCATCAACAGCTTATTCAGACTGTTGGATAGAAGCTTTAGGACCAGACTATAGAGGGACCATAAACAGCTTATTCAGACTGTTGGATAGAAACTTTGGGACTAGGCTATAAAGGGACCATACACAGCTTATTCAGACTGTTGGATAGAAGCTTTGGGACTAGGCTATAAAGGGACCATAAACAGCTTATTCAGACCTTCGGATGACAGCTTTCGGACCAGGCTATAAAGGGACCATAAACAGCTTATTCAGACTGTTGGATAGAAGCTTTAGGACTAGGCTATAAAGGGACCATAAACAGCTTATTCAGACCGTCGGATGAAAGCTTTAGGACTAGGCTATAAAGGGACCATAAACAGCTTATTCAAACTGTCGGATGAAAAGCTTTAGGTCTAGACTATATAGGGACCATAAACAGCTTATTCAGACCATCGGATGAAAGCTTTAGGACTAGGCTATAAAGAGACCATAAACAGCTTATTCAGACTGTTGGATAGAAGCTTTGGGACTAGGCTATAAAGGGACCATACACAGCTTATTCAGACTGTTGGATAGAAGCTTTAGGACTAGGCTATAAAGGGACCATAAACAGCTTATTCAGACCGTCGGATGAAAGCTTTAGGACTAGGCTATAAGGGACCATAAACAGCTTATTCAGACTGTTGGATAGAAGCTTTGGGACTAGCCTATAAAGGGACCATAAACAGCTTATTCAGACCGTCGGATGAAAGCTTTAGGACTAGGCTATAAAGGGACCATAAACAGCTTATTCAGACCGTCGGATAGAAGCTTTAGGACTAGGCTTCGAGGAACATGACACTGTCATAGATAGCTACATTTTGTAAGGGTAGAAAAAAAAAACATCTCTGGCCTGGATGGCAAATTGACCGGTTAAAATATGCGGATCGCTTTGGCCTCTTGTGTTATTTTTTCCAGTAAAAGCCATGTATTTGGATATTTTCAGGTCTGTTTTCCAATTTACTGAAGAAAGCTGACAGTTTCCTGAAGAAGTTTTCATTGCGAAGATTAAGAATGGGAACCATCATTGAGTTCCTAGATCGTCTAGGCATGGATGAAAGTAAAGAGAAAATGGCAAATGTCATAAAAACTATCAAGGTAGGATATTTGTTCAATGATTGCATTGAACTTTCATTTTAATTAAGTCATATTTCTTGAATGAAAATTAGTATAGTTATAATTGTATAGAGTGATTTTTTGTTTTTTATATGCAGTTCAATCAGAAAATACCTTACTCGATGCTGAGATCAGGCCTAATGCCTCTTTAGATACAGATATAGGACCATTTTCAAAGACAAAGTTTTCCAGATTGGAATGCTAGAAACACTTTGCTTTTTTTAAATATAAAGTGCATTTGGATATATTATGATTCTACAGCAACATATCAAGAGACATAGATATTTAATAGAACCTAAATGTATGAAATTTAAATAATCTTAAGATGGTTTATGCAGACAGATAAATTAACATTATGAAGTTATTAGCTTGGTGTGTATGCAGATTTCAGTTATTGTAAATATTGCAAGACAAGGATTTGTTACGAATAATTAAGAGAGAAATACTGTTTTATCACATAATGTACTGTGTTTTCCAGTGAATATACCCATGTATTTTTTTTGCGTATCAACCCATGTAATATGACCTATCAGCCCTGTGATTGGTTGTAAGTTTCAATTGTGACGTCACACCTAGGACAAGAACATGACAACCCAGATTTACACACTGGAGTCAAAATGGCGGCTTTTTACATACTAAGGTTGCAAAAAAAGTTGTCGTTTTACGCGAATAAATGCCAGAAATCTTGATTATGTGATAAAAAGGATCTTAGTCTCATTTTCATTTCATATGAAATTCAGGAAACTTGTCACGAATTTTTCATTTTAGCTCGCCAGAGACTCGCTAAATTGAAAAATTCTTTGACTTGTTTCATAAATCTCATATGAAATTGAAACCCATGTAAAATCCTATACATATTTATAATAGAGACTGTTTATAATGTGTTAACAGAGAATCATCGACAACAAACCTTGCCTCAGCCCACAGCAGATGTCTGACGAACAGCTACGAATGGAATTACAGAGCAAGGGCATTAACTCTACCGGCAGTCGTGAAGTCCTACGAGCAAGACTGCTCAAGAATGAAAACAGTAAATTAAATATTGATTTGCACAAAGCTTAGACTAGATATGTTAGTTGCTTAATAAAGATCGAGAACCCTATTTTTTTTACAGTGTCAGAGGTCAAGGTCACTGTTTCTAAAAATAGAGTTTTACAAAATGATTTATTACCTGTCTGGATGCTGACTTTGGAATGAATGATGGTACAAAGCTAAACGTGGTATGTGGTTTAGGATAGGGGAGAGGAGGAATCCTTTAGATTTAATGCCTGTTTGTTTTTGAAAAGGTTGAGGTTAAGGTTATTTTTGTTCAAAAAAATGAATGTTTTCTGTCCTAGCTTGTCCTTCTGCTAACTGAATAATGTTTCTTAGAAAATGAGACATATGTGGGTTACTCTCACTGCAACTTCATTATTTTTTGCTGTTGATATAAAGCTATTATGTCTGTTTTATATGTGTATGGTACAAAAGTGGTGGGACTCTACCTTAAGATGTAATGCTATTATGTCTATTTTATATGTATATGGTACAAAAGTGGTGGGACTCTCTACCTTAACTCATTCATCCCTGAAGACACATTTTGACTCTTCTAATTCAAAAATTGGAATAGTTCATTATGAAATTTCAGGGGTGAGTAAGTAAATTTATAATGATATAATGTTTATTTACTTTCAGAGTGCCCTCTGCTGTCCTTCACCATGCCAAAGAATGTGTACTGCACATTCCAAGAAAACTGTATGGGAGTCGAGTGCTGTATTAACGCCAAGATCTACATGTTCCTCAAAGTGTTCAAAGTCTGGGCACGATTCAACCCCTGTGAATTTGAGTTCTCATTTGGACTTGAAGATTGGAACCACACCTTAACAATGGAGAGGGTCTCATTTGATGGTGAGTTTCCTTTTCTGGTGACTTTGGTCCGTTTAATAGAAAGGTATACTGTGATATACTATAAACGTCTATCCGGCGTCAACTGTTTACTTTAAACAACTTCTTCTGAATAACCAAGAGGCCCAGGTTGATCATGTTTGGCCAGTAGCATGCTGGGATGAAGGGGCTACCAAGTTTGTTCAAATGAATGACCTTTGCCTATATTCAAGGTCACAGGGGTCAAACATGTTAAATCTCGCAACAACTTTTTCTGAATAACCAGAAGGCCCAGGATGATGATAATAGGCCAGAAACATGCTTTGATAAAGGGCTACCAAGTTTGTTTGAATGAATGACCTTGTCTTAAAGGCCTAGGGTGTTGATATTTTTTTAATAATAAAAAAAAACAAAAAAAACATCGTGACTAGGAGCTACAGTTCCCGCAGCTTCAGGTCAGTAGTTCTTGGGAAAATCTTTTGAGATGGGTCTTCATTTTGTACTGTTTTTTACAGGTCTAGAGGATGAGATCTATACAGGACTAAAGTTGGATATCCTTGGTGGTGTGGAGCTGGTGATCAAATACAAGATTCAGAAGACAGACTACGAAACAGTGGCGGACTTTGGGATGGGGTTATGTAGTATGTCTGATCCTACACAGTGTCCACTCTACTTCCCCCTCCTAGACAAGGCTGTTCTTCCCCTCCCGACTTGTTACCCTAACGGCACCGTTGTTTGGCCACAAGGTAGGTATCTCCATCAACTCTGGTATCAGGCCCAAACTTATTTACCTCATGATACTGTCCTATGGCCCAGAGGCTATTGATTTAAATAACACTATTGCCTTGCCAAGGAGTCAGTGATACCAATGCTTAAGTTTGGCCTTATAGTAATTGATCTCAACACTGTTGTCTGGCACTAAGGTTAATGAAACCAAAATAAACACAATTGTTTAGGCAAAAATCCTATTTTTCTCCCCAGCTAACGTGACTGATAAAAAAGGGGTAGGTCAGTAGTGATTTATTTATATAAAAAAAAAATGCGGGGTTGAAGAGGAGGCTTATTTAAGAAATTGAAAATCACAACAAAACTATTTTTTCACAATATAAATAGGTATTTAAAAAAAATTATATGGGATTTAATTTCGGTTTTGATAACTGCCCTTGAAATAGAGATGTGTCATAAAACAAAACACTTTTGTCGCTTTCAAATGGATCGTTTAAGCACATTCGAGTGAGAGTAAAATTGTTATGGTTGGAGGTTAAAGCCTAGGGATGGTCAGGGTACCAGAAATTAAGACCCCCCGCACGCTTACATCCGAGTCAACAAGAGTGATTTTACTATGTAAGTTGAAATAATTTGCTTCATAATTGTTCTAAAATAAATAATGTTTATATTTATATTTATACCAGAAATTTACATATTTTGAAAATATATTTTTTGGCCTTAGCCTAAAGTTTAATAACCCCTACAACATCATTTTGCCAAAAAGGGAAGTGATCTTTAAAAATAAATATACAACATTTGATATAGCGCCCTATCTAGCTAACATAAGCCAATCTAAAGCGCTTTACAGTACATAGATATACAATTTTATACAGTCAATACAATTAGCATATATATTAAATAATATTGAGGAATTCGCAGGAGCTGCCTTATCAGGCGGTAACTACTAGCCCTATGCCACCTGGCTAATATCTCCCTATGTGTGTATGCCTGTGTGTGTGCTGGAGATGTATTGTGTTCTGTTTGTAGTGGGGCCGTGCTTCCAACGGTATCATTTATAGTGCCACCTCACTTGAATGCTACAGCACAGATAACACCCATCTCAGACCATTTTATACTCCACCTGGGTTGTTGGAGTTGTGTGGGCAGGAGAAAAACACTTTCTCTAATATTCCATGTGTACGGCGACTTCGGGGATCGAACCCCAGCCGCCTGCTTGGAAGGCGGGAGTGTTAAAGCCACTCGACCAATATGCCTTAACATCACCATCACTTGGCCAAAAGGTTACGGATCCAGTCAACACTGTTATGTGACCTAAAGGTTATCCCAGCATTTAGAACTTTTAAAAAGCTCTGATCTAAATGCCAAACATTTCTGTTCCCCAAAGTCAGACAGCTGATTTATTGGAGGAGAGATTTAAATGCTGGACTGTTACCAGGGCCGCTTTTGTTTATTGTGCTCCAATCGGTTGAACCAGTTGGACCAGAGTTGTTCTTTTATGAAATAAGGTTGGACCTAGTAATTTGATGTTGCTTTCAGGCGTGCTTTGTCAAAGTCTTGCAATGCCTGCATAAACATTTGCAGGTCCACCAGGATTTATACCCGAAAATGTTATATCAAATAACGGACAAACCGGTTGTTCCTCATAAATGTACAGGCCCCTGACCTTACCTGGGCTAATTTCACAAATGTTTTAACTAGCTAAACTGAAAAGAAGACGAAATACACAGATCAAGCCCAAGGCTGTCCTCTTGAAAATTAGGCAACAAAAGGCTGACTAGCTTGCAATATTTCTGCGTAAAACAAAGTTGATTTACACATATATTGAACGAAATATTAAGAAATTTATTACACAGGTGAAAGAAGCTGATTTTTATTTGTTTTTTGTTTCTCTTAAAACTCTGAAAAAGTGCACATTGAGCTCTGTATATATAATATTGTTGTGTTTTACAGATACTGTATCGAAAAAAAAGTTGTGTCAGGATTAAATGGAACTCTTCTACATAATGCTAGTGTTTTTGCCTTTCTTATTCCTATTAGCATACATAACCTTAAGTAGAGAACCTGGGTAAAGTCTTGCGTGTTACAATTGCATTGTTAATTCAGATATTCATTTCTTGTCTGCAGTCAATTTTAAGGACTTCTTCAGTAAGGATGCTATAGCTAAACGTCTGAAGGAGGCTGGAGCTGCTGCTGTAAAGATGGCTGCGGAGGCTGCTGCTAGTGCTTTACTTGAAGTCCTGGGCCTTCCCTCAGTGAGTTATCTCCCCTTTCGTCTTTAGGACTCAAAATCATAAAGAGAAAATATGTAAATAATTGAGAAACACGGTTGCCATGTCGGTAAAGTATGTTGGTATGGACCGGATATACCTAAGATAAGATAAGATAAATTTATTTAAAGTCGGTGGGCATTTTAAAACAAATAACATAAGCTCTATAGTGCTTTTGACCTCCTCATAGAAATGTTAAGTGATGAATATAAATATTTGTTTTCCTTAGAAAATATTTTATTCCCATATACTCCTCACTAACCAATGTTAAAGATTAATTGAAATTTAAATAAAAAACATTTTGTACTTTGAATGTCAGAAGTTACTGAAAAGTATTCCTCATCTCACATTTTGAAATAAACAACATAACAACCTTACATGGTATTCAATATGTTTAACCAAATTCCAAAGTTTCAACCATAATGTTGACTTGGCTATCTCCAAGGTTGAAAGTCATGAAAATGAAATGGTAGCAAAATTTTCTGATTTTTAGAGAGTTTCTCTCATCATCAAGAGATAAGCTAATTTCATAATGGAGAACTGACAATGTGAATCTAAATACATATAATCTTAGTTTATTCTTTATTTCTAGGACATGTTGGACGAGACCGATCCCTGTCCTCGTGGAGAGATCAAGACAGACAAACAGTTAAGGAATGAGCTGACCTCTCGTGGTTTAAGCACTGTTGGAAATCGACCCGAACTTCTGGCTCGCTATAGTCTAGACGATAGAAGTATGTACAGTTGATTCTAGTTTTACTGATCAAGAGACCTAGAGTCTTTGATAGCTTTGTGGCAAAGCTATACATCGTAGAAATCGTAGTTAGTAGTGCCATAAAAAATGTCCATTTAAATATCAGTGTTTGGAAATTCTAAGTGATACATTCAAACGAATATTTCTGGAACAAATGTGACTTCAACTTTGTTTGAATGGTGAGAGTATGATATTCCAGGATTTTACAAATTAAATATATGATTTGAAAATTCATCAAAAGTTGCTACTCAAGAATATTTCAGCAATAGATGTTTAAATATGAAATGTTTTACGTGATATTTCAGTTGTAAAATCTGTATGAAGTATTTTCCGTGATAATGATTCTCGAAAGAAACAACCTGGTTTTAACATGGACTAAGACTGCAACGATGCATTAACATGACGATAGGACATGCATCATGATACTGTGGTCACGACACGATACATATCACAATGAATATAGTAACAGTAAAAGCAAAGATAAAAGATACGTTGCAAGTTTTAAATGGTAATGTTACAACTGGAAATAGACGTGGTCCAAAATGAGCATAACTTTAAAGTTCCACACAATTTACAGTATTTAGACGTGAATACTGAGCTGGAGTTGTAGCTGATCGCCTTGTTGGAACCAATATGAGTATACTCAATTCAGAAATGAAAAAATTCCTGAAAATATCATAGGTATATTGTAACTCCCCCAAAAAATATTGTGTATGTACAGTAGATTTCGCTTATCATCACTTCTGATTTGTCAGATGAAAATGTGATATTAACCGGAATATGACTTTAAGAGAAAACGTGTTTTGCTGACCATTTCAGGTGTCAAAACCTGAAAATTACAGCATTTAAATGTCCAAGTGATATGGTATTACAAAGAAGATAGTGTAGTTAAAAAAGATGTAACTAACGCGACTTTCTTTTAGTGAAGTAATCGCTTTTTATTTATTTATTTCATTTAAATGTGCAGCCAAAAAACTTGCTAAATTCCGGCGGTGCTCTTCGTACGTGATCAAATAAGCCTAGATTGACATGTGTAGTTGTCGTCTAATAGTGTATAATCTGCTCCAAATTAAGTCGTAAAGAATGTCATGTTGTTGCAGGTCGAGCTTGGACACAAATAAATTTCTTCCAAAGCGAGGTTTAAAAATCTTGAAATCTAAATCTTAAAAATGCTGTTTCAATTTTTCAGCATGTTCCGTGTTCAACAGAAGTCTCACTGTACCAGAAATTGGAAAGGAATCTCTGAAGAAGATAATGTATTACTTCATCTCGGATAACTGTATGAGACTAGACGCCTGTGCTGACATCTCCATACAGCTAGGAGATCTTACCTACACCAAGGCCTTTAAAGCCCATGTGGAGCTAGACCCCTGCAACTTCATCCTCAAGGCCAAGTTTGAGAAAATATCCATATCTGTGGTTCTCATATCTTATGAATGGGGTAAGTAGGTCAGGGCCAAGTTGTTCTTGTATGTTATATGTATGGTGTCAGGTCAGAGACTTTAAGATTTTTTTACATTTTTAGGTCACCTGAGCTTTAGCTCAAGTGACCTATTGCTATCCGTTTTCGTCCGTCGTCGTCCGTCGTCCGTCGTCCGTTAACATTTTACATTTCAAACTTAAAGTCAAGTTCTGCTGGGCCGATTGAACTGAAAGTTGGTAGGAATGATCGCTTCATGGTCCTGACAAAGTGTTGTTATTTTTCGGGTCGTTCAGAAATCCAATATGGCCGCCACAGCCGCCATTTTGAAAAACTATTTCAAACTTAAAGTAAAGTTCTACTTGGCCGATTGAACTGAAACTTTGTAGGAATGATCGAATCATGGTCCTGACAAAGAGTTGTTATTTTTCGGGTCAATCAGAAATACAATTTGGCTGCCATGGCCGCTATTTTGCTACTAAGTTCTAATAGGCCGATCTCACTTAAAATTGGTCTAGGAATGATCAGCTCATGGTCCTGACAAAGTTAAGTTAACATTATACTATTTTTTACTCAAATTGGTACATATTTCAACAACAAAAATAAATACTGTAGACTCAGGTGACCGTTGAGGCCCATGGGCCTCTTGTGTTCTGGTAGTATGTTGGTTGTAAAAAGGTCAGGGGTATGTCTTATACTTATTGTTCCCATAGCATATGTATGGGCTGATTAAGCATATCAGGAAAATCTCTTATACCTATTATTCCCATAGTATATACCGTAAATTTGCGGGTATAGTGCGCAGGTACGTTTTTGGGGTCAGACTTGAAAGAGAGAAAAATTGAAAATAAAATGAAAAATAAACTGTATCAAAAAGTAGCATCAAAGGTAACTTGGTGTTTATAACGCCGATTAATTAACGATTGATTGATTGGAGTCAACAAGACCATGATGGTCTCCCTCCGGCTCCGTACCGCTTGGTGGACGAATCCTGCAGAAACCAAACGAAGAAAGTGTAGCTAATTCCATGCCAGAGAATCGCCGATCAACTTATGTTTCGACATCTCAGCGGTTTTCTCATAATTACGAAAATGTAATTTTCAAATATAGGCTCCGTTCCATGTAAGTTCTGGTTTGTTAGGTTACCTGACCATAGGTCATGGTAACCTATTGTGATAGTCTTTTGTCCATCATCATGCGTCGTGCGTTAACTTTTCCTTGTGAACACGATAACTTCAGTAAATGTTAAACGAGTTTGATGAAACTTTGTATGCAGCCATATATCAATAAGATCTCGGACGAGTTTGAAAATGGGAATTATTCGTCAGTAACTTACAGAGTTATTGCCCTTTGTAATAATATTATTATTTGACCTTGTGAACACGAGAACTTGAGTAGATGTTAACTAAGTTTGATGAAACTTTGTATGCAGCCATATATCAATAAGATCCCGGACGAGTTCGAAAATGGGAATTATTCGTCAGTAACTTACAGAGTTATTGCCCTTTGTAATAATATTATTATTGGCCCTTGTGAACACGAGAACTTGAGTAGATGTTAACTAAGTTTGATGAAACTTTGTATGCAGCCATATATCAATAAGATCCCGGACGAGTTCGAAAATGGGAATTATTCGACAGTAACTTACAGAGTTATTGCCCTTTGTAATAATATTATTATTGGACCTTGTGAACACGAGCACTTGAGTAAATGTTAACCGAGTTTGATGAAACTTTGTATGCAGCCATATATCAGTAAGATCCCGGACTCTGAATGGGAATTATTCGACATTAACTTACAGAGTTATTGCCCTTTGTAATAATATTATTATTGGCCCTTGTGAACTCGATAACTTGACTAAATGTTGACGGAGTTCAATGAAACTTTGTCCGGTAATTATTTGACGGTAACCTGCAGAGTTATTGCCCTTTGTCATTATATTATTATTTGTCCCTGTGATGTTGATTGACATTACACAAGAATAGATGTAAATTCATGTTGTACACCTTTTTTTTCATTCATGACGCATTTTTGCTACTAACAAGGTGCGATTAAAATGTTGTGCCTTATTTAATAAATCATTGATTTACGCTTTTACTTGTTTCTTTTAACCAAGAACAGAAGACATACAGTTACCAAGTTTGTTCAAAACAGACCCCTTGGGTCAAAATTGGAGTCACACCCATTTATTTCGGTTATCGTGTTCACAGGGTCCAACAATAATAGAATTACCAAGGGGAATTACTATGTAAGTTATGGTCAAATTGGTCCGGTATTCAAACTCATCCAATTTCTCATTGATACAAAGCTGCATACAAAGTTTCATCAAAATCGGTTCATATTTACTGAAGTTATTGTGTTCACAAGGAAAAATTAATGGACGATGCAGCAAGGTCACTCGAAATGACAAAAAGAATGAGTTGGCCCCTGGATGACGGTCCTAATTTGAATCAGATGTCAGGTGACCGTTTAGGCCCATGGGCCTCTTTGTTTTTTACCAAATCGCTAAGCCTAGTGTGCATGTTTTTTTCCCGGCTCACTTTCATGTTGACGTGATCGATAACCTCGTGAATTATTTCAATATTATGAAGCATCATAAAAATTGTGTATTCTGCTTTTATTTTTTCCTTCAAGTAGATTTGAAGGGGATGTGTTTAATGTCCACGCTTCTAGTATAAACATATTTTTTTATAATCCCTTTACGGTCTAATCAGTCTGTAGTTCTAACAGTGCAGTGGGGCTTCACACCACATGTTGAATAGTGAAAACAACACAGTCCCTTGATCGCGGCTGCAAATAATTTCAATTAAATTGCTTAGAGCTATTGTTAATCCGTAATCACTGAAAGAGTGTTATCTTATTACTGCATTGTAATTTGTATTAACTGTGGTGTTGAGAAGTGTCAATAATTTTCGATCCTACCTAGCCTATTGTCCGGGATCAGACGGTATGCCCTCCGGTCAACTTACTTGTAAAAATGATACGTGCCCAGCTAGTGTTTGTCGCCTAATCAGCAGTCATGACCACAGTTTACCGATTTTAATCATTTAAGAGAAGGTAAAAATTGTGTCGCCAAATAATTTCATTTAATCTTCAATCTTGTTGGTGTTATTTTAATCTTCAACCTTATCATATATGACCGTCGACTCAAAATAAAACCATTTGAAGGGAGGTAATTCAAAATGGCGAACAAGGAACTCGAGAACGATAGACCGAGAATGACTTGTTCCTGCGTATAGTGCGCATCCCCTTTTTGACATGACAATATTTACCTAAAAAAGTGTGCACTATACGCGCAAATTTACGGTATGCAGGGCTCAGGTAAGTATGTCAGGAAAATCTCTGGCTTATGTTATTGTATTTATGGGGAGATCAAGTACATGTAGTTGAAGAGGATACCTCTATCTTGCATTGTGCTATCTTCTTGGTCAGGAGAATTTCCATCTTTTGCTCCTATATTGTATGTCTAGAGTGATTGAATAGCATTAGGTTCTCTTTATCATTGAATGAAGAATGCAATCATATGTGTATTTATATGCTGTAAGTGACCATTGTTTGTACTTAAGTTTGACATTGAAAATTGATGTTTGATAAAATAACATTTCATTTGCAGGTAAAACAGAGTATGTTCAAATTTTACAAGATGTAATGGTCAAGTAAGTAAAACCGATATACCAAAAACATTCTTGTTTAAATAAATAAGATTTTATTCTCATCACAAATTTACATTTTGATGATGGCTTGCTTTAATAACTAGCTAGTTCAGTCAGGGTAATGGAAAAGCACTTTTTACTCTTGTTTTTCCTATTATTAGATAAGGATCCCTGTACTACTGCCAAAAAATCTGACTAAGTGTCGCAAACTGATTTTTGCAGCTACGACTATAGCTTTGATCAATAATTTCTGGAAGGAAAACCATACCTTGCAGGACTTTTATGAGAAATAACAGAAACAAAATATAACCAACAATAGTATTTAGAGTAAACGGACTGAGAGTGTATGATATTGCTGCCTGTTTTAGGTTCAGTATTGGTAAAGATGATGTAAGGAAGGTGTTTGTTGTCAACTTTGGTATAAGTATATGTCCCGCTGATGGCTCCAGCTGCTTCATAGACGACTACTTCCTCTCCGACCTTGATGTCCCCATCCCAATTTGTAATGAAAATTTCACCCTGCCAGGTTTGTAGATCAATATAGAAGATATAGAGGAAATTTAATGGTGTCTTCAGTAATAACAAATATATTTCACGAGTGTGGCTAATATTTTGATATTTTTAACAACTGCACATATAAATGATATCAATTCAATTGTATAATTATGTAAATACTTAAGTGTGTGTACCAAACCTTAACCATAACAACCACTTTCTCTACCGTCGCTTCATTTGAATCTGAACAAAAAATTGTTGCCTTTGAATGCAGCAAATAGAAGATACCGTTATGAGTGGTCAATACCCAAAAGTGATATTGAAAATATCACTTTTGATATTTGTCACGGTGTGAAAGATATCAGTTTTATCAAGTTGATAGAATCCGATATTTCACTGGCAAAAATGTAATAAATAGGTTGGTTGTAAAGTGCCTATGTAAAGGTTTAAGAGAAGGGTAAAAATATACTCTTTCTAAGCTGAGTAGTTCACAATTCTTCCAAATTCTTAATCATCATTTTTCGAATATCCTGTTTGAAGGTTTTACACAAGAGTTTAAGCTGGCGAAGGTTCAATTCCGTCTATGCGTATTGCAGAGTTATCTTCTCTTGTGAGCAGGTATTGATTGTTACATCATTGATTTGTGTGAGAAAATTAATTCGTTTTCTCAAAAATTGATGACGTTACTCTCACAAACAAATGACGTAACAATCAATGTTCACAAGAGCCAGATAACTCTGCAATACGAAAAGACGGAATACAAGTGTCATTGAGAAAAACCTGTTCCTGCTGACACGGCGCAAAGTAAAGTTGGGTTGTGCGATGTTGAAATGTTGCTAAATCTGAAATTATTAAAATGCCAGAAATATTATAGCTCTGAAACAAAACTTACTATATATTAGTAAAATTTTGTTACAACTCATGATATGTTCAACAGATAAGCAGTAAAAAATACTGACAAACGACTGGAAATTGTACTTTATTTCTAGGTGGAGGGTCCATCGGGAACTTCGTGGCAGAAATTGGAGGCAAGATGACAGCAGAAGCGTTTCAGTTGATCCTCCGTATGTTTGATTTAGATGTAAGTGTTTCCATGATATTATGCAATTCACTCTTTTTGAAACTTATTAAAATAATCAAATTATTACATTATTGTTTGTTTTACTTCTTGTAGAATCCGATAGATTTTTTTTCTTCAAAAATACTTTTATAAAATATCAATGCACAAATTTTATAAATTTTAAGTTAACCCATTCACCCCTGAAGACACATTTGAACTCTTCCAATCAAAGGTTGGAATAGTTCATTATGAAATTTCAGGGGTGGATGAGTTAATGATTGTGAATGTATTCATCTCAACCAACAATAAAAGTGTAATATTTGTGGGCTAAGGTGAATACAGGTGTCCACTTAAAATCAATACAACTATTTTATAAAATTGGAAGTTTTCAAACTTTATTAATGATGAATCAGAAAATTCAAAACCAAGAATTGTAGAAAAAGAACATAAAATATGCTGTAGTATATACAATTTTTTATCTAAGAAATGTGTAAAATAATTTATTGATTTTAATATGATCAGTTTGAACTTTTTGCTTTTAATTTTCATTACAGAAAGTATTTACGGAAGGTCCATGTGTGTTGGAGACTGGCCCAAAAGGTAAGTTATTCTTAATGACAAATAAAGTTATTATGAAAAATAATTTTGCTATTATTTTCTATTGCTAATTCACATCAATAAAAACAGCATTGCAGATAGCATTGATTTATAGTTGTATTTATCATATTTTCCCCCAGATTGTCCTGTGTCCTTGGACCCCACGAGGTACCTACCGGACAGTGTGAAGAGCATGTTCCGTTGTGAGATGACAGATGACTGTTTTGGGATAAAGTGTTGCCTGGACCTTTCATTTACTGTGCCTCTAGGAGATGTAGAGGTACAGCTCAATGTTCCATTTCACTTCCAAGTACAGCCCTGTGACCTCATGATGGACGCCAAGTTAGGAACGTATCGGCACCAGACTCAGCTGTTAACATATGAATGGGGTATGTCCTTGTCGACTGTATGGCCTATCTATGGCCTGTCGGTTATGCAGAACAACCGGTTTGTCCGTTTTTAAATGTAACGTTTTCCGGTATAAATCCTGGTGGACCTGCAAATGTTTAATGCAAGCCTTGTCAAGGCTCGCCTGAAAGCATCATCAGGTTACTAGGTCCGACCCTTTTTCATAAACGAACAACTATGATCCAACCGGTTCAACCTTTGGGATAGCGATAAATGAAAGCGCCCGTAGATAATTATTCTCCCCTGCTTATTTGGACACATTAGAAAATGTTAAGTCTACTACTTCTGATTACTTTGTAGTTATTTTTAGTAATACGCCTTGGCCTATTATGAGAAGTTCTTTTTACACAACCAATACAATTTTCTATGTGACGTTTCAATGACTAGTACGATATGTACACTGTCACCTTCATCAGACAAATGACCAGTGAAGCGTATGCACACAAAGGTGTAAAATGTGTACGAGTTGTCCATAAAATCGATGTCGATTTCGGCTACGCTGGAAACGTATGTACAATAGTTGTTATATTTGTTATATATGTACCGAAATGACTCAATTCAGCTACGCTTTGTTAACAGTAGCTGAATTGACCAAGTGTTAACAAAGCGTAGCTGAATTGAGTCATTTTGGTACATATATAACATATATAACAACATTTTACACCTTTGTGTGCATACGCTTCACTGGTCATTTTTCTGATGAAGGTGACGGTGTACATATCGTACTAGTCATCGAAACATCACATAGAAAATTGTATTGGTTGTGTAAAAAGAACTTCTCATAATCCATACTTACCAACCTGAAGAAAATGTTTAGAAAAAAGCCTTGGCCTAAATTTGGGAAAATTTATCAATATACTACGGTAGTTAAATTGGGAAAGATTGTTGACATAGTTCTACAGTTAGGAAATTTACCCAAAATAAAATACTGAAAGTTCACGGAAAAAATAGTAGAATCCGAAAAAAAATTGTTTGCATTCTATTTGTAAGATAGTCCTCGTAATCATAAAACTTGAAATGAAATATGAGGTAGTATATCAGTATCTTGAGAATGAAAAAGTTCTATGGATATTTTTTGAATATCTTAAAAGTACGAATACCGAATACTTCAGATCATTGTACAATAAGTATATGTAGATGGTAGAGTTGTATATTATGATATACTGTAAAATTGGTACCCCACAGCTTGTTCAGGTGTAAATATGTTCTAATACAGGAACACCAGGGTCAGTTGACATCGGATCAGGAGATCAGCCACCAATCCAGATCACGTAAGTTAACAAAATCATCATCATACCATACACTTTGTCTCAACTGGACCCTGTCCAATCTCGACTTTATTCTAAACTGGCCAAAGAATCGGATTTAGAAAATTACAATGTAAAAGCTGTAGACTTTTAATTTACTTTTCGAGAACTCTCTCAAAACAGTCTAATTGTATCATTCCAGGCAGTTATCAGTAGGCGATTCTGAAATCTTTACAACACAGAATGAAAAATATTTGGATAAGACGTCACTGTTAATAGACCTGAGACTGACGATATGATTATTTTTACAGATACAACCTTGCTCGTAATGAGGATGAGACGTCACTGTTAATAGGCCTGAGACTGACGATATGATTATTTATACAGATACAACCTTGCTCATAATGAGGATGAGACGTCACTGTTAATAGACCTGAGACTGACGATATGATTATTTTTAGAGATACAACCTTGCTCGTAATGAGGATGAGACGTCGCTGTTAATAGACCTGAGACTGACGATATGATTATTTTTACAGATACAACCTTGCTCGTAATGAGGATAAGACGTCGCTGTTAATAGACCTGATGACTATATAATTATTTTTACAGATACAACCTTGCTTGTAATGAGGATAAGACGTCGCTGTTACTAGACCTGATGACTATATAATTATTTTTACAGATACAACCTTGCTCGTAATGAGGATGAGACGTCGCTGTTAATAGACCTGAGACTGACTATATAATTATTTTTACAGATACAACCTTGCTTGTAATGAGGATAAGACGTCGCTGTTAATAGACCTGATGACTATATAATTATTTTTACAGATACAACCTTGCTCGTAATGAGGATTAGACGTCGCTGTTAATAGACCTGATGACTATATAACTATTTTTACAGATACAACCTTGCTCGTAATGAGGATAAGACGTCACTGTTAATAGACCTGGGACTGACAATGTGTTTCCCACTGGATGGGGAGTCGTTCTGTATACCTGATGGCAGCCCCCTAGAACTCCTGAAGGCAGCGGAGCTTCCATGTGATGCGAGGGCTTTGGCTAATCTAACAAGAAGTACTGTAACAACTAGCTATAACTCTTAAATATTTGGTCCAGATAGGGTTACTTAGATAATACATGTTTTCAGGGTTATTTGTTTACACTTATGTTAACTTACGTTTACTTGTGATAGCCTCACTTTGAAAATATTTGAAAATAGAATTAGGATACATTTTTTTTCATATGTAATGAATGATAACAAATCCTCTATAAAGACCGACTAATTATAAAATAACCTATTTATAAAGACCCTCTATCCATATAAAGAATAGATAATAACAACAGTTATATATAAAAACTGTCTGTCTATATAATAACACTTCTGTAAAAGGACCCTGTCTATAAGAACACTTTTTTATAAAGATGACCTTTCTATAATGACAACTTGATTATAAAGATCACCTCTTTGTATATAAACAACCTCTATATCAGAACACTACTCTATAATATAATAATAATAATAATAAGGTTCTTATATACCGCTTTATCACAACCTAGTTTGTAGGTCATCTCAAAGCGGTTCATAAATTATTACCCGTGGTTATAGGACCTTTTCAACCAGCTAATATCTTTCTCAACTCCCTGGAGAGCATACAGCCGGTGCTGCCATTTTGGCGCTCACAGCTAGCATTCAACAATTCTAGCACTGCCCAGCTGTCTGTATAACAACCTCTCTATAAAGACCACCTGGATGTATAATAATACTTGTCTAAAAAGAACACCTGTCTCCATAATGACACCTATATATAAAGACCATCTGTCTCCATAATGACACCTATATATAAAGACCATCTGTCTCCATAATGACACCTATATATAAAGACCATCTGTCTCCATAATGACACCTATATATAAAGACCATCTGTCTCCATAATGACACCTATATATAAAGACCATCTGTCTCCATAATGACACCTATATATAAAGACCATCTGTCTCCATAATGACACCTATATATAAAGACCATCTGTCTCCATAATGACACCTATATATAAAGACCATCTGTCTCCATAATGACACCTATATATAAAGACCATCTGTCTCCATAATGACACCTATATATAAAGACCATCTGTCTCCATAATGACACCTATATATAAAGACCATCTGTCTCCATAATGACACCTATATATAAAGACCATCTGTCTCCATAATGACACCTATATATAAAGACCATCTGTCTCCATAATGACACCTATATATAAAGACCATCTGTCTCCATAATGACACCTATATATAAAGACCATCTGTCTCCATAATGACACCTATATATAAAGACCATCTGTCTCCATAATGACACCTATATATAAAGACCATCTGTCTCCATAATGACACCTATATATAAAGACCATCTGTCTCCATAATGACACCTATATATAAAGACCATCTGTCTCCATAATGACACCTATATATAAAGACCATCTGTCTCCATAATGACACCTATATATAAAGACCATCTGTCTCCATAATGACACCTATATATAAAGACCATCTGTCTCCATAATGACACCTATATATAAAGACCATCTGTCTCCATAATGACACCTATATATAAAGACCATCTGTCTCCATAATGACACCTATATATAAAGACCATCTGTCTCCATAATGACACCTATATATAAAGACCATCTGTCTCCATAATGACACCTATATATAAAGACCATCTGTCTCCATAATGACACCTATATATAAAGACCATCTGTCTCCATAATGACACCTATATATAAAGACCATCTGTCTCCATAATGACACCTATATATAAAGACCATCTGTCTCCATAATGACACCTATATATAAAGACCATCTGTCTCCATAATGACACCTATATATAAAGACCATCTGTCTCCATAATGACACCTATATATAAAGACCATCTGTCTCCATAATGACACCTATATATAAAGACCATCTGTCTCCATAATGACACCTATATATAAAGACCATCTGTCTCCATAATGACACCTATATATAAAGACCATCTGTCTCCATAATGACACCTATATATAAAGACCATCTGTCTCCATAATGACACCTATATATAAAGACCATCTGTCTCCATAATGACACCTATATATAAAGACCATCTGTCTCCATAATGACACCTATATATAAAGACCATCTGTCTCCATAATGACACCTATATATAAAGACCATCTGTCTCCATAATGACACCTATATATAAAGACCATCTGTCTCCATAATGACACCTATATATAAAGACCATCTGTCTCCATAATGACACCTATATATAAAGACCATCTGTCTCCATAATGACACCTATATATAAAGACCATCTGTCTCCATAATGACACCTATATATAAAGACCATCTGTCTCCATAATGACACCTATATATAAAGACCATCTGTCTCCATAATGACACCTATATATAAAGACCATCTGTCTCCATAATGACACCTATATATAAAGACCATCTGTCTCCATAATGACACCTATATATAAAGACCATCTGTCTCCATAATGACACCTATATATAAAGACCATCTGTCTCCATAATGACACCTATATATAAAGACCATCTGTCTCCATAATGACACCTATATATAAAGACCATCTGTCTCCATAATGACACCTATATATAAAGACCATCTGTCTCCATAATGACACCTATATATAAAGACCATCTGTCTCCATAATGACACCTATATATAAAGACCATCTGTCTCCATAATGACACCTATATATAAAGACCATCTGTCTCCATAATGACACCTATATATAAAGACCATCTGTCTCCATAATGACACCTATATATAAAGACCATCTGTCTCCATAATGACACCTATATATAAAGACCATCTGTCTCCATAATGACACCTATATATAAAGACCATCTGTCTCCATAATGACACCTATATATAAAGACCATCTGTCTCCATAATGACACCTATATATAAAGACCATCTGTCTCCATAATGACACCTATATATAAAGACCATCTGTCTCCATAATGACACCTATATATAAAGACCATCTGTCTCCATAATGACACCTATATATAAAGACCATCTGTCTCCATAATGACACCTATATATAAAGACCATCTGTCTCCATAATGACACCTATATATAAAGACCATCTGTCTCCATAATGACACCTATATATAAAGACCATCTGTCTCCATAATGACACCTATATATAAAGACCATCTGTCTCCATAATGACACCTATATATAAAGACCATCTGTCTCCATAATGACACCTATATATAAAGACCATCTGTCTCCATAATGACACCTATATATAAAGACCATCTGTCTCCATAATGACACCTATATATAAAGACCATCTGTCTCCATAATGACACCTATATATAAAGACCATCTGTCTCCATAATGACACCTATATATAAAGACCATCTGTCTCCATAATGACACCTATATATAAAGACCATCTGTCTCCATAATGACACCTATATATAAAGACCATCTGTCTCCATAATGACACCTATATATAAAGACCATCTGTCTCCATAATGACACCTATATATAAAGACCATCTGTCTCCATAATGACACCTATATATAAAGACCATCTGTCTCCATAATGACACCTATATATAAAGACCATCTGTCTCCATAATGACACCTATATATAAAGACCATCTGTCTCCATAATGACACCTATATATAAAGACCATCTGTCTCCATAATGACACCTATATATAAAGACCATCTGTCTCCATAATGACACCTATATATAAAGACCATCTGTCTCCATAATGACACCTATATATAAAGACCATCTGTCTCCATAATGACACCTATATATAAAGACCATCTGTCTCCATAATGACACCTATATATAAAGACCATCTGTCTCCATAATGACACCTATATATAAAGACCATCTGTCTCCATAATGACACCTATATATAAAGACCATCTGTCTCCATAATGACACCTATATATAAAGACCATCTGTCTCCATAATGACACCTATATATAAAGACCATCTGTCTCCATAATGACACCTATATATAAAGACCATCTGTCTCCATAATGACACCTATATATAAAGACCATCTGTCTCCATAATGACACCTATATATAAAGACCATCTGTCTCCATAATGACACCTATATATAAAGACCATCTGTCTCCATAATGACACCTATATATAAAGACCATCTGTCTCCATAATGACACCTATATATAAAGACCATCTGTCTCCATAATGACACCTATATATAAAGACCATCTGTCTCCATAATGACACCTATATATAAAGACCATCTGTCTCCATAATGACACCTATATATAAAGACCATCTGTCTCCATAATGACACCTATATATAAAGACCATCTGTCTCCATAATGACACCTATATATAAAGACCATCTGTCTCCATAATGACACCTATATATAAAGACCATCTGTCTCCATAATGACACCTATATATAAAGACCATCTGTCTCCATAATGACACCTATATATAAAGACCATCTGTCTCCATAATGACACCTATATATAAAGACCATCTGTCTCCATAATGACACCTATATATAAAGACCATCTGTCTCCATAATGACACCTATATATAAAGACCATCTGTCTCCATAATGACACCTATATATAAAGACCATCTGTCTCCATAATGACACCTATATATAAAGACCATCTGTCTCCATAATGACACCTATATATAAAGACCATCTGTCTCCATAATGACACCTATATATAAAGACCATCTGTCTCCATAATGACACCTATATATAAAGACCATCTGTCTCCATAATGACACCTATATATAAAGACCATCTGTCTCCATAATGACACCTATATATAAAGACCATCTGTCTCCATAATGACACCTATATATAAAGACCATCTGTCTCCATAATGACACCTATATATAAAGACCATCTGTCTCCATAATGACACCTATATATAAAGACCATCTGTCTCCATAATGACACCTATATATAAAGACCATCTGTCTCCATAATGACACCTATATATAAAGACCATCTGTCTCCATAATGACACCTATATATAAAGACCATCTGTCTCCATAATGACACCTATATATAAAGACCATCTGTCTCCATAATGACACCTATATATAAAGACCATCTGTCTCCATAATGACACCTATATATAAAGACCATCTGTCTCCATAATGACACCTATATATAAAGACCATCTGTCTCCATAATGACACCTATATATAAAGACCATCTGTCTCCATAATGACACCTATATATAAAGACCATCTGTCTCCATAATGACACCTATATATAAAGACCATCTGTCTCCATAATGACACCTATATATAAAGACCATCTGTCTCCATAATGACACCTATATATAAAGACCATCTGTCTCCATAATGACACCTATATATAAAGACCATCTGTCTCCATAATGACACCTATATATAAAGACCATCTGTCTCCATAATGACACCTATATATAAAGACCATCTGTCTCCATAATGACACCTATATATAAAGACCACATGTCTCCATAATGACACCTATATATAAAGACCATCTGTCTCCATAATGACACCTATATATAAAGACCACATGTCTATAATAATCACTATATGGTTCGATATCCAGCACACACTCAGGCATACACACATAGGGAGATATAAGCCAGGTGGCATAGGTATAGTAATTAGCATCTGATAAGGCAGCTCCTGCGAATTCCTCAAAATTGTATTGGTTAATGTATATGCTAATTGTATTAATTGTATATCTATATACTGTAAAAACGCTTTAGAGTGGCTTATGTTAGCTAGATAGGGCTATATCAAATGCTGTATATCATTATTATTGTTATTATCCTACCTGGCTGTGAACCTTGGCTTGTCATTGGTCTTCGTCAAGTAGTAATTTAGACGGCTTTCATGGGAAGAAACAGGAAGCTCTGGTGGGTGAAATTCCTCTTTATCTATACTGTATCCATACTGTATCCATACTGTATCTATACTGTATCCATACTGTATCCATACTGTATCCATACTGAAAGGAAGGTTAGATTTGATCAGCTAAGTGTTAGTGCAATGACCACATGTATCTTTTTCATTTTTAGCCTTCAGCTTTAAAAACTTCACCAATCAACTGTTGAATGAGGTGGGCAAGGTGACCAGTAGGGCTGCCCTAGACGTAATACTAAAGGCATTGGGACTGGAAGATTTTTTCAAAGAGCCTGCCTGTGACCCAACAAGGGGAAAGTACACTCCCTCATCAGACAGTGGCTGGAACAACTGTAAGGACAAACATGATATCTCATTACCTCTTATTTCTGGTTTTCAATTTTCTTGGGTTTGGTAATAACATATACAGTCAAACTTGGATCTTTCAGACTTTGCAGGACCATCTGGAAAAATTCAAAACATCGAGACTTTGACTCACAAACATTGAACATGAATAACCTGTAAATGAAGACAGGATTTTATTCTGACAAAACACAGGCAAAGACATTTCCTTTTGAATTTCAATATTAGATTTCTTATCAAATTCAATTCTTTTTTGTTAATGTAATTCTCGGAAGCCTTTACTATTAAAATAACCATGGGACGTCTAACGGTAATATAGAAAGTATTTCACATAGATTGATGAGTTGTAATTTTCAGTGTTTTCATAACGAATGGGCTTTGATTATACTTCGAAACAGCGAGTAATTCAACTCTTATATATATATATAAGAGCAAAACTCTCAACTTTACCATAAGTTCTACACATCGAGAAGTTCGATTTGTTGAAATTTGACTGTAATATCGTACCTGCATACATCCTTTTCAGTGTGTCCTCTTGGAATTGTAAAAATGCCCAATCTTCCGGACAAGGCCAAGTGTCACATCCCATACCGATGCTCGGCTGTATACTGCTGCGCCAAAGAGACCAAGGTTACTGATCTCTCCTTCGAGTTCTTCCTCGATATAGACATGTGTAACTACACCCTTAAAGGCGGGGTCGAATCTGTGACCTTTGAAGTTGAACTTCTCAACTATGAATTTGGCAAGTATTTTTATGTATAATAATAGAAATTATAGTAATTATCTGTCTTCATGTCATTATTTGATTGTAAATAACCTGTGAGCGCTATTTCCTCTCAGTGTTTAGATTATCAGTTCGTTAAAACCTGCTAGCTCATTTTTCGTTTATATCTTTCCTGTCTGCCTTCTTTTCGATCTACTTTCACTTTCCAGTCGAGTGTCTCCAGGCACCCGTCTTCATATGACCATAGCTGTTGCAAGGACATTAAATAATAAACAAAACCCTGCCAGCTAAATTTGTTGTCAGTATGCTGTCCAATCTATCTATAAAATTGTTTATATTTGGTTGTATGACTAGCTACTTCCTCTGGCAAAGCGTCCCACACTTTGGTACCGCAACCTCTTCATCTCACCTTTATAATGAATATTGTCTGTTAGTCACAAGGTGTAATTTCCATTTTAAGAAAATTAAAATTATGAAGTCATATTCAAGTTGTAAAATCAAATTGTAATATTAACAAATTTAATATATTAATTTATGATAAAAAAGATTATTGTAGTGGAATGAGACTGGGCCGATTGTTGTTCACCAGGTAGATCAATTTTATGTAAAGCACCCGTCTAGAGTTCGCAGGGTCCCAGGTTTGAATCCTGGTCTGGCCGTGCATTTCTCTCTCTCTTATTACAATTATAATGCCATATTAATTTAATGATTACAATGTTAATGTAACAGGTATTGTTTGAAATCATTATGTCATGTTAAGATTATAACATATAATTTTAAATTTTAATTGGCTGCACTTCAATGTTTGAAATATACTAATTACACAATGTTTGAAATATACTAATTACAGATTTTGTTTTTTTACAGGAAAATTAGAAACCATCAACATTGGGGATGTTGTTTTCATTTTGTAAGTATAACATAACATTTTTGTTTAGAGTGTAGTACAGAATGTCAGATGGTTTATTTCCCTCAAAGGTTTGTTCACCGTATATTTGTAATACAGAGATATTTAACATCCTTAAATGACCTAAGCTGTTGATAGGATATTAAACCCTATACAACCAACCAACCTCAAAAGCATGACCTGGAATCTTGTCAAACAAACTACATGAAAATTCAGGATCATGTTAACTCATGCAAAGTAACCTTTTGTTTGCTCAGAACTACGATAATGTTGATATATGATGACCATGAAATTATCAAGTTTAATGATCCGTATATAATAACCGTGCTAGTAACCATTGTTTTTTATTGTTATGTCCGGTGATCCATATCTTCATTTACTAGTAACAGTTGTTAATCATTATGTTCAATGATCCATGTCTAACAGTGCTAGTAACTGTTGTTTATCATTATACATGTATTCACTAATCCATGCTTACTGTGCTAAAAACTGTTAATGTTATCATTATGTTCAGTGGTCCATGTCTAACAGAGTTAGTAACTGTAAATGTTATCATTATGTTCAATGATCCATGTCTAACAGAGCTAGTAACTGTAAATGTTATCATTATGTTCAATGATCCATGTCTAACAGAGCTAGTTACTGTTGTTTATCATTATGTTCAGTGATCCATGTCTAACAGAGCTAGTAACTGTTGTTTATCATTATGTTCAATGATCCATGTCTAACAGAGGTAGTAACAGTTGTTTATCATTATGTTCAATGATCCATGTCTAACAGAGCTTGTAACTGTTAATGTTATCATTATGTTCAATGATCCATGTCTAACAGAGCTAGTAACTGTAAATGTTATCATTATGTTCAATGATCCATGTATAACAGAGCTAGTAACTGTTGTTTATCATGTTCAATGATCCATGTCTAACAGAGCTTGTAACTGTTAATGTTATCATTATGTTCAGTGATCCATGTCTAACAGAGCTAGTTACTGTTAATGTTATCATTATGTTCAATGATCCATGTCTAACAGATCTAGTTACTGTTGTTTATCATTATGTTCAGTGATCCATGTCTAACAGAGCTAGTTACTGTTGTTTATCATTATGTTCAATGATCCATGTCTAACAGAGCTAGTAACAGTTGTTTGTCTTTGTTAACAGGTACAGATTGAAGAAACCACCTAACAGAAAGATCTTCATTATTGACCTGAGTTTAAAGTTCTGTCCAGATGCAGATGAATGTTTTATTGAGATCCCAGTTCTGGAGAGCACAGAAATTCCGCAGATTTTGTGCGACATCAATGCAACTCTTAGTCTAAGGGGTGAGTCACATTGGAATATACCTTGATAAAAAGTTGAAGACATCAATGATCTCAATGAAGTGTCAATGTCACTGTGAAGAAAAGACTTCTGAATGAAGGTAAAAGGTCATTTGGAGATAACAAATACCATTAAAGGTCAAGGTCAAGGTGGTCACCTGATTCAAGGGTCAGAAAAATCAGTCATGAATAATAGTTGAGGACACATGGATCAAACGGTCAAATTATCAATGACCTATAATGAAAGGTCAAGGTTGATTTCAGAGACACATTTCTATGAATGAATGGTGATGCTCATAAAATGAGGCAAATCAGGAGTTGAGGTCAGTTTTGGTGACTCATTCCTTTGAATGAATGGTTAAGGTCACTTAGGAAAATCACTTTATAATGGTAAATGTAAGGTCAAGGTCACTTTTGGAGACGTATTGCACTAAATCAATAATGAGGCCATATTTAGAGAGTCAGTAGCATAATTATTTTAATTGGATGGTGAGGCACTATTTGGTCAATCAATAGCATAATTTTTTTAATTGGATGGTGAGGCCATATTTGGACAGTCAGTAGCATGATTATTTTAATTGGATGGTGAAGGTCACCTTTAGAATACTAGTAGCATGAATGAAGGGTCCAGATCAGTACTACTTATATGAAATGTGAAGGTGGTGAGGAGGATCAGTACAGAGAATGATCATGGACACTTCATTAGCATTAACTGTATGGCATGCTAATGCAGTTGCAAAATTGCTTTGTGTCTTTCAGATTTTAATGTAAAAGATTGGATGGCTAATCTACACCAGAACCTGACTCAGAGGATGACCGGGGCAGCTCTGGACCTCCTCCTGCAACAGTTGGGTCTTGATGACTTTCTAAGAGATTCTCCATGTAATCGCTCATCGCCCACCTATTGGCCCAGTACAAATGGCTGGAAAGATGGTGAGCTATTTTACTTCTTATATAACTGTTCATCCTTTTTATCAATGATTCTAGACCATGCTTAGTAAACTTCCCGAAATTCCTTCAAGATTCTTCAATTTCAAAATGAGTTATTTTCAAATAGTAATTCTGCTATGATCATGAATCTGCTTTACGTAATGTTTGGATGTCTTTTATCTTGTATGTTTTGATTGTTGATTTATTTTAACTACAGGTCAGAGATAGAGCAATATAATACTTTAAATATAACTGTTTTTGATTTCATTTGAATGATCCGGAATAATTTGGTGAGTGTAATAAAGTATTGAAAGAATTGTGAAAATTGGTTGGGTATTCAAAATTATGAAACGTGACAAGTCAGAAAAATATCTAATGTTTTAGAGGTTTATCAATGTTTAGAAAATTGATATTGGAAGTATTTGTGCCTTGTTAAATCGTCGTTGTCATACAATATGCTACAGATTGTGGTAAGAGTTTCCTGAGCCTACCTGACATCTCGTCTTACCCACTGACTTGTGCCGTCCCTGACTTCTGCTCCGGGATAGACTGTTGTCTGGAGTACTCCAACAGCTTTTTCAGCTTAACGCTCAACATCTACCTTATTGTCGACACATGTAACTACGAAATCCGTGGAGGCATCGAGAACTTTGGCTTTGTCATCCCAATCATAAATTACAAATGGGGTAAGTTAAACTGATTTGTCATCGCACTCTTAATTCACCATTGGGGTAAGTTAAATGGCTTTGTCATCCAAATAATAAGACATCAATGGTATATTGATACAAACAGGCGATCGGTGTGACGCCGACCGCACAGAGACAATCTCACTTGTCTGGTATCTAGGAGAAGAATGACTTTTACTGCCTGCTAACCGATAGTATAATCCACACCTGGTCAATACAATTACGGAATACCTGCAAGTAAAAGAAACGGAATGCATACCATAGTACTGGTTTAAGATGGGAACTCCATGTCAGAATGATATAATAGTGATGAGTATTGGGAAAACTTTTTATAAAAAGTAACAAACAACCATTAAAAACATGCATGTCTGCAGTATATCTCTTGGGTACCACCATTGCCATATGGCTTAATTGGAACAGTTTGTTTTAAAAATTCCTGGGTTTCTTGTGAACAACAGGGGTACATTAAGAATTAACTGGAACATTTGATACCTTTCTCCATTACCAAAAGCAAGCTCTTTAAATCATGGTTAGCAAAATGTTTTTTTTTTTAAATGCAGATGTCTTATTCTTTTACAGGTAAAGTGGAGACGATTCTGTTAAAGACCATACAAATTACGTAAGTAAACATCATAGCGGAGGATATAAGCTAATATTTTTCTAAAATCACAGAATATTTTTCAAATTGAAAAAAAAAATCAAAAATCATTTGCATTAATAATTGATAGCCGAACTTGAGCAGGATTAATTTTGAATAAAACAAAACAAATAGGAACACATTAGGCAGAAGGACCTAAAGTGTTTTACAAACAATATTTTTTTGGGTTGGAAAATAATCAATTTTGTGAGAGATTTTTTTTTTTTTATGTCAATGTATTGATCAATGTCGATTGATGCACTGATATATTTTTAATGGAAAGGTGCAGGCCTCTGTTTAAAAAAGGAATCATTCTATGATAATTCTAATTTTTTACAGCTTCAGTATCGTACGTCTTCCCGCGGCCAAGAAGTTTTTGGTTGACCTTGATGTCAGTGTTTGCTTTGACCCTACTTCTGATGGTAGTTGTGATTTCACCCAGACAATCTTCCAGCAGACCAAACTTCAGCAAATCCTCTGTGACCTCAACACACCCCTGCTTCCAGGTCAGTTCTCTTCTATCAGAGTTATCTACCCTTGAAACTGCTTTGTCAGTACTAACACGTAACAATTAAATATATAATGTGGTGGTGTGGTATCTGATCTGTCCAGCTGGTATAAACATTTTCTTTAATTGGCTTCATCTATTTCAGCGAGCTACAGGCCAATTATTATGACCCTAGGCCTTTTGGTTATTTAGAAGAAGTTTATTAAAGGTTTTAACACGTTTAACCCTAGTGACTTTGGAACTTGGTCAGTCATTCATTTGATCAAATTTGGCCTGTAGCATGCTGAAATGGATCGCTATCAAACTTGAGCAAATTTAAAGGTAACAGAGGTCAAATTTATCATAATGTTAAAACAACTAAATAGTGTAGAGCCCTAGGGTCAACTAAATAGTGTAGAGCCCTAGGGTCAGGATAGTTGGCCATATTATGTGTTGGTGGATGCTATCAAGCTTTGTTGAAACAAATGTCCTTTCTCTCTAAGTCCCAAGGTCTAGAATGGTACAATGATTGTTTTTACTATATTAAAAATAATCACAAATCATGTTGTTATTGCTTAATTTCTATTTATACTGTTAGAACTGACAGCAGTGAAATACGTAAATTCCTATAATCAGAATAAAATCTGTTTATCTTATTATAGTTGATTTTTCTTGAAGTTTAATGAAGTGCTGATTGAAATGCTGTGTTGTAGATTTTTCACTGAAGAATTGGATCCAGGACAAGGGCCTAGAGTTGGGCAAAAGTCTGACCACAGCTCTAGCCAATAAGCTGTTAGAGGAACTAGGGATCATGCCCTTCCTGTACTCAACACCATGTGATCGGCAGGTCGGCCGATACATTGGGGACGAGAACGGCTGGAACTCAGGTAGGTACAGATTTACATTTGTGGCAGATTCTAGTTGTACATAGAATTACCGTCACCATTTCGTCTGTGATGTGTTTTTATCAAGACTTTTCACCATTTCTCTAATTTTGGCATCATATTAAATGTTATATTTTTGCTATTGAGAGAATCAATATTATTTGATTTATATCTTCTGATAGCGTGCCCAGTAAACATGACATTGCCAAGGATACGGGGCCCAGTGACCTGTCATATACCTGACTATTGTACCGGAGTGGACTGTTGTGTGGAGGTGGGGCCCATCGGTAGATCCTTCAATACCTACGTCCTAATGGACGCCTGCAAGTTTGAACTCCGCATTGGCATAGAAAACTTCAACTTCAACGTGTCACTGTTCGCTTATGACTACGGTGCGTATATTTGATGTCAATATCTCGTTAATCACTAGTGATGGGCAACTGGTTTAAATCACAATTGATAATCAGGTTGTAATCGGAAGTAATAAACCAATCAATAAACCAATCACTGATCGTTCTGTTTCAAGTAAGTTTATCTGCCTTTGGCTTGGGGTCTATAAAGACCAGATGGGGTCTATGATGTAGACCCCTCCTAACCCAGAGATAACTAATAATATAATATAAATGATTTAGAGATCTATATATCTGTGTTTAAAACTTTGATTGATAAATCTTATATTATATTGTGTAGTTGATAAATGATTTATTTAAAATACTTTTAAATAAATAAAATTGTATGTAACATGGTGCTACAATATTGATATCTTATTATCTTTTTTCATTCACATTCCGTAGGCAAACATGAACAAATTTATCTCAAAGGAGTCATCAGAATTGAGTAAGTACATCTTGAAATGTAACTTTTGTACACTGGGAATATTTTGCTGCAGTTAACATTTCATCTTGACAGTAAATAAGCACTTAACACATTTGATATTATGTATGATTTGTGATATTTATAAATCTGATTTGGCAGGTAGATTATTTACTTAGATTTTTGTAACAAGATGTGTGACAATGATTACAGTTTTATCCTGATCAACCTGGAAGGGGAGAAGAAGTATATGTTGAACCTCAACTTGAGCATCTGTTTTGAACAAGATTCTGATGACTGTCTGATCTCGCTGCCAATATTTGAGGACTTTAAGATGACTAAGTTGTTCTGTGATTGGAATGGAGGGTTTCAAATCCCAGGTACAGTAGAAAATGAGTATTGATTGATATCACAATTTGTTTTGTTTATTTTCAAATTTTTGAAAATTGGATTTGGATGGAATGACGGGTATTGGTCCTAAGCTTATGATGGAAAGTTACAAATTGGGATGGAATGATGAGGTTTGATTTTCTTAAACAGAAGTGGGTTGGCCCTTCGATTGGAATGGAAGGATTGAAGATGATCTGAAAATTGCATTGAAAAGTATGGTGTTGACTCTAACGTCACGCTACCATAATTGGTACACTACCCAAATTGGTACACGGTCAGAAAATGATTAGAATTGAACTTAAAAATTAAGTTTGAGAATTTTCCTTTGACAATATAACAAAAGATATACATATCAGCATTTCCGCCAAACAGTTCTGTTTTCAAGAATATTTTAAGAGTACACGATGACTTCAAAGTAAACATGTCAGAAAACCAGTAAAAACGACGTTTGCGACGAAATTTTGGAGGATTTTAGAGGGGTTAAATATAAGCAGGTTTAAATGTTGATTTCTGGTCCTTATAACCGGATAATATGAAAGTTTATATATACAATTGTAGTTCACTATGGTATTTACAAAAGCAATATATTTTGTTGCAATCGGCTTATCAATTAGTAGAAATAAAAACAAGTTTCATAGCCTGTGATGTGGTGTACCAATTTGGTTCCTAATCACGGCCGAAAAACGGCCGAAATTTAACTGCGAGTTTAGCGTTCTATTTTTAGAAACAAATTACTTGTTATTTAAACATTTTTTGAAATGAACCACCATAGGTAGTCTTTGTCAAGAATCAAGAAACATTCCAGATACAAGATCTGAATTTTTAAATATCAATGAAAAACTGTCAAAATTGTACCAATTGTGGTAGCGTGACGTTAAGCTTGGAGTTTAAGGATAAGGGCTTGGCTGTATACTTGAAACAGAAGTAATGAGGTTGAATCCAAGCTAGCAGTTTAAGATAGGGGCTGGGCTGTTTACTTGAAACAGAATTTGTGGGATTGATTCTTTGCATAGGATAGAAGAATAGAGATGGATCCTAAGCTTTGTAATGAATTTTGGGGTTTGGTACATTCAGTCCGACGATCAAATGATGTTCCTATCTGACTTTGATTTTCTATATTACTAGATTTTTCCCTGGATGGATACATAGGTAGCCTGGACCTTCCCTCAGGGACGACACTGACCGGTATCCTACTCGATCAACTGCTCGAGAAGATTGGTCTTTCTGCATACCTCCTGGAAACACCATGTAGTCATAGTAACGCACCCTTCGCAGCAGTTTCAGCCTCCAACAACTGGAATGACGGTAAGCTGTCCTGTTATATGATATCATCGTCAATCCTTTCAACACTGTAGACCATAATGGACTCATCCAGATCAATTTATAGTAGAGTTTATTGAAGTTTCATAGGGGTGAGAGGATTAATAAGGTGAGATTATAACTGAAATGAACCTCTCCATTCAGAATATAGCCAAGCTGATATCACCTTGAATGGTTTTTACTGCGTTGTCCATCGTCCGTCCTTCAACTTTTTCTTTTGAACGACTTCTTCTGAAGAACTGAAGGTACTAGGGTCATGATATTTGGCCAGGAGCTTCCTGGGATGGAGTGCTATAAAGTGTCCACATTAAAATGACCTTGACCAACTTTCAAGGTCACAGGGGTCATATCTGTTAAAAACTTCAAACAACAATATCCTAAGAACCATTTGGACTAGAGTCATGATACTTGAGTATGTTATGAAGACCAGCAGTGCAAATCTTTTTCTTAATCACAGTAATGAGGTCAAATGTCAACTTAAAGTGCTAGCCAGATTCAAAGGTCAACTTGGGTTAAAAACTTTAAAATTAAAATTCCAAATTTCAAGCAACAATATCTTGAGAAGCGTTTAAGAGATGTTAAAATGTCTTGTGTTCTAGTTACCAAATTTGGTCTGAAGTTACCTAAATGTCAGTTTCATGTAACAAAAGAAACAGGTGAGCGATACAAGCCCTCTGGGCCTCTTGTCTCCATTCGGAATCAACAGGTTTCCAGATAACATTGGCTCTATCCACATGTATTGTATAGGATCTAGTGAAAGTGTTATCATTTCCCGTGTTCAGATTATCTCTGATACTAGATAAAAGGCTATTAATGAATTGAAACAGATGAAGATTGAATTAAGACTCGGATAATTTATTGTATGAAGAGAACATTTTCTTGGGAACAGAACCTATCTTTAGAAATCAATGTTTTGAGAGATCACTTTTTCTGAAAAGCCACTTTCACATACTGCATAACACGAAATGTTTGTGGGTTCTTTCCTTCGTGGTTTGAAGCCTTTTAGATTGTTTTGCGGTACAAACTTTCGTGGGTATCCTATATTAACAATCACTAGGCAGGTATATCATTCAAATTCGTTGTATGTATTTTCCTGGTTCCATAGCAACCACTTAAACCACGAATGTTTATACACAACGAACATTTCATGTTATACAGTTTTAAAATATTTTATCATAAGTAGCAATTAATTGAACCACCACCTGTTTTGAGAACATTTTAGTTGGTAGATTGCTAGAAGTGGTCTTTCACATTTGGTCCTACTCTATACATGCTGGAGATAAATTCAGACTTGTTAATGCCTTGATTTGGGAATTGAATTTCTTATCCTTATTTTTCATCACAAGAAAGAAATATCTTAAGCCCGATATGAAAGAGTCTTGAATTTATGTCATTTCAGAATGTGGACACATCCCGATCTTGCCTGCTCTACCTTCACGCGTACATTGTCACTTGACCTCTAACTGTATGGGAGTGAGTTGTTGTCTGGAAGTGGAGGAGATTAGTAAGTCTATCCACCTGTACATTGAGCTGGACGCGTGCGACTACATCCTCAGACTCGGTATAGAGAAGATACAGCGAGAGATTCTGCTGTTTGATTACACCTTTGGTACAGAGGACTTCTTCAGCCTGGCGGGCATCTTCAGAGTGACGTAAGTAACAGTGGACTTCAAGGTCATTGTCAGGGTAAGATGAGTCAATTTAAACTTAAAGGGCATCATCAGGGGTAACATCTGTCAATTTTTATAGTTAAAGGGCATCATCAGGGGTAGCATATGTCAATTTTTATAGTTAAATGGCATCATCAGGGGTAACATATGTCAATTTTTATAGTTAAAGGGCATCATCAGGGGTAACATATGTCAATTTTTATAGTTAAAGGGCATCATCAGGGGTAACATATGTCAATTTTTATAGTTAAAGGGCATCATCAGGGGTAACATATGTCAATTTTTATAGTTAAAGGGCATCATCAGGGGTAACATATGTCAATTTTTATAGTTAAAGGGCATCATCAGGGGTAACATATGTCAATTTTTATAGTTAAAGGGCATCATCAGGGGTAACATATGTCAATTTTTATAGTTAAAGGGCATCATCAGGGGTAACATATGTCAATTTTTATAGTTAAAGGGCATCATCAGGGGTAACATATGTCAATTTTTATAGTTAAAGGGCATCATCAGGGGTAACATATGTCAATTTTTATAGTTAAAGGGCATCATCAGGGGTAACATATGTCAATTTTTATAGTTAAAGGGCATCATCAGGGGTAACATATGTCCATTTAGATGTAGAGGGCATTGTTAGGGCAACATACCCCAGGATGTCAATTTAAACTTTGAGGGTTTTGTCATCAATTTAAACTTTGAGGGTATCATCAGGGTAAAATAAGTCAATTTTAATTTTGAGGGCATAGTCAGGGTAACATAAGTAAATTTAAACTTAAAGGGTATAAGGGTAAGAAATGTTATTTTAAACTTAACGGCATCGTCAGGGTAACACATGTCAATTTAAACTTTAATGGCATTAAATATTACCATGATAACATCGTATTAATTAAAACTGAAATATTCTGAAGGCTTACATGAATCAGTGTAAACTAAAGGATACAGTAAGGCTATTATAGTTCAAGTTGAACTTAAAGAACATCTCCAAGGTTTCATAAACAATGAAAACTTAACAGTCACCGTCTGTTAAACATTAGCGGATTTGAACTTAGGGGACATTGTCAGGGTAATATAAATTAGTTAAAAATAGAGAGCATCAACAGGATGATAGAAATCATTGAAAAGTTGTAAACCTATAGCTAATATGTATATATCAGTCAGTGTTTATAATCCAGGTGAGGGGCTGAGTATTAACAGAACACTGAACTGTACAATTGGAGATTACTGTGGAAAGGAGGGTACTCTATATTGAAATCTACAATTTGTAGGTACGAGATATTTGATCTGAAGGAGGAAAAAGAATTCCTGTTGTCTCTGTCTATTGATGCCTGTTTTGAGAGTAACAGCGACTGCACTATCTCCGTCCCTGTGTTCGATCAGCAACGTATTCCTAAACCCCTGTGTAACTTTGATGCCACCTTCGCCATTGCAAGTAAGTTTTTTGTAAGAACTAGAATGTTTTACAGGTAAATTTTGTAGGAACTAGACTGAATTACAGGTAATTTTGTAAGAAGTAGACTGAACTACAGGTAAATTTTGTAAGAACTAGACTGAATTACAGGTAAATTTTGTAAAAAGTAGTCTGAATTACAGGTAATTTTGTAAGAAGTAGACTTAATTACAGGTAAATTTTATAAGAACTAGACTGAATAACAGATAATTTTGTAAGAGCTACACTGAAGTACAGGTAAATTTTGTAAGAAGTAGACTGAATTACAGGTAATTTTGTAAGAGCTACATTTAATTTCAGGTAAATTTTGTAAGAAGTAGACTGAATTACAGGTAAATTTTACAAATGAAGATATATTTTATAAAACTTTAACTAAATTTGTCATTATAAGTAATTTAAATGTTGAAAAAACTTGATATAATAAATGCCAACACTGTCGATGTTTCAGATTTCAGCTTTGAGGACTATATACGGGAGCAGGGCGAGAGGGTCGGGGAAGTGATTTCAGGCCAGGTAGCCGACCAGGTGTTGGAGGCACTAGGCATTGCCACCTACATGTCAGACTCGCCCTGTGCAAGGACCCAGGCCCCATATTACTCCTCAGAAGATGACCATTGGAATAATGGTATAGCATTGTCTACTATCGAATATGATATAGAAATTGTGATCTGTAAGGTCCTGTATTCATGAAACTGTTCTCATGCTCAAGCATAGATTTTGTGCTGAAGCCAAATCTCTTGTTCCGGATATAAATTAACAAAAAAATCTTAATTGGGTAATAATTTGGAAAAAAATTGATGAGAGTTGAAGTTGAATACTGTTTTCAATGTTTACCCTTGACTCTTTGACTGTGTTACATGATTTAAGTAAGTCATAAGAAAGCTGGTTTGAGCACAGAATCCATGCTTGAGCATGAGAACGGTTCCTAAATATGGGCTCTAAATACAACAGTTTCCGTATTAGGGTCAAAGGTTCTTAGTTAAGATAATAAAATGCAAATTATATCAAAAGAGGATTTGCAGTTACTGTGTGTATAGGTGACCTACCAGTCATAACTTTTAACTCTAGTGATTTTGGGGACAGGCTGCTGCTTTTGTAATCTGGCTACTGTCACTGTAGGTGTGTACAGTTTAATGTTCTTTACCAGAGCAGGACATGATTGAGGATGTGGGTGAAGGTGGAGTGTGTTTGTACAATTTCAGTGTCAGACAAGATGATGGGCACTAATTAGAAGAACACAATATTTTTGATTTTGAATTGTTATATTAAATATTTTGAATATGTTAAGTGATATCTCATTACTTAGAACAGGTAACTACTTGTGAAAACACAGGTAAAATACGGGTAAAGACTGCCTATACTATCCAGAAACAGACTATAATCCTTTAAACAACATTCCTGTCCCCATGTTTTTTGGAAAAGTGGGGGAATTGAAAACAAGCCATCAATACAAATAGAAGTCTGTCTCCAAACATGATTTTCAAAACTTTTGCCTAAATTCATCGAAATTTATGACAATAAATATTTATGTGTCAACTATAGCTTGGTCCTAAGGAAATGTTTGATCTTTCGTTGGCCTGTGGTGTTTAGGTTTAGTGATATAATGTACTTGACTGATTGCAGCTTGTCCCAAGTCATTGAACCTGCCGTCCATTTCTGGGCCCGTTTCCTGTCACGTCCCGGATTACTGTACTGGTATCGAATGCTGTGTAGATGTCCCTTTCATCCCTAAGACCTTCCGCGTCTTCATTCTTCTTGATGCTTGTAACAACAAGTTTGAGATTGGAATTGAAAAGTTTAAACAAACCGTGTTCCTGATCAGCTACAACTGGGGTAAGTAGTTCAGCCTTAGCTAAGACTTATGAGGATTTTTTGTTCTCTCTTTGAGTGTATATGGTTGAATCTTTCAGATTTTATGGTCCAGCTTTTGAGAGTCTTTGAGTTTTGATTCAGTCTTAATTTGAGGATAAGTGGTTAATTCTTAGTTTGAATGTTCAAAAATAAAAGAGAAATATTAAATGATAAGCTCTGATTTAGATTTTTGTTTTGTTTTACAAAATAAATGTTATTCTTTTTTTTATAATTTCAGGAGAATGGAAGACATTTTACTTGAAAGGTGTTGTTAAAATCGAGTAAGTATTTTAATATTCCATGGTCTCTTGATTACAGCCCCAACTCTACAAACATGTTGAATCTATCCCAAACTGGCTGTGACATTAATTGAATCACCCAAACTGGCTGTGACATTAAGTAAAGCACCCAAACTGGCTGTGACATTTAATGGCTGTGACATTAAGTAAAGCACCCAAACTGGCTGTGACATTAAATAAAGCACTCAAACTGGCTGTGACATTAAGTAAATCACCAAAACTGGCTGTGACATTAAGTAAAGAACTCAAACTGGCTGTGACATTAAGTAAAGCACTCAAACTGGCTGTGACATTAAGGAAAGCACTCAAACTGGCTGTGACATTAAGCAAAGCACCCAAACTGGCTGTGACATTAAGAAAAGCACCCAAACTGGCTGTGACATTGTGATATTAAGTAAAGCACCCAAACTGGCTGTGACGTTAAGTAAAGCACCCAAACTGGCTGTGACATTAAGTAAAGCACTCAAACTGGCTGTGACATTAAGTAAATCACCAAAACTGGCTGTGACATTAAGTAAAGCACTCAAACTGGCTGTGACATTAAGTAAATCACCAAAACTGGCTGTGACATTAAGTAAAGCACCCAAACTGGCTGTGACATTAAGTAAAGCACTCAAACTGGTTGTGACATTAAGTAAAGCACACAAACTGGCTGTGACATTAAGTAAATCACCCAAACTGGCTGTGACATTAAGTAAAGCACCCAAACTGGCTGTGACATTAAGTAAAGCAGAAATGAAATTCAGCTAAAACGTTCACTCAGTTAGATGCAGATTCAGTCTCATCAAAATCTCCAGAGAATAAATGTCAAAAATATGTTGCAAATATTATTAAATTTCTTAGGTCAAAACATTTAAAAAGCAATCTCACTATTTACATTAAACATCGCTTTTGTGTAAAATAGTTTGACTTAGTAAGTGACCTTGACCTTAGTTAATTTGTTCTTGTATTGGCAACAGTTTCTCAATATTTCATAAGTAAAATATGATGACACCTAAGCCCTGCTGACCTTGACTTTGTACTAATGGTGAACACTATTCCACAGCTATATGATCCGTACCCTTCCTGATGACAAGATGTACGTCCTGAACCTCAACACGAGTGTCTGTCTGTCTGACGGCGTGTGTGACTTTGATCAGGTCATACTGTCGGACACATATGTCCCCATCCCTGGCTGTGATTGGACGACTGGGTTCCCTGGTATGTATAATGCTTACTTGATTCCTGTAGCAGGAGCTTATGTACAAAGGTTCAATGATAAACCTTATACTCTAGATTAATACTGTATACTGGGAAACATTCACCCAGACAAATATTTGACATTCACATTACTTTACATTGTATGTTGTATACTAATATGCACTGTCATGATAAACTTACCCTTATTGGGAAGGGTGAGAAAGACAAAAGTTAAACTGTGGTGAACATTTCCCAGTATACTGTATTGTGATGTGTATTTCCATGACAAGCTTGTTTTTCCATGACAAGCTTGTTTTTCCATAACAAGCTTGTTTAATCAACAACACCAGTTTTAGGGTGAATTTCAATTTAGTTAGTGTTATTAGAATATCATTTGTGATCACAGTTTGAATAAAAAAAAAGAAGAAAAATCACTGCAAAAAATACCAAGTTCCATTTTACTAAGGAAGTACATTGTATGTGTTTGTGATTTCATATCTACCTAACAGTGTTGCCCCAAATGATGACATCTAAGATTTTATTAAGACTCATTAAATGTTCTTTTATACACCATTAACTAAACTCTTTTCTTCCTTCATTGAGTTCACCTGATAATCCAGAAGTTTATTTTCAGACTTTTCCCTGTCTCAATGGCTGCATGACCAGGAACAATCAGCTGGTGCAGTGTTGAGTGAAATCTTTATATCTAAGCTGATGGAAACACTGGGCTGGACTCCGTACCTCAATAATCCCAGCTGTAGCATGTCTAGTTACCTACCAGCTAATGCCGACAACTGGAAAGTCGCAGGTACACCCCACGCCCATTGCCCCACCATCCTCCCAACCTCCAGTCCACCAACCCTGTTATCAAAAAACCTCTACCACAACATACATGTACTGTTAAAGTGTAAATTACTAACATGTTTTTAACATCGAGTAAATTAGTGCGAAAATATTCACACATAATACATACTTGCCAACTGTTTTTTCTATTTCCCTGGGGGAGTTAACATATTCTCAGAATTAAAAATATAAAAAAAATGTGTGTATGTACACCCTAGGAGAAAAATATCACTTTTGAATGACATCTTTTGAGGTGTTATTTCAGGAGAAAACTGGACAGTTCTTAGAAAATAGAAATAGTCAAGTAAATTCACTGGTTTAAAATGCTCAGTTTTAATGTCCAAAATTGGGAGTCTCCCTCCAAGATTGGAGAAGTTGGCAAGTATGATGATATACGTATATTATAGATTTCAGAACTATTGCCAAATTTCCACATTGCAATTACTTTGAAGAGTCACAACTGTATATTTGCGTATATGAGAATTTCGTCTTGTACAGTGGTTAGAAAAGGGTTAAGATCAGGTTTTGTACCTGCTGCTTATAATTAACGTAATTTACTCCCCTACACCCAGTCACTAGTTAATATTATGACATTTTACCATTTAGAGATAAGTCCTCTGCCGATGAATAATGTATGAAATTCCCTTATATACTTGCGATCAACAAAAATTAATTGAAGGTAGAGAGAACATAAATTATTCATATTTTAGTGATATTTAATGAAATAGATATCTTGAATATTGTAATTTGTGTAAATTCAAGATTTCCGTGACGATAAAGGAATAATTCAATTATATGTCATGATAAGCCTCTCGTGTACTTTAAATTCTAACATTGCAATACAAGAATGAAACAGATAAGGTTGCGTGGTACAGGTAATCATTTGTGTTATTTAAAGACTGTCCACTGGCGATTGGTAACAACACCCTGCCATCCCTTCCTGCGGACCTGTCTTGTCGTCTGCCCAGTCACTGTACCGGTGTGGACTGTTGTCTCTCCTTGGGCTTCATCTCCCGCACTCTGAACGCCTACGTCGACGTTGATTCCTGTCATTTCACACTCAGCTTTGGCATTGAGAAATTACAGCATGAAATCACGCTGTTTACATATGATTGGGGTAAGCTGAAGGATGACCAGGAATTACGAAATCTCCTCCTTTTACATTTGATATTTCAAGCTACCATTCCGTTTGTGTAAATGAAAATATATGATGAGGAGATGAGATATGTAGTTTACGCAATTTAGTATAATTTAGCAAGATAAATTACCTGATATAATTAGGAAAGGAAAACGATGGTATGAATTGGTAAGACACAGTACAAGTTAATGGGTAGTATGAATGGACAATACAATATATCTTATAAATGAACAATACAATTTAATATATCTTATAAATGGGCAATACAATATATCTTATAAATAGGCAATTCAAAGTATCTTATGCATGGACAATACAATATATCTTATAGATGGGCAATACAATATATCTTATAAATGGGCAATATAATATATCTTACGCATAGACAATACAATATATCTTATAAATTGGCAATACAAAGTATCTTATGCGTGGACAATACAATATCTCTTATAAATGGGCAATACAATATATTTTATATATGGGCAATACAAAATATCTTATAAATGGGCGATACAAAATATCTTATGAATGGGCAATACAATATATCTTATAAATTGGGCAATACAAACAATCTTACATATGGACAATTCAATATATCTTATGAATGGGCAATGCAAACTACCTTACATATGGACAATACAATATATCTTCTGTATGGACAATACAATATCTTATAAGTTGGCAATACAAACTATCTTACAAATGGACAATACATATATTTTATGTATGGACAATACAATATATCTTATAAATGGGCAATACAATGGACAATACAATATATCTTATAAATGGGCAATACAATATATCTTATAGATGGGCAATACAAGTATCTTGTTAAAGGCAATACATTTTCTTAATGGCAACGGAAAAAAATATCATGCATGGGCAATACAGAATTCTGTAATTTCTGTAGAAATGCAATGTCTGTATTGAATATGTGATAATAAGAAAACCTTCTTATGCAAGTATCAATTATTTTCAGGTAAACAAGAGCATCTCTACCTGAATGGAGGCTTCAGATTGGAGTAAGTCTGACTTTGTTTTACGTCCAAACATTTGTCATCATTTTACATAATATCTGTACAAGTATATGTACTAGCTGATTTAGACTTGGTTAATTGCCCTTGACCAAATACGACTCAGTAGTTAAGCGCCCTTCTAGAGGTTAAAAGTTCTGAGTTCAAGTGGTGGCCTGGCCAGCTACGTTTTCTTTTCCTGTTAGAAGTTGGTTCCATGGCTAACCTTTGTTATAAACACTGTGTGCTCTTGGAAATAGGATACCAAAACCTGAGAAATTTTAATGGGGTAGAATATAATGGGTTGAATTAGCAAGGTATATTAAACCTGACATGCGAACACTGTACTCTCGGTGAAATTGAGAATTAGTGTATACTGGGTGGAATTAGCAACATATTCCTCTACCTGTCATATAAGCACTGTATCATTTGTTGGATTAGTAATATACTGTTTATGTGCTCAGAGCTGAGAAATGTAATTGTTAAATTAGCTGTATAGAGCAGGAATACGGTGTGATACAGATTGGTATTTTAGGAGATCAAACACATAGGTGTTCTGCATAATATATGTTGCTGTGTCGATGACAAAGTTTGAAGTATATGTCACATTAAATTACATTTGAGATATTGTTAAAATTTTAATTACGTCAAGGGGCCGTTTTCTTATTGTTTCCGTCCCTTGTAGTTTTACCATTGACAACAACGAGGCAGACCAAACCTTCGTCTTCAGCCTAAACATGAGTCTGTGTTTGGAGGGAATCTCTGGCAGCTGTATGGAAGAGATGACGGTTTTTAAGGATGCAGTATTACCTAAACCAGGCTGTAACTGGGCCATGGGTTTCCGTATTCCAGGTCAGTTTTAACCCTTTGACTTTCTATGTAACTTAAGGTAATAGGATTGTGTCACCATTTCTCAGTAGAATTTCTTCAAATTTTGCAGTTATATTGCTTTGAAAATTTTCTGCCACAAAACAAGTATAGGTTGTCAGAATTTTAAGGATTTTAAATAGAAATTTATGTAAAAAGGAGTGAAGTTTGAAAAATAAAGAAAGACACATTTTTTTGCAAAATAATGTAAAAAAAAATGATACTGCCATAGATTAGTATTGCATTAATGTAGATCAATTTAATAAATGCTGAAATTGTGTAAAATAAATTATCTATAAACGATTACAAATTTACACTTTATAATAAAACCGTATACACATAGTAATTGCATGGAAGAGTTAATTGTCTTTCTTGAAAAACTTCACAGTAGTGAAATAGCTAGGTAGCCGGTTTCCTGAAGAACAGAAAAATGACACATGTGACTCATTGATAAAAAACAACTGAATTAATGCCTGAATTGCTTTTAAATACTTTAATATTGAGACAACAGACTGTTCTGTCAATAATAAACATACAATATTCATCAGTTTAATATTAAACATTAGAATATGTGGAAATTGTGATACTGTCTCCCTACATTGGGTTTTCAACTAGGGATGTACTTCCTATTTCTGTTTATCAATACACTCCTATGACCTTAAGTAGATTCTACTATGCATTGATCTGGAGGAGTCCGTTATGGTCTGCAGGGGTGAAAGGGTTAACCGTATACCAGGATATTTTCGCTGCAGTTTAACTTTTGCCCTCTCTATTGAGGGTTAATTGATCATGACAGCGAATTTTAGTACACAACATTCAATGTTTAGTAATTACATATGAAGGGCGGAATTAATACAGAGCAAACATGGATTTTATCCAAAAAGGGCTAATATTTGACTTGACGAAAGTGTCCTGGTACACAGTACTCTGATTGTTACTGTACGTTGGTGAACTCGCACATTTAAAATGAGATATGTTCTGTAATGTCATTATTAAGGAAAACTATTGTAATAGATTGTTGGAAAGGTTCAATGTAAATTCTAGTTTCCAGGATTCCAGATATTTCAGGATGAAGCTTAAAAAAGGATTAAAAAATGAACCAATTTGAGATTTTGTGAAGCTGAATTTAAATAGGATCAAAGATCACCTATTCTAATAACAAAGGCTACTATAGTGCGACTCATCAGATTTAAGTTGTTTTTGAAGTCTCAGTGTATTTATGGACTTTCATTGTAAATTCCTCACTCTTCGATTGGTTGTTGATGTTTTTAGATTTCGCCTTGAGTAATTGGTTGACTGACAACGGAATGATCGTCGGCCAGTCTCTGTCCCGTTATTATGCTGCTAAGTTGATGGAATATCTAGGCGTGGCTAAATACATGTTGACCACGCCCTGTCAACGTTCTAGCAGCTACTACAGTCCATCACAGAACCAATGGAAGAAAGGTACGTCAATCTTACGTAACAGCTTATTATACTGAGGAGGCGTCATATCCTTGTTTCCTCTCGGGACTGCACATAGGCCATACCAACATTACACATGGTTTACTTGCATTTTACCAGTTAATGTCAACCATGTTATCAACCTTTTACAGTCAACATTGTTTATTATAGACTGGATCGGTTTTAAAGAAGCATGTGATAAATTTTATGATGTTCCAGCAATGAGAAGTTAACTTGAAACGTTTTGGGTCATAAGTATTTCAAAATATATGTTGAATTGATCTTAACCTTAAGATATATTTTATGGTTCATCCAACTCAATTGCTGATGATGTTTTGTTGCAATATTCATATGTTAACCTTTTAGTTTCAGTTTGATGTAGGGGGTTTTGTAAGTGTCTATTTTTACAATATTGATTTGCCCTAAAATGACCCGAATTACCAGTGGACAACAGTACAATATACCAATGTAATCCAGGCTATTACATTTTGAAATTTTGTCTGATATGATGATACAATGAAGAGATGGGTTAACTGATAGATGACACTGTCTCTATGTTGTAGACTGCCCTCTAGACATCAGCCTCCCCAACATCTTGTCTGTACCTATGACGTGCTATATTCCGGATTACTGTACCGGTATTGACTGCTGCTTGGACGTCGATTTCCTTGGCATGTCCTTCCGTAGTTTTGTCCTCTTGGATGGCTGCGGCCTCAACTTACAGATCGGGATAGAACAGCTTGCTATCAATGAGTCTTTAAGTGGCTACTTGTTTGGTGAGTTACAATTTTAAGAGGAACAAATGCGGTGAAAAATAAAAAACAAATATGTAGATATTTTCATAGATTGACAAATTTATAAGATTGACAGAGCATTTGATATCACATTTATCAAGTGTGTATTTTTGTAGACCGTTAATAAATTGTGTTTATAGTTTTAATGGATGTAGAATATAAACTGGTTCTAAGCTGCCTCTATAATGTAAAGGTAATATATATTACGGTTACATAACAATCAGAAATTCTAAGTCTGATAATAATTTGTTCATTGCAATCAGAAATTTTAAATCTGATCATATCTTGTTTCATCGTGGACAAGGAAATATTAAGATTGAAAATAGTGACAAGTAGGATATCAGTCTCACTACCTAGCATTAAATACTTTATTAATAGCACATAGAAACGAGACACTTGTGATTGTGAATTTTGCCTTAATAATGTAATGTTTATGTGTGTTTTATATCAGGGACACCGAGACAGCTTTATGTGGAAGGTGTCCTGAGGATTGAGTAAGTAGAATATTGATAACATTATTGTCTTTTAAAAGAAATAAAACTGTTGTGTATATTTGATCAGTAATACACTATTTCTCAAGTCGTACCTACAGAACATATCCACTAGTTTAGTCATTGGAGTATCCTTGCTCTGACTGTGATTTTACTCAATTAGAGATTCGTAATTTAGCACAGCTTTAAAAGGAGATCTGTAATTGATTGCTTATCCATTAAATGAGAGTTGATTATTGATAATAATAGAAGAAATTATTCACCTCCATACAAGGAAAGGTAATTACTTACCTCCATGTAAGGGGAGGTAGTTATTTACTTTCATAGAAGGAGATATGGAAATAAATACTATGACTACTGACTATGGTGACCGATGGAGAGAGAGGTGACTTTTCCTTGATGACCTTATAGTGGATCTGACTATAGAGAGAGGTGAAATTGTTCCCTGGTGACCTGATAGAGGACCTGACTGTGAAAAGTTGGCCTTGTTTCCATGGTGTCATGATAGAGGACCAGACTGAAAAGTTGGCCTTGTTTTCATGGTGTCATGATAGAGGACCTGACTGTTAAAGATGGCCTTGTTTCCATGGTGACCTGATGGAGGTTTCCATGGTGTCATGATAGAGGACCTGACTGTGAAAAGATGGCCTTGTTTCCATGGTGACCTGATAGAGGACCTGACTGTGAAAAGTTGGCCTTGCTTCCATGGTGTCATGATAGAGGACCTGACTGTGAAAAGATGGCCTTGTTTCCATGGTGACCTGATAGAGGATCTGACTGAAAAGATGGCATTGTTTCCATGGTGACCTGATAGAGGACCTGACTGTTAAAGATGGCCTTGTTTCCATGGTGTCATGATAGAGGACCTGACTGTGAAAAGATGGCCTTGTTTCCATGGTGTCATGATAGAGGACCTGACTGAAAGATGGCCTTGTTTCCATGGTGACCTGATAGAGGACCTGACTGTGAAAAGTTGGCCTTGTTTCCATGGTGTCATGATAGAGGACCTGACTGTGAAAAGATGGCCTTTTTTCCATGGTGACCTGATAGAGGATCTTACAGTAAAAAGATGGCATTGCTTCCATGGTGACCTGATAGAGGACCTGACTGTTAAAGATGGCCTTGTTTCCATGGTGTCATGATAGAGGACCTGACTGTGAAAAGATGGCCTTGTTTCCATGGTGACCTGTTAGAGGACCTGACTATAGAGAAAGGTGACTTTGTTTCTATGGTGACCTGAGGATGGATCTGAATTTAGGGACCTTTTGTTGTTTCCATGGTGACCTGATAGTAGATTTAAATGTAAAGAGTTGCCTTTATGTCCACAGCTACATGATAGAGGACCTGCCTGTAGAGAGAGGTGAAATTGTTTCCATGGTGACCAGATAGTAGATTTAAATGTGGAGAGTTGCCTTTATGTCCACAGCTACCTGATAGAGGACCTGACTGTAGAGAGAGGTGAAATTGTTTCCATGGTGACCTGATAGTATATGTAAATGTAAAGAGTTGCCTTTATGTCCACAGCTACCTGATAGAGGACCTGACTGTAGAGAGGCAGTACAAGGTTGATGTTAACCTTAGCATATGTCTGAACGCCGACCCCAGTGTGGCTTGTCTATACTCTGTTGAAGTGTACCGTAACACACTCCTCCCCAAGCCTCTGTGTGACCTCAGTGGTGGCTTCTCCATACCAAGTGAGTGGATATTTAACTCCTGCCTTCCTGAATATCACCAGCATATGTTTCCTCTACTGATCTTTTTATTTTATTTGTTGACAAATAAGAAATGTATTCAAACAAGTTTAAAATCGTCCATTACGTTAGTGATATACTGAAATGTTCACATGTTAATGGTTTTGGCAGTTCCCATGGTTGATAGTTTCTGCAAGATAGCTTCCATAAATGTAATGTCATTTCAATGAAACAGGCCAATTTTTATGTTCAATTCTGTGAGATTTGTAAAAGCTATTATTTTAACCTTTATAAAAAAGCAAAACCGTTGCAAATATTGTTAAGTATTCATTAGATTTTCATTTATAATTTAAGTTTGTATTTGAACCCCTCAAAAAAGGATTATTCATAGTTATGAATTGTGTTTTTAAATCTGTTAAAAATGCTAGAGTGTTGAGCTGAATCTTAAACACAAGGTACTCAATTGTAATTATATTGTTACAGATTTCTCGCTGGTTGATTGGCTTACAACCAAGAGCATAGCGATCGGGTCAACACTGGCCGCCGCTGCGGCTACAGAGCTGATGGACAATCTGGGGATATCCTCATACCTCAACACTGACCAGTGTTCTCTGTCCTCGGACACATACGCACATGCGGTCAACGGCTGGACATCAGGTACAATTAATATCAAAACAGTACACGATTATGTTATTATCATATGCAGTTATGTTGGTTAGGAAAATGTTACCAGGAGGTTTAGAATTTCGGTCAGAACAAAGGCTTTGCTGAAATTCTGAGACCAATTTTTACACATCTACACCATCTGGATGAATTTCCTTATCCTACATTCCTACAAAACGATTGATTCTTTTCTCCCACCTTGAACACAGGAATTTGGTAAATATCTACAATATTGTGATATCAAAGTTTTACTTTTTACACAAACAATGTACGTATTAAACGTGTGGTCCCTTCGTCAAGATATGACTGAGTTGCGACAAATTTAATACGTACATTGTTTGTGTAAAAAGTAAAACTTTGATATCACACATTTCCAAACTGATGAATTTTATTGAAGAAATCTGCAATACTGCTAATGCCACAAGAAATATAGCAGATATTCTAGATACCATTCAAGTTAAAGATGTACTTATACTTATTGGTAAGTTATTCAATAACGTGACTAAGAAATGAAGTCAAATGTATTTATGAACAAAGAAGAGGCATATAAACGTTATTTATTTTACAACATTTATGAAACAAGTTATGTCAACTTATATTAATCACTCTTGTCGGTCGGATGTTAACACACGGGGGGTCTTCGTGTGGGAGGAAACCGGAGTACCCGGAGAAAAATAATATTTTAACATCTGTAAACCATAATGTCAAGTTTCTTGTATTCGAGAATGAGTTATTACCCAAGTTTGATAGACAATGTGTTTGTATTCCTTTGAAATTGTTTTAATGGTTTAAGTGTTACACTGATGTATTTTTTGTTAGAATGTCCGTTTGAGACGAGCCTACCAGCCATCGGGTCCCCGGATGTCCGCTGTCACTTACCAAGTTATTGCTCTGGAGTGCAGTGCTGTATTCAAGTAGACTTCATCTCCCGCAGTTTCCAGGCCTACGCCCTCATCAATACTTGTACACATCAACTGGAGGTTGGAATTGAGAAGTTTATCTTTAAGCAGAGTCTTTTCAACTACCTGTGGGGTAGGTATATTTTCTTGTTTTATTTGTATTGTTTTGACATTGCCATAATAATTCTTATACTATACGCATAACAATCACTGAAAATCACAGTTAATACAACTAGGACATCATACTCATTATCCTATTTCAGCCCGACTTTTATCATAAATGTTTTACAAAGCTTGAAAAGAAATGAAACTGGTATATATATGTGGCGAGTTTGGTGTATCAATGGGCACACTTTCTTTTGTAGGCACTAAGGAGAGTATATGGTTACTTGGAGTGGTACGAGTAGAGTAAGTATCTTAACATAAAATTAATATATTTGATCTTTTGCCCTTGTTTTTGATATATTTTGACATCTTTTACACATTTTAACCTTTTGTTTCTTGTTTTTATGTATTCATTTTTTGTGAATTTCAATTTTTTACGTCATTGTTTGGCCATTAGATGACTTGTCGATTGGTCTTAAAACAATACAAAACAAACTAACTTTTGCTCTGGTGCAGAAAAGAGACCTCATTCAAACCTTTTAACTCATTCACCCCTGAAATATCATAATGAACTCTTCCAACCTATGACTTGGAAGAGTTTAAATGTGTCTTCAGGGGTGAATGAGTTAACATACTAAGTCCCTCTGCCCATATAAACTTGTTCCTAAAAGATTTTCATCAAGACATTAGAATATGGGTTGAGGCTGAAGGCCAATGTCTTAAAATCATTTAGTCATAAATTTGTGTTCACCATCAATCAAACGTCTTTCAAAAATCACTGCACTTAAGTATTCCAGCAGGAGAAAGACAATTTAGATTTCAAAATTTTCGATGAAAGGTCATCATCACAAGGTCATTTTGACAAAATTTAACTGTTAAAAGCAATTAACGAAATGCCATAAAACTTAATGTAAGTATTTTAACAGACACACTGAGAAATACCTTATCCGCAGATGTTAAAGGTCAAGGATCATGAAGTTATCTAAACACTTAACAGTTTTATGAATATTTCTTCAGAGAAAAATAAATTAAGAAAAAAAGTCACAATTTTACGATATTGTGAAGCTACATGTAGATGAAGATATATCCATTTAATTCACAGCACTCTAGATATCGCCAAACTTTTATAACCTTGATGTCCAGTAATGTAGCTTGATATGTTGTAGTTTTATCCTGACTGAGAAGTCCCTGACCTCGTATGAACTAAACATGAACATTAGCGTGTGTTTTGTGTTATAGTTTTATCCTGACTGAGAAGTCCCTGACCTCGTATGAACTCAACATGAACATTAGCGTGTGTTTTGTATTATAGTTTTATCCTGACTGAGAAGTCCCTGACCTCGTATGAACTCAACATGAACATTAGCGTGTGTTTTGAGGCCCAGGACAGCTGTCTGTTGCATGAGCCTGTCTTTATAAACACGGAGCTCCCGAAAGTCTTCTGCACCTGGGGAAGTGGCCTCATCATTCCAGGTAAGGACTGATATGTAACACCTGGCTTGTTGATTAACTACTGTGAAAACATTAGTTAGTGGCTTCATCATTGCAGGAAAGGAATGCTATTTTACACCTGGCTGGTTGATTAAATGCTGTGAAATCACTAATTTTTGTAGGTTTTTAGGTTACCTGACCATAGGTCATGGTAAACTATTGCGTTAACTTTTCCTTGTGAACACGATAACTTGAGTAAATGTTAACCGAGTCTGATGAAACTTTGTATGCAGCCATAATGAGTTCGAAAATGGGAATTATTGGACAGTAACTTACAGAGTTATTGCCCTTTGTAACAATATTATTATTGGACCTTGTGAACACGATAACTTGACTAAATGTTGACGGAGTTCAATGAAACTTTGTCCGGTAATTATTTGACAGTAACCTGCAGAGTTATTGCCCTTTGTCATTATATTATTATTTGTCCCTGTGATGTTGATTGACATTACAAAAGAATAGATGTAAATTTATGTGGTACACCTTTTTTTTCATTCATGACGCATTTTTGCTACTAACAAGGTGCTATTTAAATTTTGTGCCTTATTTAATAAATCATTGATTTATGCTTTTGCTTGTTTCTTTTAACCAAGAACAGAAGACATACAGTTAACAAGTTTGTTCGAAACAGACCCCTTGGGTCAAAATTGGAGTCGCACCCATTTATTTCAGTTATCGTGTTCACAGGGTCCAACAATAATAGAATTACCAAGGGGAATAACTATGTGTGTTATGGTCAAATTGGTCCGGTATTCAAGCTCATCCAAGATCTCATTGATACAAAGCTGCATACAAAGTTTCATCAAAATCGGTTCATATTAACTGAAGTTATTGTGTTCACAAGGAAAAATTAATGGACAATGCAGCAAGGTCACTCGGACCGACGAAAAGTATGAATTGGCCCCTGGATGACAGTCCTAATTTGAATCGGATGTCAGGTGACCGTTAAGGCCCATGGGCCTCTTGTTTAATTTTTGATTTTTGATTTCGATGTTAATCATTATCCACAAATCATAGGTCAATGAAGTAATTATAAGTTTGATATAAAGCAAGTCTCCATTAGAGTGAGTACTTGTAAACCACAAATTAATGCACCCACAAAGTGGTGTTTTATTAGGAAACCAGGACATTTGGGCCTTACGAAAATATCTTATGTCATTTTAAGTATCTGAAATATTTGAATTCTAGAATGAATCCAATAATTTCTCATCTGTATGTATGAAAGACATGCATATCTGATGCTAACCACTTCTGTAGGATACAGGGCCCACTTGTATAAAACATCTCAAAGTTCAGGAAAATCTCAAGCAATGCATTGTCTATGGGGAAATCTTAGACTTGAGGAAATCTCAAGGGTTGAGATGTTTTATACAAGTGGGCCATGGTATGCTACATGGTGCTCTCCTCGGCCTCTAGTTTGGGTACAACATTATTGTAAACTCTCACTAGATTCACAATGTCAGGATCAACTCAGAAGTTCCAGGTTAGAGATGAGAGCAATAGATTCAATCAATGTTAACTCAGTCACCCCTGAAATTCCATAATCAACTATTCCAACCGTTGAATTGGAAGAGTTTAAATGTGTCTTCAGGGGTGACTGAGTTAAGGTATACATTTTATGTATTTCAATACACCCTGTACATACCTGTATATATATATATTGATATACTATATCCTTGAATTAAAGTAAGAAATTATGATATAATTTCAGACTCAAACCTCCAGTACAGATATGATTTTTTTGTTGTTTACAGATTTTGACCTTGAGGAATGGGTGACCGAGCAGTCTGAGACTCTTGGGTCAGTTCTGTCCAGCACGCTAGCTAACTCCTTATTAGAGCTTCTAGTGGTCAAACCATACCTAAGTGATCCCATGTGTTCCCTGACCGATGTTTTGTACACTCCTCGTGTCAACGGTTTCAAAGACGGTAAGTGCTCCTTCCAAGTTTTCATTACTTTTGATAGATGGTTTTGGAGGTTTCTAGTAGAAATAATCCCTGAAGGTAGGGCGTAAGAACTGTACCTGCTGCCCCCATTGCATGATCGTAAGAGGCGACTAAATTTAGGATCTTATCTTTTCTCTTCTTTCTAAACAACCTTACTTCTTCCTAATGTTCCCTTGACAAAGCCTCACTTTACGCCTTTAGTTGAGCGTTCGCCCCTGTGAGGAAGGCTTTGGGTTCAGTCCCCTGGCCGAGACATACCGGAGTCTGTAAAAATAGTAGTTTCTACTTCTGCTTAACGCTCAGCAATTTAGGAGTGGGAAGACAGGTTCGCCCGTTGTCAGTTTAATGTGACCGGGTGGGGTGTCCTGCTGGGTGTCTTCGGAAGTATGTTTCAGTGAGGTAGCACTATAAAGTCGGCATCAGTTCCGCGCTATCACAAGGAGACAAAACATGAACATATTGCAGCCTCCCAAAACACGCATACACTATACGTATGCATCTTGCACACAGGGGTGGCCGTCCTTAAATGACCATAGCTGCATATTGATAGGACGTTAAACAATACTAAACAAAACCAAACCAAATTCTTGTAGAAATATAATTTTAGTGCAGTCCATTTCGTGAGATCAGGGCCCGAATTCTTGAAACTGTTTTCATGCTCAAGCATTGATTCTGTGCTCAAACCGATTTTCTTGCAATTTGCTTAAATCATGTTACACACTGCAAAAGTTAAGTGTAAATACTTTATATCGTAATAAAATTGAGATGTCTTCAAAATTGATACAAATCTTTGGTTGATAAAATATGTGTCTTGATTATATATTACCAGAAATAAAAAGTTTGGCTTGAGCAAATAATTGTTAGTGTGATCATGAGAATGGTTTTATGAATACAGGCCCTAGTCCCAATATCTGGAAACAAGCTCTTAAGATTGAGGTTATCAGAGTTCCAGTGTACACGGCAACTACATAAGTATTGGGGGTGGGGCGGCGGTGGTTAAGTGGTTAAGGCGTCTGACATTCTGCTACCACTAGGCCTCCACCGCTGGGTCGCGGGTTCAAGGCCTACGTGGGGCAGTCACCAGGTACTGGCCGTCGGTCGGTGGTTTTTCCTCGGGAACTACGGCTTTCCTCCACCATCAAAATTAACCTGGCAAGTCCTTAAATGATCTAACATTTGTAGCTGTTAAGAGGACGTAAAACACAAACAAAAGTATTGGTGATATTTTCTTTACAGTGTGACACAAAGAAGACTACAATGAACACGGCTCTAGGTGATATGTTGCTTTGTAATTATAGAATGTGGTGTATCCTTACCTGCCCTGCCCACCGGAGTGTCCTGTCACATCCCAACATCGTGTACTGGTATAGACTGCTGTCTGGAGATCCCCCTCATCTCCAAGTACATCCATGTGTTTGCCCACCTAGACCCGTGCAGCTATGTGCTCAGGCTTGGAATAGAGAAACTCTCCTTTAACATGTCACTCTTTGACTATTCCTTTGGACAGGAACATGTGTTCTTACTTCAGGGAGTATTCAAAATCAAGTAAGTGGTCACAGAAAAGGTCAACCTTAACCTAAATTATGCATAATTTCATCCTTGATCTTCAAGGGGTTATTCTTACTTTCGCTCACTGCACCCCTGAAATACGTCATGACAAAACCGAAGGCTCAGTGGTCCTTTGTACATCAGAAGGATATATGTCCGTCGCTTAACAGTAAAATTGACAGGCTTTGAGTTGGGTGTCGCTCCTTTGTTAGGTCACCTGAGCTTTAGCTCAAGTGACCTATTGCTATCCGTTTTCGTCCGTCGTCGTCCGTCGTCCGTCGTCCGTTAACATTTTACATTTCAAACTTAAAGTCAAGTTCTGCTGGGCCGATTGAACTGAAAGTTGGTAGGAATGATCGCCTCATGGTCCTGACAAAGTGTTGTTATTTTTCGGGTCGATCAGAAATCCAATATGGCCGCCACGGCCGCCATTTTGAAAACCTATTTCAAACTTAAAGTCAAGTTCTGCTGGACCGATTGAACTGAAAGTTGGTAGGAATGATCGCCTCATGGTCCTGACAAAGTGTTGTTATTTTTCGGGTCGATCAGAAATCCAATATGGCCGCCACGGCCGCCATTTTGAAAACCTATTTCAAACTTAAAGTCAAGTTCTGCTGGACCGATTGAACTGAAAGTTGGTAGGAATGATCGCCTCATGGTCCTGACAAAGTGTTGTTATTTTTCAGGTCAATCAGAAATCCAATATGGCCACCACAGCCGCTATTTTGTAAATACCTATTCTAAACTTAAAAACAATTTCTAATAGGCCGATCTTATTTAAAATCGGTCTAGGAATGATCAGCTCATGGTCCTGACAAAGTTAAGTTAACATTATACTTAACTATTTTTTACTCAAATTGGTACATATTTCAACAACAAAAATAAATACTGTAGGACTCAGGTGACCGTTAAGGCCCATGGGCCTCTTGTAATATTCAAAGGACAGGTATCGGACTAGCGGTTTGGAGGTTCCAGGGGTGCAGAGAGCGAAAGTGAACGTAACCCCTGGAATATGGAGGATGGCATAATTGATGTTAGTAAAATTAAACCCCATCACATGCTGGGACTATTACACAGTGTAACAGCATCATCACCTGCTGCAGATATTATATTATCTTGTTACAAATTGTATAAGGACACCTTAACACGAAATTTTACGTTACTGAAAAAAAAGGATGGTTACATTCAAGTCTTATCCCTACTTGGTACTGTGACAAGCACTGGATACACTAATCTGTGATCTCTATTGGGTTCATTAGAACCCCATGTGTTTATTATGTTGGGATATGTACATTTCACAGGGATTTTTTTTAACTAAATAGAAAGATGGATGGATGGTTCTGTGACCCGTTTTGAGGGCACTCCTGTTTTACATGTTTAACACTATATGAAATGTGTAAACAGACATATGTCTCTATAATTTACAGAGTCATGATAGATGACCTGAAAGCGGATCGTGCATACTTAGTGAACGTGGATGTGAATGCCTGTTTCGACACCAAGGATGATAGCCGGTGTTTGAAGGTTCCGATTCTTGTCAACACCAAATTACCCAAGCTGCTGTGTAACTGGAACCTAGGGTTCAAGATCCCAGGTATAAAGCTGTTTTCAGACAGACACTTTTAACTTCTTTTTTTTAAAGTTTGAGTAGGTAGATTAATCTTGATTATCGTAATAATAACTGTTCCTTCTGCTCCCTTCAGGATTGAAATTCCTCGTCAATTTGACTTTAGCACTTTTGTCAGTGTGACTTTTAAAAATCAAAATTTTCCATTGAAATATATCTGAATACTTTTAATGGAAAATTATTGCCACAGCTGTCACACAATATACCAATACAGCACCAGTCCTGTCTGTATGATCAAGAAACTGTTTAGTATGAAAGTCTATTTGTTACAGAAAACTACACAAAAAAGAGTTCTGTTTTTTCACACCTTAGTTCTTAGAACTGTGCAGATTTTCAGAAAGCCAGGTGCCCAGGTCCTATTCTAAAGACACCAAAAGACTTGATGATAAAACAATGGGAAAGAAATGTCCGAATTAGGCAATCCTGAGGCAACTGCTTCATAGATAAATTTCTAGCAAATCAGTACTTGACCAATAGTAAAACATCGCTGAAAGGATATACAACACATTGCAAAAGATCAAGGTTTTGAAATGCTTTAATTTATCAAAAGACTGATGATTAAATAATGGAAAAATGTTTGTTGAATCCTTTCATTTAGAAGAGAAATTTTTCAAAAGTGTGAATTTGACAATCCAGGCCTCTGCATTTTAGATAACTTTCTAGAAATTAAGTCCTTGACCAATATTTAATTAGCGCTTAAAGGGCATACAACATATTGTAAATGATTAAGATTGAATTTTGTTTACTTTGATGATTTTAGACTTTAACCTCAACAACTGGCTGTCAGACAAGGGTTTTGATCCCACACAGAATCTACAGGAAGCAGCCTTCATGTACCTGATGCAGGAGTTGGGGATCCTTGACTATCTGGAAGATGAACCGTGTGATGCCAGTGTACCAGGATGGCAGTCCACAGGTGAAACACTGACGGAAACATAAACAATTATAGACCTTTCTCGAGGTCCATACATAGATATTCCCAAATTAGTGATATCGGTTATCATGTTTATATTCATGTATGAAGACACAAGGTTTACCAAGTGTCTTCTTACAAATTAAAAAAATACTTTAACGAGGGTAAGATAAACATGTAACCAACCATCAAATCTTTAAGGACCTTTTTCTCCCATAAAGTTCATATTATACCTAGAAAAATCATACCTTTTGATTTGAAATATAGGAACGATTCCTGGTTCTGATCAGGGAAACAATAGCCACGAACCATGAAATCACACAGAAAGATGCTGGTGTAAAGCTTTGTTATGTTTTGTCAAAGTGAAAAGACTGACCATTGAAATCAATCCCTAGTTGCTGCCGGAGAAGTTAGATATTGTTGGATGGGCGACAACTAGTCTTGTTTGATACATTTTTGCACATTAAATCCATAAACACAAAAATTACAAGATTTGACATTGTCTACAGCAAGGCTGCCACTTTTTCTCCCACCCTTCACAGATGTGTCTCCCGTTTTAGCCGGAAAAGATCAGCTTGTTACCCCCTAGCGAGAGATAGCCTTGTGCAGATTAGCATGTGTTCAATTGTGACGTCATTAAAATGCGTCACCGGTTATTGTGACGTCATCAGAAGTGAATGACGGTATTCATACCCACATGTTTTGTTTACGCTACTGTCGGTGGAGTTGTGACTGAAATAATAGGATGGGAGAAAAACAATCATCCCCTACCTTGAGGGCGTGACAGAGTAATCTTCAACCCTCGGGGTGATATTTTTGGTTGTCTAACCCTCGGCAAAGCCTCAGGTTAGACAACCAAAAAACATCACCCCTCGGGTTGGAGATTTCCCTGTCACACCCTCAGGGTACGGGAAGTTTCTATTAATCTATACAAAATTTGTGTCTTAAAATTGTTAAAAAGTGTTCAGATTAACAGGTTGACAGATACTTTTGTATGACTTATTAAAAAGAAAAACATGCATTTTGATTATAGTGTGAATTTAGAAACATTGATTGCTTGTTTTGATTGCTCCATGACAGGTTGTGCAGAGAGCCTGACCCTTCCGTCCCTTCCTGGGAATACTGCTTGTCGCGTCTCTGACCTCTGTACCGGTGTAGAATGTTGTACGAGTGTGCCGAAACTGGCGCGGAACTTTAACACCCACATCTTACTGGACAGCTGTGCTCACACACTCAGCATCGGCATTGAGAAGTTATTCCTCAACATTTCCCTGTTGGACTATAACCTAGGAGTCTCCGATAACTTCAACCTCTTTGGCTTGGTGAGACTGGAGTAAGTATAAGTGCCCTATACAATAACAGTGAATCTGGAGTTAGTGGAAATATTTGCATAAGATACTGGTACATCTACAGTATTGGTAAAAATGCTTAGATTCAATATTGGTAAATCAACAGTAAAAGTGATCGTCTTCAATATTGGTAAATGTACAGCGAGTAAAAATGTTCGTATTCAGTATTGGTAAATGTACAGTAAACGAAGATGGCTGAACCCAATATTGGTGAAACAGGAGTAAGTGAAAATATTTGTATACAATGTTGGTCAATCTGGAGTAAATACGTTTTGTGTAATTAATTTAAATATATCTTAACTAAACAGAAAGAAAATGCCTGACAGAATGGTACATTTTCGTTACAAAATAACAAACTTACGTCACACTCCCATTGCTATCAATACAATAACAAATGTGTTATCCTCACCAATAGGCCAATCATACAATAATTAAAAAAAAATATGACAATATACTTTACACAAATACCTCATTTTCACTATTGGCAAAGACTATTAATGGCGTTTGTATTTTTGACAGCTATTTTATAGAAGATGTGGCGAGTCAGGATCTATTCATTGCCAACTTGAACATCAGTGTTTGCCTAGATAACACAACAGTTCCCTGTGCCATTGAGTCTGTAGTGTTCAAGGACGTTCAACTTCCCAAACCCCTGTGTAGCTATAGCGGAGGTTTCCGCGACCAAAGTAGGTGTCCTCGTTATCTTACCACAATTGACTGTGTATTTGCCCACATGTTTGTAGAATATGATCCAACTACATGAATCAAAATGTATATTCAGTAACTACCTATACAGGAAGGAAACATAAGAAAAAGTGTTTTTTATTTTTACAATAGGTAAATGATTAAGTGAACTGGTTACACCAGTACGCCATAGGTTCTTTAGTGCATATTATTTGTCTCTGATTTGCAACAGGTTGTAACAGTACTTATCTAAAAGACATCATTTATGTACATAAGAATTATTAGCAGGAGATGTTGAAGTATATCTTACTTTAACAGATTTCTCATTGTCCACATGGATGAACGAGAAAGATCTGCCGGCTGGGAGTAACTTGCCATCCTGGGCAACTGACCTACTGCTGCAGCAATTAGGCATCGCTGCCTTGACAGAGGATTCACCCTGTACCGTCAACACAGGGCCGTACGGAAACTTACCCAACGGCTGGTCTAGTGGTAAGTATATAATTGTACTGTCAACTCATGGTAAACATTGGTTAGTAACTGTACTTCAAAAATCTTTGAAATTACAGCACAGCGCGAATGTGTGGTGACATCCTGTTGTGAATGTCCCTAGCCCTATTACAGGTGACAATTTCTACCATTGCTTTCACATTAACTGAGATTTTCCCCCTTCACTTTACAGATTGCACCCTGTCGCTCGACCTGCCAACCCTGCCTAGCTATCTTTCCTGTCACGTCCCTGACATCTGTACGGGGGCCGTGTGCTGTGCGAGATCCACCGTCCTGGGGCGGTCGTTCACAGCCAGAATGATACTGGATGCGTGTAACTATAAAGTTTCTATCTCTATAGAGAAACTGATGATCAATATAATACTGCTGGATTACAACTTTGGACAGTGGGAAGTGATTGACTTGGAAGGCCTCATTGCTATCAGGTAAGACACTGAAATGAGATTCTTAATAAAACTGCTTAGACAGTGCCTTTTTGGTTTATCATATTACGAACGGTGGGAGCAGTTAGTCAAGAGTTGTTTGTTTATAAGATAGGGACGGACTTTGTGATATGATGTTGCTTTCTGACATACCTTTACAAAGAATTTCAAGGCCTGCGTTTATCCCTGTCATATATATATATAACATATAAATTTATACAGATCAGTTTGTCCACATAAATGAACACGCCCCAGATTTCTCACTTACTTTTAAAACACAATAGGGATTATGTATTAACTTTCTAATGTGATACAATTGTGACAGGATTTTTAAATTTTGCTTTATTACCTTATAATTATCTTTATCGTATGAACTTATTACCCTACCTTTTGTGCAGATATATATAACCATCATTTGACCATTTGATAACACTCACTTGTACATTATTTACATGTAACATGTAATGTCAGTCTTTTGTGACTGACACAAAAATATTGGCATTTTCCTTTGAAGATTCCAGCAGAATTGTTCACAAGTTGTAAAAACTTACTTTGCTTGGTTGAACATTTTACAAAAAGAATATCAAATCATTGCCAATTTATTACAAGTTTTAAATGTGAAACTCATTGAAGCTTGTTCATCATATGGTATTAGAACACATTTCAGATCCTCCAAATATGATCAATGACATGATCAAAAGTTAAATAGAGGATAATACAACCATGTTATTTGTATTTCAGGTTCAAGATAGACGACCTTACCGCGGAGAAGAAATACCTGATGAATCTACAGATGAGTCTGTGTTTGGAGAGTGGAGGGGACTGTATCTGGTCTCATAACCTACTGCAAAACACCAAGATCTCCAAGCTGGCCTGTCATTGGGGTGACAACTTCCCCATTCCAGGTAAATAAACAGGTTATTGAAGGTTGGGTCAAAACATACAGGTATTAAAAGTGGAATCAATATACATGTAAATAAACTGGAAAGACATTGATGAGTGGGGCAAATATAGTCTCCTATAAAATTAGGATACATCAGATTTTATTCAAGGATACTAAATTTGAATTTTAAGGTCATGTTTATTAAATGTTTAAGTTTCCAAAAGGCAGAGTGTGTGATCATGACATCCTGTGATCCTTTTGGTCAGTAGTGGCAGATATTTTTTTTTCGATTAAAATTAAAATCAACACAATGATTGACACTATATTGATGTGCAGGGTTCCAAATTAGTGACTACCTGGCCAATAGAGGTCTGACTGGACTTATATTGTCCAGCCTGGAAAGCCTACAGCTGCTAGAGACACTCGGAGTTTTAGAATACATGCTGGAGACACCCTGTAACAGAGGGGGAGCACTGTATACACCTCGTGATGCAAAGGGATGGACGTCAGGTAAGTTGGTTGTCTTAATACAAAGGGATGGCTATCGGATAAGTTGGTTGTCTTAATACAAACGGATGGACGTCAGGTAAGTTGGTTGTCTTCATACAAAGGGATGGCTATCGGGTAAGTTGGTTGTCTTATTACAAAGGGATGGACGTCAGGTAAGTTGGTTGTCTTCATACAAAGGGATGGACGTCAGGTAAGTTGGTTGTCTTAATACAAAGGGATGGATATCGGGTAAGTTGGTTGTCTTAATACAAAGGGATGGACGTCAGGTAAGTTGGTTCTCCCAATACAGGGCTGAACATCAAATCAAGTAAGACTGTACAAATAAGTTTGTCCTTGTCATGTACAGGTATGAACACTGGTTAACATCATACTTTTGTTGCCATTTTACAAGGGAAATATATGACTATTTATCTCCCCAAGATTAATCATGTTTCAGGGGATGAAATAGAAAAATAATGCAATAGTAAAAAGTTATCAGGTATACCTGCAGCCGTCATTTGTTGTTTAAAGTTGGGCATTAGAGATCTACCAAAGGAGCTCTGATAAGAATGTTTGACTGGGAAAACAAATCTCATGAAGGAGATTCATGTGTTTGAGGGAGACTGGACATTTCATCTCCTGTTCATGTGGTATGTAAAAACCAATGACAGTTAGACAAATGAAGCAGAATAATATCTGTTATTTTATGTGGTGATGGTTACCTTGATGACTCTCTCAAGTTGGGCCTCCACAATCATAGTAACATTGTTCTTTATAGATAGAACACAGTGGAGACACGGATGTTACCATGACAATCCCCCTCTAGGCCTCTGCTAACATAGTAACATTGTTATTTATACTAACATTGACTCTATTTAAGTAACATGGAATCTTTTTAAGTAAAATTGTATCTGTTTAAGAAACATCGTGTAACTGTTTAATTAACATCGTGTATCTGTTTAAGTAACATTGTATCTGTTTAAGTAATATTGTATCTGTTTAAATAACATTATACCTGTTTAAGTAACATTGTATCTGTTTAAGTAACATCGTGTATCTGTTGTAGTGTGTGGAGACACAGACGTTTCCCTGATGACACTCCCCAGCTGGGCCTCTGCTAACCTGTACAGCAGCTGCACTGGAATCAGTATGTGTCTAAACCTGGACTTCCTCGACCGCACAGTCAACGCCAAACTCGAACTGGATGCCTGTAGCAGCCAACTCCATGTTGGCATTGAACGGTTCCAGTTTAGCTTCACACTCTTCGACTTTGAGTTTGGGAAAATTCACCGACTTACAATGTTTGAGATCTTCACATTAGAGTAAGTGTCATCACAGTGCTGTTTACAGTAAACTCATACTTTTGTGCAATTTGTAATATTCAAGATTACATTGAGAACTTTTAATTTAACAGATACCTTGGTAAAATGTGTAATATCCGAGACAGTTTGAGAATATGACGGACATCAAAAAATATATCTTTGTAAAATTTTTAATATCCTGATGATTTTGAGAACAAGCTATCTCTTGTATTCTCTTCAGGTTCACGTGAGAAAATGGTGAGGTGTTATTCCATAGAATGGATGTATAAGGCTACTATTAATTAGCCTCCTGTAGAATCGGAGTTTATGAATATTGTCAATATAAATGAAAGCAAATGTCTGCACAGTGAATTACCCCTACCAAAACTTAATCTCCTCACAGAAGGGAGAGAAATGTTCCTATCCTACGTGTTCTAAAGTTTTCAATGTATATTTGTCCTTTTTGTAAACCTGATTTTTTTCCCCTAGGTACATGATTGTTGACCTGACTGGTGAAAAAAAGTATATCGTGAACCTAAACATGAGCGTGTGTTTTGATGATGATCTGACGAGCTGTCAGTTCTTTGTCCCAGTGTTCGACAACACCATCCTACCTAAGCCAGTGTGTAGTTGGTCAAGGGACTTCCTGGACAGTAGTGAGTAATACTTGCGACATCTCATTCATTTGAACATTTTGTGTTAAAATTGAGCACTTCGAATTCGGAGTATCTTATGCCTGTAATTAAATGGGAAAGAATACAGTGTTTCCCATGTCTGTCCCATAAACAGTTTTGATTTTCTTATCAAGTAGTTTAATTGTGCATAGAAGAATTTAAAATCATTCTTCACACCTAAGATTTGTGCATGAGGAATTAAAATTATTGTCCTTTTCGTTTGGCATCTGATTTTGACACCATTGGTCGATTTATTATCCCCTGCTTTCACCGAAATGGGGGATATTAATTTGGGTTTGTCCGTCTGTCTGTCACGCTTCGTTTCCGTGCAATAACTGCAACAAATGTAAACCAATTTTCTACAAACTTGGTAACAGGGTTTTATGCCTTAAGGCTCAACCAAATTCGATGACCACTTTCAGCGGACTTTATGTGGCGGAGTTATGGCCCCTTGAATAACGAAAAACATCATCACAAGTACCTGCGTTTCCATGCAATAACTGCAACAAATATTAACCGATTTTCTATAAATTTGGTAACAGGGTTAAATGCCTTCAGGGCTCGGCCAAGTACGATGACCACTTTCAATGGACTATATTTGGCGGAGTTATAGCCCCTTGAATAATGAAAAAAACGTCATTATCTGCCATTTCTGTTCATTAACTATTGCAAATATTATCCGATTGTCTTCAAACATAGTAACAGGGTTCAATGCATTTAAATAAGGGCTTGGCCAAGTTTGACAACCACTTTCATCTGACTCCATTTGGCGGAGTTATAGCTCCTGGAGTTTCAAGCTATACATTATATCACGACAGTATGATACTCACATGTTTAAACCTTACCTCAATATTGTTTACCTACAATATGTCCTGCAAGTGGGGCATATCAATTCCACGAATTAACTTGTTTACTACAATCATGAGAATTATTTAAGAACATTTTACAATACAAATATATTGAAATTCAGATTGTCATTTCCTTGACTTATTCCATGTCTTATAGTGTGTACAAATACTTATATATTAATCTCAACACTTTCATTAGCATGAAACGTCCTTAAATGACCATAGCTGTTGATAAGACCTTAAAACCTATACAAAACCAAACCTTACTTTGCAGGTTTCAGCCTTGATAATTGGTTGGCTACCAATCATTACAGTCCACATCAGACCCTATCTACGACGGCGGTGTCGCAGCTGTTACAGACACTTGGTCTCGGAGAGTATGTAAAGGACCCGCAGTGTGACCGCTACAACTACCCTTACAGTGGTGCCATACTGGGCTGGACAACAGGTCAGTATAGACTTCTAGCATTAAGGAGTCTCCTACCACAATTTGATATCATTAAAGATCCCTGTATCACTGTCAAATACCAACTATATATTCATGATTTTTTTCCAACATGACTAGATTTTTTAATTTATTTCTGAAGTGTAAACATTACCTTGCAGAACGTTGGTGAAAAAATTGTTAAAATAAAATAAGATAGAAAATAGCCATTTAAGTGATTTGAGTGTAAAAATTTGAAAATTAAGAGGCTAGACCATGTTGTGAAACCTTGACTTAAATCTTTATACTGTCTAAATGAGCTGCCTACGCAACAATGGTAACAATGAAGCCCAGTTGTATTATAATATTAGCTGTAAGTTATATTGAAAATGAAAAAAGGGAGATATTTATCCTATGCGATAGGGATCCATAGGAGCTGTTCTACCCAATAGAAATACTAAAACAGTGTTTTTGTGTTAGTTATCAGCTTTTTTTTATTTTCACAATTTATAATAGCTTTTTTTTATTTTCACAATTTATAATAAATCAGAAATGTTTAGAGTGTCCATCATCACCGATGAATGCATTACTGTCAGTCTGTCGTATGTTTTTCTTGTTGTGAACATCTTTTAGTAAGGAAATTCTATATATATGTTTTGCGTTATTTGTATTTTGTAGATTGTTTAAGTGCTGATTTGAATGATTTGCCTAGCAACCTGACCTGTTACCTAGACAGTACATGCACTGGGATTGATTGCTGTGTTGATGTGAATTTCATGCAGAGAACGTTCAATGCTTACGTCAAACTGGAGCCGTGCAACTACAAAATCAGCGTGGGCATTGAAAAGCTGCAGTTTGAGAAAATTCTGATTGATTTCGATTTTGGAAAATGGCATAGTGTTCAATTGTTTGGAGTAGTCAGCATGGAGTAAGTATCAAGTCATTTTATCATTGAAGCATGTACTTTAAAATTGAATATTTTCTTTGCACTCATATTTGGTGGGTCTCCCCCCACTCCATCCCCCCCACCCCCCATTTATTTTTCTCCAATTCATGGGAACATGAATTCGTGGAATAAAATTGCCCACAAATCAAAGTAAAATAAAACCCTCCAAAAACAGTTTTGGAAAGTGATGACGAGTGTCGGTCGTTTTGCATTATCGGAAAATTTTAATGTAATCTGCAGATTGATACACACATTCAACCCAATATGTAGGGGCGAGTGGCTAGTGTCCCACCAACTCAGTATAGCTTTAAATACTTAGTTTGAAACTTTTCATTTTGAACTAAAAACACTTAAGAAAATAATTAATTTATAGTGTAAGGTTTTTAGCTCACCTGGCCTGAATGACATAGTTGGGATTATGCCACTGTACCGTATCATTTATCGTACATTCTTCATATATGAGATCTAGTCTGAGATTTACCTCAATGGAGTTTGTTTCAATGTACCAAGATCAAGTTGAGTTTTACTCCTTATAGAAAATATTTGTGATCCTTATCTCCTCTTTACAAAAATGTATGTCGCACAGTCTTTAAATTCATGCAATTTACTTTGTCCAAATTACAAATGTGACCTATATGTTTTACATGACAAAATTTACTGTATATTATTCAAAATCTTAACCAATTTAGTAAGCGAGACAGGTTGAAAGGTAGAGGTCAGACCAAGCAGCACCGTCCTTTGGTCGGGACGCAAATGCTAGGTTTGCATCGTTGTGCATTCCTTCCTGGGGGTTTGGCCGTGGTAAATCCTCAGAGTCCCATGTATATAGTGTAGATTTTGTTTCTGTCCTTTCTCTGTTCTTTTCTTTCTCTTTGTTCTTTCTCCTTTTTTACAATTTGATTTAGTATTTGTTTTTGTTGACCATTTGTTGGCTCTAATGACCTATCCTGTGTAGATGGGCCGTTAAGCATTGATAATAATTATAATAATAGTAAACCAAATTGTGCCCGCAAGGGGATTTGTTTTCTTTGTGATGCCTTGTTTATAAATGTTTTTCCTTGCCTGTAGTTTCATTGTGGATGTTTTCCATGCCGACAATATTTACCTGATCTCTATGAGCCTGAGTCTGTGTTTTGAGGCGGGCAAGCCCTGTCAACATATCTACCCATTGCTTGTGAACACCGCCATTCCTAAGCCTGTGTGTAACTGGAACTTAGGATTCCTGGATCCAGGTAAGCCTTACTGCAAAGATCGACCAAGCCAATTTTCTCACCAACTATTCTTTTCAGAATTGGTCACCATTTTATGCTGTGATAATTCTGTCAAGCAAGAGTTATTGATGTGTAGCGGAACTGGACTTGGTCAATCGGCAGTGACGAGTTAGCTCAACTGGTAGTGCTTGTTTCTTTTAACATGATAATTGGCAATTTTTTAGTTACTTCTAGAATAATATTACAAATATTTATAACTATAACCTTGTAATATTTCAGTGTTTTCTCTGAAACAATGGAAATTGAACCGCGGTATGACTATTGGTGAAGCCCTGGCTTATCATGATGTGTCAGAGTTACTACAGAGCATGGGTGTGTCAGATTTAATGAGGTCAGAGGCATGTAGTCGCTCTGAGGCACCATACACTGGAGCCAGTGGTAATGGCTGGCTGGATCGTAAGTAATATATCATATAAAGTAAATAATGAGGTCTAGAGTTATGATGTTTAATGTGTAGCTTACTTGTCAAAATTTAATCCAGCTTGTGAAGTTGAATGACTTGCAGCTGTGTTTAAGATCTGTATAAAATAGAGAGATATGATTTGTACCTGATATTACTTTTCATGTTCAATTAGATAATGTAAACGATTTCAGCACTTTTCGTATTTTAAATGTGACGCAGATTTTGATGGCACAAATTTAAGTTTCTGCATTTCTATTGCATGTAGTGTAGACATCCCTTTAATCAGGCTGTTAAAAGGTTTAAATGCATTAATGAACTAAAATTAGAGCGCTCTTCAATAAAGATGTATATAGTATTATACTCTGGTGATTTCAAAATTAAATGTTGATATGTTACGGCAGAATGCTCCGGTACAACCTCCGGCCTGCTGAGTCTGGGGTCGGGAGTGACGTGTCGAGTCGTTGACTCCTGTACGGGGGTGGACTGCTGTGTGGACTCGGACACGCTAGGCTTGGCCATCAATACCTACGTCTACCTGGATGCCTGTAACTACCGCCTCAGTGTAGGCATTGAATTCCTACAGCTTAACTACACTATGGTAGACTTTGTCTATGGTGAACGTCGTACAGTGTCGCTCGTTGGAATGGCCAATTTGGAGTAAGTACAGTTCAACCTCAATGTATTTCTGTTGATATTTTCCTTTGGTTTCAAAAACTGTGTTGTATGAGCTAGCTTTTCATTTCAAATTTGAAAAATGAAATATTTCAGATAAGTTCTATAAATCTAACGTAAAGTGATACTTTATCAGATTGGCTTGATAAAAACACTAATCTTATCAGAATCTTGATTCATTATTCTTAAAAATATCCTTTCATCAGTAAAGGTCAAAGGTCGAATTCCCATCAATTCATACTAAAGAAAATGTATTCTTGTATGTGACTAATCTTGCAAAACTGAACAGTAATTCAAATATAATTCAATTGACCCAAATCATTATCCTACAAATCATTTGTATCCTGGAATATTTATTAGAAATAGATATTTAAATAATTGTAATTTGTATTTCTGAACAGTTACCTGATCCTGGACTTGGAGAGCGAGGATTCCTTTGTTGTATCAGTGAACATATCAATTTGTTTCGAGTCTGCAGAAGCCTGTGATGTGTCAAAAACAATACTGGACAGTGTAAAGATGAAGAAACCTGTTTGTGATTGGAGCACAGATTTCCTCATACCAGGTGAGTCAGGGTTTCTAGTCAGAGGTCAAAGAGGTCAATGTTACTATTCCTAAGTCAGAGGTCAATGTTGTTGATGCGGTTACTATTCCTAGGTCAGTGGTCATTGTATTGTTTTTGAGAGAGAGAGAGAGAGAGAGAGAGAGAGAGAGAGAGAGAGAGAGAGAGAGATCAAAGTTATTAATGTTGTTAGTCTTAGGTCAGAGGTCAAGATTATTCTTCATACCAGTCTTAGGTCAGAGGTCAAGGTTACTGATGTTAACATTATCGGTAAGAATTGAATATCATTGGAGCTGATAGCCTAGGTAAGAGGTCAAGGTTATTGATGTGATTTTTGGTCCAACTCTTAATGCTTCCCTGTGATGTAAATGTTTCTTTACAAATAAACAAGTTGTTATTCCTAATGACTCCATTTTACATTTCAGGTTTCAGTTACAATGATTGGCTGGTTTCTCAACAATGGCCAGTTGGACAACCACTCGACTCCACAATGATCAACCGTCTGCTGCATGTGCTAGGGGTCGCCTACTACTTACGGGACAGTCCATGTGAGCGCAGGACCTTTTACCCGACCAATAGCGAGGGCTGGAATAAAGGTCAGTAGATCTAGATCTAAACCAATTCTGGTCCACAATTCCTGTCTTAATCGGAGGCAGGAAACCATGTGCTGCATGAGACAAAATTACTTTCCAAATATGTATATATTTGAATCCAGGTATTGATATAATCTCCATATAATTGCGACTATGAGCATTTTAAAGGTAACAGGTTTAATACCACTGCAACTTCCAAGCTTCCTTTTATGAGGATGTGGTGATGTTGTGTAGTAGATGGTCTCAAGTAGTTATGACCTTAGTAATTGGGTAAAAGCACAAGTAAAAGCTGCCTTCCCTCTTACTTAGTAAAAATCATTTTCTAGAGTTAGGTATGGTGTGAAGCATAAAAAATGAAAAATATTTGTTACTTGAAAATCATTAATTTCACTATAAATGTGTTATTTGACAGGCTGTCGACCTTCGGTGGACTTGCCGACATTGGTTGACGTGATGACATGTAACCTGTATGACACGATTGACCCTAACACCGGCTGTACATCTGTTCAGTGTTGTACGGACGTCGCTCTCATTGGCAGGTCCTTATACACCTACATCACTGTCAATCCCTGTAACTTTAAACTGACCATCGGTATAGAGAAGTTTACGGTGGTGATCGGACTCCTGGACTATACCTACGGCACCGTTGGTCACACCTATCTACACGGTGTTATACGAGTCGAGTAAGTCTGCAAACCTAATACTGTAAAATACTTACATCTGGCAAGTTATTCATTTCATATTTTATTATATTTGTTTTAAATTAATGAAACTTTTTTTAACCATAACATGCAGAACAATTATCAGAAATTTATGAGTGAAACCTTGCTGGCATAGTTTATCCTATCAAGGGAAACAGTACACTTGTATAATCAAAATGAAGGGACCTTACTGCAGTTGATTTGCTATGATGGGAGGATGTTGCAGTATCTGTGCTGTAGCATTCAAGTGAGGTCGCACTATAAATGATGCCATTGTAAGCACGTTCCCACTACAAACAGAACACATTACATCTCCAGCACACACGCAGGCATACACACATTGGGAGATATAAGCCAGGTGGCATAGGACTAGTAGTTAAGGCAGCTCCTGTAAATTCCTCAAAATTGTATTGATTAATGTAATGCTAAATTGTATTTATTGTATATCTAAGTTGTGTTTTTTTTTTTTTTACAATAGACGAAACCTCCATTATCAGTATTGGCACTTACAAATGCTAATGCTTTGTTGTCAGAACACAATATGATGTGTCAGCAAATTGATTTTGACAGAATCAGTAAAACTTGTCCCCTAAGCTTGGTTAAACATTGAATATTAGATTTTGTCAAAAATGGTCTTTAGTTGCCCAACCTTTGTCATAAATGGTCATTAAATTTAATTGAATCTGGTAGACAACATCATTTTTGGGTCCAAAACAGATGGTCGCTGGTCATACAAGACAGATGGTCACTTAAAACAGTTAAATTACATCATAACATTGTTCAGGAGGAATAACAAAATGGTTGCATAAGGCAGATGGTTGCTGGAGCAGATTTGACTGTTTCACAGGAGAAAGAGAAATGAACGGCCATGCCAGGATTTGAATCCAGGACCCTCCAAACTCTAGACAGACAATCTACCAAGTGAGCTAACTAGTCGCAGATGATTGACCCAGTCCAGTTCCACCACAGACTGTTTATAATGATCAAATCTGATATAAAACCTGTCTGTTTTGCAGTTACATCATAGAAGATTTGGAATCAGAGAGGAAGTTCCGAGTTTCTCTCAACACCAGTATTTGTTTTGATTCGGGGTCATGCAACATAACCAGTGTTATCCTGAATGACGTCAAACTTCCCAAGCCGGTGTGTGATCTGAGTGCAGGCTTTATCGATAAAGGTAAAACTCACCATTTATACACCTATGTTTGGGATTAAACTCGACATTCTTTTTTAACGGTATTGACAGATGATGTGTATCATATTCAAATTCATACTGCCTGCATATAGGTAAAACTATGTGATAAGATTTGTCCATTGCTAAGATCTAAGCCCTATATATAACTTTTTGACCTCATATTCTATGGACAAAGCTTCCTGAACCCATTTGACACTATTTCGTAGGACTAAACCCCACTGAGTCGTAGACCCCTTTTACCTATTTGACCCCGTTTCCAAGGACTAGATCCAATGTATCCACGAAGTATCTCTTAGGACCAGGCCCTGGGTGTGACATTTACTTCATGCTTACAAATGTTAACTATTCCTGAGACAGATTTCTCCCTGGAGACTTGGAAGGATGAGAAGGATGTTGTTGGTGTTGTTACCGGTTACTTTGTCAATCAGTTGATGGACACGCTTAAAATCACTGACTTTCTCCTGGATACCCCGTGTCAGAGGACAAATGCGCCGTACAGCTCAGCAACAAATGGTGTATACAACGGTAAGTGGATTTATTTTATCGGGAAATATTCAAATGGTGGTTTTTGATTTTAATAAAGTCTTTTGAAGAACCACTAAGATCCGTCTAGAGTTCGGAGGGTCCCGGGTTCGAACCCCGGTCTGGCCGTGCATTTTTCCTCTCCTGTTACACACACATACAAGAATGTATACATTATGTTCATTTACACGTAAATACTATGGACATTATGTGCATTTGTTCATATATACATATTCTTTTGGTAATTGTTGGAAATTTGGACAGTCCAAGCTATAAACTTACAAGAAAACAGACAGGACATAGTATTAGTGGGTACAACTCGGTAGTCACAATAAGAACTACTAAAGGATATTGACTCATCCTTTTTCTTAATAGTTTATAACAGCTACAGAATACAGTTGATTCAATGTTTGTTTTACGTAGAATGTGGCTCCCTGACATCACTGCCGACCATTACGGAGCCAGCTACCTGTCACATCCTCAGTCACTGTACGGGCGTATACTGCTGTATGGAGCCGGACGATGTAGATGTCACCTTCCAGGCATACATTGACCTTCTTCCGTGTCAGTTTGAAATGAAAATAGGGATTGAAAAACTCACCTTCACTTTTTCCTTGTTTGACTTTGAATTTGGGAAGGAATACGGTTTCTACATGTTTGGTGCTGTGCGGTTACAGTAAGTTATCAAGTTTAAGTTTCTACGCATCACTTACAGTAACACAATGCATTGAAAATATGTGAACTTAGAAAAATTATATTAAGTTGTTTTCTTAATTTTGTACTGGTTGTGAAAGTTTGAAGTTTTCATTCATTAAAATGCCTGGATAATTACTATGAGGAATAAGAATGGCTGTCTACAATGTGCCTGATCTTATCTATTTTACAGTTACTATGTCATCGATTTGGTGGAAGCCGGTGTCTATGTTGTCCACGCAAAGTTCAAAGTGTGCTTTGAGGCAGATGAATCCAAGCCTTGTGACATTGATTTCATCTTGTTTGATCATTACATTCTACCGAAGCAAACTTGTAACTGGGCCACAGATTTTAATGTACCAGGTAAAATACACGACAGTGAAAGTTTATTGACCTTTTGGACAGATAGATGTGTCAGAGTCTATGAGCCCCCTCATCTCGATTCAGAATTGGACATTTGCAACATATCCAGACTCTCGCACGTCTATCTAAACATAGTGTATCTAAATCAAGTGGTTGATTTGATTATCCTTTCTTACATGTATAACAGCTAAGTTGCCTACTCATACATGTTTTATGTAAATAGGCTTTACCGACCATCTTTTGTTCTTTAATCATTTATGTCATTGAATTATTTGTCAAAGTTCAAGCTATTGGAACATATTTTTATGTCAGTGTATAACTTATTCATTGTTATCCTAAAAACATAATTTTATGTCATTGTATTAAATTATCAATGAATCAATGTATTTTCTCTAAAAGGATTTTCCCTGAGTAACTGGCTGTCGTCGGAGGGTGTAGTCATGTCAGTGCCACTCCCAGCATTAACTGTGTCAAGTCTGTTGTCCTATCTGAAGCTAGCAGCATACCAGTATGAAACGTCATGTGACCAAAGTTCAGGCATTTACCTGCCCACTACAAACATCTGGAATCCAGGTAAACAGAACTAACCTTATGTTACGTCTAACTGACTCAGTTACCCTTGTTAATTTGTCATTATTTTATTGTCTGAATTTTGCATTATTTTTTCTTTTAAAGTACAAAACAAGTTTGTTTTTGATAATCTTGTTTGACAGTATTTATAATGTAATGTTCTATGAATTATTTATTTATTAAATGATTTTCAACCAATGGCATTGGAGGTTTTAGATGATTTCAGCCATTGACATTTGAGGATTTCCCTCTGTTGTAGTCAGTATCTGAGACAAAGGTACCTTTAATATACAGTTGCTAGTCAAAGCCTCAGGGTTAAGTTGTTCGGGTAAAGTTTTATGGTTTAATGTAATATTGTTATATACGTACTACAGAATGTCCCAAGTCGATTGACCTGCCAACAATCTCTGATGACATCACCTGTAACATCCCTGACTCGTGTACTGGTCTCAGCTGTTGCCTGAACATGCCCCTATTGGACCATACTTTCCAGCTTTCTCTCAACATCGACTCCTGCTATAAGAAATTACGAGTGAGCATCGAGAAGATCTACCACGAGGAGTCTCTGATAAACTATCCATTTGGAACTGAGAAGTACTTCTACTTCTACGGAGTGGTCCGTATGGTGTAAGTAGATACAGAGTTGGATATTAACTACTGTGATGGGCATGATCATTAAGGTTGTACAGTTAAACATATCTAAAGTGAAACCAAAGGGTTTTCAGAAACTTGTTAAAAATCTAGATGTAAATCCATGTAAAGTTTGCTTGGCCAGTCAAGGATGCGAACCCAGGACTTTCTAACCTCAAGACGGGACGCTTTTCTGATGGAGCTACCTGGTCACCAAGGATAGCTAAGTCCATTTCCGCTATATTCCTTCCTCCTTCTTCAAAGTCTGCGTCCCTGAATACACAACTATTTACAACCAAATTCTGGGTATCCCCTTGCAAAGCATTCGTTTGAAATTTTGAGTTTTCAAAATAAAGATAATAAACTGGAAACAATTTAAAACAAGATATGTTGTGTCTGTTTAAACAGGTACAGGATAGAGTACCTGATGTACGATAGAAGTTACCTGGTTTCCCTGGCGATACAGGCGTGTCTGGAGACCTCCGGAGCCTGTACACAAAATTTCACTCTCCTCGACAGTGTACGCTTCCCTGAGCCAGACTGTACGTGGGATGCAGGATTTGTCAGTCAAGGTAAGGACAACTGTAGGGCTAGCTAATTATACCCATTCCTACAACCCTATTTATTAAACCCTTTATAACCTTACAGCTTTTGGATATAGCAGACATTTTTATTGCCAATAATGTGGGATATACGATAATGAAGGGTGGTCTGTAAAACACAATCCATGAAGCTTTGGTTAATGAATACTATCCACATTGTTGTCTGATAGGCTAATTTTTTACTTGTTCTCTGAATTACATGAGAACAAAACTAAGCAAATGTTCGCAAATGTCCTGTTATTTTTCTTACCAAGTCTAGTTATTTTAGTTCTTAGACTTTGGGTCGGTAAGAAATCTGAAATAGCCACCCTGAATCAAGTTATTAAAAATAAACTTTTTTGTATTAATCAGATAATCAGGTTATACTTTACATTTTTTTTTCAAATTATAAGGTTATTTGAATTTGAAGTTGAACCGTCTATACATTTAATTATCTGTACAGATTTTTCACTGAGCCAATGGCTCCAAGAGCGATCACTCACTGCTGGCACACTGCTCACCCCGGTGTACGAGAGCGAACTAATGCAGGACCTAGGACTGGTCAGCTATATACAGGACCCTACCTGTGACCGAACATCGGCATTATTCACTCCATCCACAAACGGCTGGAAATCTGATGGTAGGTTTCTATTTCTGTATTTTGGTTTTTGAAACAAGACTTCTTTTGTTTAAATAGTCAATGTAACAGAGCGGATGATTAATTAAATATAAATCACTGCCTCCGCATGGGATCGAACCCGGGACCTCTGGCTAAGTAGTCTTACGCTCAACCGATCGAGCTAAAGAGAAGTTCTCCCTAACCGAGACGGTAGGAAGCGGCTAGTAATTTACCAGAGTGACATAGTCAACAGAATCTGATGTATTAAATGTTTTTGTGAAGCACCAATGATTTGGTTTGTTAACAGCAGAGATCATTTAAGTTCATGGCTCAATTAACAATAAGCTAACTTTGAAAGGACAATGTCAAACACAGCGGTATAAAGTTTTAATAAAGAGATACCACAGAAGATACATTTATTGTTGATATTACTCAATACAGCATACCATAGAAAAGAAAAATCTATATTACATAGCACCAGATATTACAATGGTGAGTACCAAGATCCCTTTGGAATTTCTTGTTTGGTTGATTAACCCAAGAATTCAAATTGAATACTTTTTGCTCCTGAAAATATCGAAAATATTTTACGTACAAGTAAAATAGAATGATAGAATGTTGATGTTTGTTTGCATGAAATAAAATAATTGTTGTTTGCCTATATACTGACAGTATATAAATGTTTGTAGTATGTGTTGGTTTGCCGGAGCTACTGCCTGACCTATCAGCCCATCCTGTTTCCTGTGCACTTAACTCATGTACCAGTTGGATCTGCTGTGTAGAACTGGCCTTTGTCCAACAGAACCTCTTTGTTAAGTTTGATATCCAACCATGCAACCTGTTGCTTTCTATTCAAATGGAGGACTTGTATGTGGAGATTCCTCTCCTGGAGGACTTAACAGGTGAGTTCTTTGTCCAAATATCTGTGCAGTGACCCTTTGTCCAAGTATCTGTGCAGTGAACCTTTGTCCAAGTATCTGTGCAGTGTATCTTTGTCTTAGTATCTGTGCAGTGAATCTTTGTCTTAGTATCTGGGCAATGAATCTTTGTCCAAATATCTGTGCAGGGTATCTTTGTCTTAGTATCTGTGCAGTGAATCTTTGTCCAAGTATCTATGCAGCGAATCTTTGTCCAAGTATCTGTGCAGTGAATCTTTGTCCAAATATCTGTGCAGTGTATCTTTGTCTTAGTATCTGTGCAGTGAATCTTTGTCTTAGTATCTGTGCAATGAATCTTTGTCCAAATATCTGTGCAGTGTATCTTTGTCTTAGTATCTGTGCAGTGAATCTTTGTCTTAGTATCTGTGCAGTGAATCTTTGTCCAAGTATCTATGCAGCGAATCTTTGTCCAAGTATCTGTGCAGTGAATCTTTGTCCAAATATCTGCAGCGAATCTTCAGAAAGAAATTAACTAACTTTATACTGCAAACCAGCAGACCATGGAAGTGTAATATTTAAGCAATGATGGTTCAGTGAGTATAGTTTTGGAGAACTCAGACGGGAACCTATACCCATTTATGCCTAACTTTAAATTATATGGTCAATTAATAATTAGTTTATTGGAAAATCTTGGACCTATTAAACATTTCGTGGTTTTGACATTTTAAATATATTTAATCACTGAAAAATTATACCCTTCGAAATTCTAGTGTTTGAAATTTTGTTTAGTTTGTCTGCATCAGTGAAAAATAAAAACAAAACAGAAAATTTCTGTTGCAATGAACTTGTATGTGTTAAACTTAATTATAACAATAGGGGCCTATATTCATTTATGCGGAACAACTGGTTTGTCTGTTTTTAAATGTAATATTTTCGGATATAAATCCTGGCAGACCTGCAAATGTTTATGCAGGGCCTTGCAAGGCTTTGTCAAGGCTTGCCTGAAAGCAGCATCAGATTACTAGGTCTGACCTTATTTCATAAATGAACAACTCATGTCCGACCGGTTCAACCATTTGAATCGCGATAAACAAAAAGGGCCTGGGTCACAGTTACTGATACAACTGTTACTTCCGGTGCCGTTACAGTGATATAAACTTTGTATTGTTTCATTACAGGGAGATCAAGGACTTTCTACACAGTGATATAAACTTTGTATTGTTTCATTACAGGGAGATCAAGGACTTTCTAAACAGTGATATAAACTTTGTATTGTTTCATTACAGGGAGATCAAGGACTTTCTACACAGTGATATAAACTTTGTATTGTTTCATTACAGGGAGATCAAGGACTTTCTATCTAAATGGTGCACTCAGAGCTGAGTAAGTCATATATTTACAGCTTTTAATCTGAGCTCATTATTGTAAAATTTCTATAGAAATAGTGATGTTTACATCATTTTCTTTGGAGTGAAAATCATGATTTTTCTCACTGATTTTTTGACTTTTTAAACCAACTATTGTCATATCATCTTAGTAATTGTTCAAATTGAATTCATTCTTTGCATAGAACAGCTAAAATTATGGAATTTTATCTTATTATTTTGTCACAAATATGGATTGAGGAAAATACTTTATAGACATTGTTATAAAAAGTTTTGAATGAAGTTGTTAAGGTATTTGGACGTTGCCGTCTGTTGGTTCATCTGTTCATCTGTCCATGCTTTGGTTTCCATAAAGTAACTTGCTTCAATATCATTAGATTTCCCATTGGTAATTACATATTATCAGTTGATGTGATTATATGTTTACATATTGTATTTTTGATATTTTTACACAGCTTCAGTATTTACAACCTGGAGAGTAAAGATTTTTACCTGGTGAACCTTGACCTCTCTGTGTGTTTTGAGACCATGTCCTGTGAGTGGACGGCCCCTATCCTGAAGAACACACTCCTTCCGAAACAATCTTGTGATTGGAACAGACCCATGGTTGACACTGGTAAGTTTACTCATTCACCCCTTAAGTCACATTTGAACCTTACCAAATCAAAGACTGGACAAGTCCAGTTTAGAAATGAAGGGGTGAATGAGTTAACAATCCTGAAAAAAATCTTGTTGAAAAGATATTGAAATGCTTTTGCGTGATTAGAAAAGACGTAGGACAGACACAGGTAAGTTATGAGAACATGTGTATGACAGAGAGAAAATCAAATGTAGCAACCTAGAATAGGGATGCTGTACCAAAGGGTTGGTATTTTGATGTCCTTGACTTCAATTTTAATGACCGTAGAATGTAACCTCTATTCTTTGTCATCAGGAAATGGATGTTTATTTCTCCGTCATCATTTAGATAAATATGTTGAGATATGAAATGTGCCATTGTAAGTTTGAATACTTTGGATTACAAATCCTCTGATGACCAAACTATGTTGAATGATGACAGGATTCTCCCTGGCGACCTGGAAGTCCTCTATCGGAGCTGGGGCAGTACTGACTGACACTGAAGTCCACCGGTTACTAAACGAGCTGGAGGTCAGCTTCTTCCTGTCCGACACACCCTGTGATACATCAGCTGCACCCTACTCTCCAGATGTCAACGGCTGGAACAAAAGTGAGCTTCTCTTTGGGTATTACATTTAGCCGTATTTGGTAAATAGTTATTCTGTAAGAAATGTTAGAACCTGTCTAGAAATCCCTATCGAGTAACAAGTTTTTTTATGTTTAATTAACCTATAACCCTGCAATCTATTTAACTGTTAACTCTTTGACATCACAGCCTGTACAGAGGATGTAGGGACCCTGCCGACCTTGACCTCTGGGACCCGCTGTCACCTGACTAGGCTATGTACTGAGGTGGACTGCTGCTCCAACGTGCCCACTATCAAACAAAACGTCCATTACAAGGTGCATGTAGACACGTGTAAGATGATGCTGACTGTGGGGATTGAGGAGGTACACGCTGTGATTCCACTGTTTGACTACACAATGGGAGAGACTTGGTACTACAAGATCAGGGGTATCTTCATCATCAGGTCAGCACGCTTCATACATACAATATTATAGTTCTTAAGTAATGAATGAATGAATACTGAATTACAACACGAGAGGAAATTTCAATACACCTTGATGAAGTATAAGTTACAGCCCTTGGTTGCCTGGCAACACTCCCAACTCCATGAGAACATTAAAATGAATCTTTTCAAATTCTAATGTTAAAACCTCATATTCCCAAATTTGGCTTTTGGAGTATGAAATAAGTATTTCCATATATGGCCATCTTATTTAATATCTTTTTTCATAAAGTGAGCTTTATACAAAGAATACTCTGATCACCTGTAATATCTGTTAAATTAAGGAATGGTTTAATTACCATGCAAGACTTTACCAGTATTACTGGTAAAATCTGTATCTCATGGAGTGGGCTAACTGCAAAGTATGACTTTAACTGGTAAAACCTTAAATGGGTATTACATATTTCACCATAATACAGGCACATGCATTTCTTAATTAAACATGTTTCATTGATAAATGTTTGTTTTGTTATAGCTACAACATCCTGGACCTGTGGGGAAGTAACAAGTTACGTGTGTCTATCTCGATCCAGTCCTGTTTCTCCGCCGGGTCATGTGACTCGCCTATTGCCATACTAAACAGTGTAGAACTTCCCAAGCCTGTCTGTAACTGGGACTATGGTTACAGTATCACAGGTACTGGTTATACCTCAAATTAACATCAACTAAAATGTTTACTTTAAAAATGGCTTCATGTTCATAAAAATTCTGGCATTAAGCCTCATCTGAATATTTATACTACATATATTGATTTTTTTTGCCCTGGCAGAGGGTGAAACTTTTGCCCTTCTTCGTAAACTTATTTTTCTGCCAATGTAAATTTCGCCTTTTCATATAAAATTACAATGTAAATTTTGATGCATGATTTTTTTTCTTTTTTTTTTTCCTCAATAGTTGATCAAAGGATGATCCATAAATGACGAGGATCACCTTTTTTAGTCAAAAGGGGCTTTATTTCCTCGGAGAGGGGGCACATGGGGGTCACTTAGTACGAAACATTCAAACAACATCTCTTTTGTAACTTACTAGTGGATTTAGAACAAACATTCATGAAATCATTCTTTTTTCACTATTTCCTAAATTAGGGAAGAAATGCCCCACTGGGCTTTTATTCAATTTGGGTCTGCTCAGCACTACGTGTGTCTTTTATATATAGTGTCACTGAGCTCGAGGTGACCATGGGCCTCTTGTTACAGTAAATGTTTGACTCTTGTTTTTTGTGTGTCCAGGGTTCTCCATAGATCAGTGGCGACTTGACAACTCGGTGGAAGTGGACAGCGACCTTGACCAGTACCAGATCGCTAGGCTTCTCAGGGAAACAGAAATCTCGGCCTATTTGTATGAAAACGAGTGTTCCTTTGCCACTGGTGTTTTCAGTGGTGCTATTGATGGCTGGCACAATGGTATTATACATTTATATTTACCTTTGTTGTACCTGAAGTAAAAGTTAATAAATACATGATGGTCAGATTTAGCTAATATCTCAAATTTTCAAGATGAAGTATTCAAAATTTTGAAGTGTAATCTTTAGATGAAGTGAATCCAAACAGAATTTAACACCTGTTTGTCCATCACGTTTGACACACCTTCAGCCTTGTTACCGTTGACAACCATTTTTGCTCTGTCACAGAATGTCCAACCGTCGTAACACCCAATCCGGACGAAGCCACATGCTACCTGTCCCCCGACTGTACACAGATGGAGTGTTGTATGTTGGACCGTGTCATCAACAGGAATATCCACACTTATGTCCGCCTCGATCCCTGTACCAACGAACTCATCATAGGCATAGAGAAGCTTGCCTTTAATGTATCTCTATATGACTACAACTGGGGTAGGTCTTACTTCCTTGTTCGTCTACCTTTGTCTACAATGGAGTGAAGTCTTATTCCCAAAATATTCTACAGCTGGAAAAGATCTACATCTCATTATCATGCAAAAGTTTCTTTTTTTACTGAGTGACAATGACATAATGGAACAATGTTTAGTTGTTTTTGAGATGTTCACTCTCTTTATAAATTTCACTGAAGCATCAAATAATTTACATTGCATTACAGTGCTATCTGACTTGTACAACAGGATTAAGAAATGCCATGATATTACAAAATTATGTTATATGTACATAAAATACAGTATAACTGAACATTTAGCCAAATAAAGGAAAAATATACCGATTTTAAGTTTTGCTGTTGGTCAGAAATGTTATTATGCTGATTTTGTATTGATCAGGTGAACAGAAGGAGTTTGATCTCGGTGGTGTGTTCAGGATCGGGTAAGTTGTGATATTGTTTATCAGGATGAACTCTAGGTGGTTATATTTAGGGCCTGGGTCGAATATGTGCACGTGGATGCCCTATAGTTATCACAGTGTATGTCTTTCTGTCTGTCCATCTATACACACTTACGTTTCCAGAAATTATTTCAGAATCCAAAAGGTTAATTTTTCAGAAAACATGGTGTCACCCTGTGATATGTAGATGTGAAATGGCCGCCTGAAGAGTTTCTAAGGTCAAGGTCACTATTTCTAAAACTAAATTTTGCTGAGAATAGTCCTTATCTCAGGATACAGAATAATAATATTTTTGAAATTTGACATGACGATGTGATATTAAGATGCACAATAGGGGTTTGAAAAGTTTCTAAGGTCAAAGTCAAGGTCACTGTTACTGAAAAAAGACCTTGATGGGTGGATGGGCATTTGTGTTACGGTCAGTGCGTTGTAAGTTTTATAACTCTCCTCCATTCCTCACCCCACCCCGCTTTTTTTAAGTGGGTGGGTGGGGGNGTCATCACTCAAACTTCTTTAGCTTTTAGAATAATGGATTTAAATCTTCATTCAAAAGTCAAGTATCAAGTATGAGAATACATTAACTTCTAAAAAAACCTGTATTCAAATGTTCCAAGGTCACTGTTACTATTTGTAGAAATTTTCAAGCAGCGACACATATTTTAAAAAGTCTTCATATATTACAATTTGTTTATGTATAGTGCTTGGTGTAATGAGTGCCTAAGAATGAAGAAACCAATTTATATTGCATGTTGAAAATTTGATCATAAACATTTTTTAAATATTCCTAAATATTAATGTTAGACAATCAAAGTGGTAGCTATCAGTAAAACATAAAGCTGTACAAACTTTGTAACTTACAATAAGATTTGTTTTATGGAGTGATGATACAGGTCACAGGACCCGACCCATGAGGACATGTACATGTATGTATAGACTTTATAACTTACAATAAAAGGAACTCACATGATTTTCTAGGGTGATGATACAAGACCTGACCCATGAGGATATGTATGTAGTAAGTGTTAATCTGAGTCTGTGCTGGGATAGTGGGGCACCTTGTGGAACTATTGACCCTGTCCTTGACAACACACTGCTCCACAAGTCCACCTGTACATGGGCCAGGGATTTCCCTACTACAGGTGAGTCGAGGCTAAACTTTCATTTCCCTTTTATGTAATGCATTGGTTTGGGGGCTGATCTGTACCTGATGTTATCCAGAGGAATCTTGACTTTTAGTTTCAGGATAACAAGACAGTATTTGGTTTAATCACTACCTTCATTGTGTGACCTGGGTATATACAACTGTATATATATATAGGGTGATAGCTATAGGGTGAAGCTCTTTAATGGTAACACATGCGTACGTAAACAGAGTTGCTTCCCCTTTCTACACTTTGCATTTAAAAAAAAATCGTCCGGAAGTAGACCTCCAGTGGGGAAAACGGAAGTGTATCCTTGAAGCAAAGACAATTTTGTTTTAACACATACTTGAACATCTTCATATAGTGAAAGCAATCTTCATGTTTTATTACTTTTTTTAGATAAAAACTGTATATACATATATTGAGGTCACATGGTCAGCAGTATGTGTAGAAATATTCGTACTCTGAGTGTACTTGCATGTGATTGGCTATTCCAATCTATTCATTGTTTCCTGCTACTTTTAAAAGCTTACCTGTATAGATGTCATTCTCATGATACCCATAAAGGTATTTGGTCTTGTATCAGGGTGACAACTGCTAGGTCAAAGGTCAAATCAGTGCAGATTATATATGCATTTGGTTTTTTGGTCACAGAAACAAATCTTTAACTTATTGAGTGTTTGCCTTCTTGAAGGGTTCTCCTTGATCCAGTGGTACAGCGATACCGGATACACACCAGTGTCCACACTGACCGGTGATGCACTAGTTGATCTGATGGAGGAGCTTGACCTATTCCCATACTTGAATGACAATGTGTGCGACATCTCAGCGACACCGTACTCTCCTAGAGATGCCTTAGGGTGGAACATTGGTGGGTATTGTGTTCTTGTCCTCAAACTTGTACATCTTCTGTTTGTACAATGACCATGTTTATTTTCTGGAACTAGAGTGTTCAAAATGTATATGGTTCTTAAAAGGCGCTGTTTGAGATTATGTTTTGTTTCAGTAAAGATATTTAGAGGTCAACTTGCAGGTCATTTTTGCTGAGGGTAGATTTTAAAGTTTGAAGTAGTCTGACACACAATTATAACAATGACATGTACATAGTGTACAAAACTCATTCACCCCTGAAATTTCATAATGAACTGTTCCAACCTTTGATTTAGAAGAGTTCAGTGTCCTCAGGGGTAAATGAGTTAATGCATGAACTTCATTTTTGTGTCATAAAAACAAGGGAACTATTCATATCACTTATATTGTTTGATTCTGACTGAAACAGAAGAGAACAATTAAAAACCAAAACAGTAAGTTTGCTTGATCACACCTGCCAGGTATTATTGGAGGGAGCTACATGTATAGGTTTGCAATCTCAGTCAGTCTACTTGCAGTTGCCAAACTTTGCACGTGATTACCTCTTTGGATGACAGTGTCACGTACTGAAATTGAGATGTGTGCCTGCCTTTATACTGAATGTTGGTTCGTTTTTGAGACTGCAGTTTGTCAGGAAGTGTGGTATTATTGATAACTCTCAATACCTTGCCTTGTTAAACATTCAGGCTGCAGTCATGCCATCGCTGTGCCAGACTTACATGCTGATGTATACTGTAATATTGGTGACACCTGTGGGTCCGTGGACTGCTGTGTAAATGTTGCCACCCTTGGCAGATTCATGCAGACCTATGTCTACGTAGATCCTTGTACGTACGACCTCACCATCAGAATTGAGAAGTACGGCTTCACCATCTCCCTACACGACTACACCTGGGGATCCACACTTCTGCTCTACCTGAATGGGGTCGTCCGTCTGGAGTGAGTGATTTAGTCATCAAACCTTGACATTGTTTTTCCTCCTGTTTCTAGGTCATTGAAGGACACTTGCCTTATCCAACTGTACCAGTACATATACTCGCCATTATTAATACATCAGGCATGTTCCGGTCAAAAACATCTTTGAAAAGTAATCTTGATCTGTTTTTGTTTTTGGGCCTTCTGATGGCTTTCACCATTAAGTTTCATTTTTTGTTGATACATACATGTACCTTTGGGTTATACCATCATGATATGGCATGAAATTAAGGTCAGTTTGGAGGCCATCTTCTTGATTTTACTAAAGCTGCAAATAATAAAAAATGACAACTTTTTTTTAAGTATAATTGTGTCAATAATTCTCTCTAAGTATTCATGTCTAACTTATGTCCAAATTGGAACCCATCCTTTTATAAGTTCTTGAATATTTCAAACCTTGCAGGAAATCATCTAAATCAGTTGTATCTCTAAGACAAAAGGTAATAAAATATTGTTGAAATTTGCAGGTTGTCAGTAGATGACCTGTATTACCGGAGTCAGTTTCTGCTGAGTCTGTACGTGAGTGTATGTTTTGAGTCGGCGGGACCCTGTGTGATAAACCGTTCACCAATACTGGAGAACACCCTCCTTGACAGACGTCCCTGTAACTGGGAGTCCACCCTCGATCTCAATGATACAGGTTTGTCGCTTTAATTTATACTTTATCTGCTGCTTGTTGAGGGTAGCATTTACTTAGCTGTGATTTAGACCTAATTGGTATCTTTCAGAAACATTTTTGTAAGTGTTGAATCAATTGAACTCTGTACTGTTATATACTAAAATAGTGGCATATGCTATCATCTGAAATATGACGAACAACATGGGAATATGTCTCAGCAAAATAAATCCGGGACACTGGTCAGTCTGTACAGGAAGGATCAAGGACAATGGTCATCCAGCAGGTCTATTCAACAAATGATGCATTGTGGGGGGAAAAAGAGATTATGAATTAGAAAAATAGGATGCAGAAACTATATTCATCTAATCCTCTCTCCACATAATTATCTTTAGACAGTCAGGACCATTTGTTTAGCAAAATAGATATATATTATATAATTGAAAAAGACTTGTATCATCTGTAAAAATAATATTTAAGTATAAAATATGATCATGTAAATTTTTGTGTCCAGCTTTCGACATCACACAGTGGAGAACCAGCTTTGGGTTTACTAATTACGACGAGCCTCTACCACTGTACGCCCAGTCACAGTTGATGAACCGGTTTGGACTGTCGCGCTACCTGAAGGAGACGTCATGCTCCAAAAGTCTGTCTCCCTACGATTCTGCATACTATGGATGGGTTAAATGTAAGTTACTCGACTTTTCATAATTAATGTTATTCAAACATCCATGCTCTTGACGGATTTTTTTCAAACCGTACTGAGTTGGCAACAGAGGATGTTTTTTTAAGTCCTACAGTCAGCATAAAATCTGTGTATCTGTGAAGTACTGTACCGTATTTAACTGGTAAGAAGCCCATGCCTGGAAGTAATACCACCCATGTCAAACATAGCTCAGTAGAAATGCTAACAAATGTTACTTCATTGTCCTGTAATAAGCCCTCCAGCTTCTTTGAGTCAGAGATTATGTGTTGGCCCCCTGGGCATATTGCAGGATAAATACGGTACATCTGTCCTAATAAAACACATCTAGAATTATACAGTGTGCAAATAGCAAACTTGATGCAGTGATCAAAACTCAAATTTCACTCAAATTTTATTATTTTAAGATTTATTGATGATAATTTTGAATTTCAAATCAATCTTGTGTATCAATTAAACCATAACAATGTCGCTGTTAAAAAAACATAGTTTCAGTAAAAAATAGAAAGGGCGGACTGAATACTTTTGTCATACATGGCTGTAACTGTATCAGACTTTTGTGTTTCTTGTATATAAGGAAAAAGAAATACAAAATACAACAGGTATTTTTTTGTGTTGTCTAGCCTGTGTGACGCCGGTTCAGACCCCGCTGTTAGTTGATGAGACTGTGTGTGTATTGGATGCGGAGTGTACGGGTATTTCTTGTTGCCTACACATACCAGACCTGTCCAAGTCGTTTAATTTCTTCGTCAAGATTGACTCCTGTAACTACAAGTTCAGCATCGGCGTGGAAAACCTGTCTGACAATATCACGACATTCAACTTCGAATATGGTAATATTGTATATTGAATTCTCCTTTTTGCTGCTGGAATTAAAAATGTCAACAACTTCACTGCAATCAATTATAAGTTCAGAATATTAATTTTTACGTTATGATAAAACTTTAGCTTTTTGAACATTATTGCTGGCGTTTTAGTTTGTTTATCCTAATTAGGAATATACAGCCCAGCCATCAAATTCAAAATGAATTTTATTTTTATTTGAACAGAATGTCTTTTTGTATTTAAAATGAATTAATTTTACCACTTTTAGGTGTAGTAAAGCAGTTCTACTTCGGAAGAGTTTTGCGTATTGAGTAAGTTATCTCTAGTGGTCATTAAATTCACTTAAACTTAACTAGTTCTTAATCATCACTTTTCTATCAATGTATCATGTATTTTAATAATTCGAATCAATATAAACTTTAGTTGCAGTGATATTTTTTATATAATAGCGAGGGCCTGACACATGCTCTTTTCACTTAAGAATTTAAACAGAATTTCCCAAACATTATTTGCATTATCTAAATTTAAATGGTCACCAAACATTTGCTGTAATTGTAGGAGAATAGCTTATTAAAATGATCAAGATTTACACTTCGTTCACATATCAAACATACAGTATATATATATATTATGTAATTAAGTGCTGTTGTAAAATAACTTTTTTCTCCAGTTATCTTCTTGACAACCTGATGGGTGCCAACGACTACCTTCTGAGTCTCAATGTCAGCGTATGTCTGGGGGTCAACACTTCCTGTGGTTACCAAGAACGGATCCTTGACAACACCAGGCTACCAAAATCTACTTCCTGTGTCTATAACGACGGATTCGCCATAAATGGTATGTGTTGGCCTTACTTGCGTAATTATGGGATTGTTCAGGTCACCTGCTGGAGGAAAACTTCCATCTGTCTTTGTCCATCTTGTGCCATTATGTGCTGTCTATTAAGACTCCGATATTATCGGCTTCCCAAAAATGAATGGGTAGATTTCATGTTAACTCTGCACAGACCCTGTCTGGGTAATGGGGATATGAATTTGGTAAAACTGATAAGCTTCACCCTAACAGTATTCATATTCATGACCAGAAGGTCAAAGGTCTAGTATGTGCAAATTTTTCAGGAACATATTGTCCAAGCTGTAACTTTTAAACCATTAAAAATATCTTAATGAAACTTGAAGTATACCTGCATCACCCATAAATGATGTTTAATGCACTGCTGTTAGGTCATTGTAACCTTAACCCAAAGATATGCAAATTTTTCAGGAACATCTTGTACGGGCTGTAACTTTTAAAAGATTTCTTGACAAAACTTGAATTATAACTGCTTCACCCATAAATAGTTTGAACTGTCATAGGTCATTGTGACCTTGACCCGAAGTTCAAAAGTCAAATATGTACATATTTTTCAGGAACATATTGTCCAAGCTGTAAATTTTAAACCGTTACAGATATCTTGATGAAACTTGAAGTATACCTGCATCACCTATAGACAATGTGTAATGTTGTTAGGTCATTGTGACCTTGACCTGTTTTCACATGTTTAAACAAATCTCTAGTTTCATAACTCTTTTTATTTGCAGACTTTTCATTTGCCACCTATCTGGTAGACCAAAGTATCCCCATGGGGACCCCCCTGGAGGACTATATGGTGGCCCAGCTGATGAAGGACATGGAAATCTCGCCTTATGTGGACACTGTGCAATGTGACCCCACCGGTGGTCCGTACACATCTAAAGGTTCAGACGGTTGGGTGAGAGGTAAGCTCAATGCAAAACTGACCACTTTAATCACTGATAATAAGCAAAAACTATAGTCACATCATGAATTTCAGTTGTATCATGATGTGAACATTTTAATCTGGCACATTTAAGGTAAAGAATACCATCTGTGTAGAATATATTATTACCAGTATTATGTAATATTTGATTGAGTACTTTCTACTGAAGTTTCCAGTATAAGTCACATTTGGCAAAACATTTTGCAGAATTAAAGTTGTTCGAAACTTCAGTATTTGAAAGCAAAAAACAAACAAAACTTATAATAAAAAAACTACAGTGATGGAACCAAAGACCTACAAACTGTCCATTTTACACTTCACCAATGTCGCTCTATCATGGAAATATAAAAATATAGTATCAAAAAAAGAAATGAATAACCTTGACAAGGGAAATAACTCTGGGCCAGAAATACTCCTTCAGGCTGCTTCATCTTCTCTGTAATAGGAAGCACACTCCTAATCAAGAAAACATCTCTGAAGTGGTCTTCACTATTATAACTACTGCTATCATGGTACCCTTTACCCTGAAAAAGATACAATATAAATGTTCTTTGTGATAAAGCTTTACAAACTGTAATCATCAATCATAACATTTGGAAGTTTGCAAAAATAATGCATGTATTCATTAAATTAAATCAGTGTATAATGACAATATCGGTTTTGTCTTGTAGACTGTAGCCTGGCCACCGCTATGCCCTCACTGCCATCACACATGAGCTGCCAGCTCAAATCGGACTGTTCTTCGTTTGGTTGCTGTATGAACGTCAGCAAGATCAATCGTAACTTTGCCGCTTCAGTGGACATCAACTCATGTGAATCCAAACTCAGCATCCACATAGACCGTTACTACAAAAACATCACTCTCTTCGACTATACATTTGGTGTGTTGGAAATCTTGTTTCAGAGTTTTGTTGAAAATATTTCATATTTACTTTTGATATTAAGAAGTATGATTAGGTGCATGTTTCAATGGAAATATATTTTGCAATTATCCAAATATCCTATAAATAAAATGAAGTGCTCTCAAGTTTCAATTTCATATGCAATTGGTTTTCAGTGAAAGTATATTGATGAAAAGGATAATTGGTTTTACTTATTAATTAAATATATATGTAATTTATTTCAATTATTAAGCATGGAAGATTATTGTTTTCTATGCCTAATTGTGTTTCAATTTCACATGCAGTTGGTTTCCAGCAAAGATAATGATGAAAAGGATGATTGGTTTGAATAATTGATTCAATGTAATTAATTGCAATTATCAATCATGAAAAAATAAGGGTTTTCCTTGCCTAATTGTCTTGTACCATACAATATTTTGCAGGTGCCTGGGATCATTTCTATTTAAAAGGTTTTATCAGAATTGAGTAAGTAAAAATGTTTGATCTGAATTTGCCAAATACCTGAATGATTCATTGTAAATGATGTATTGAGTTTAACGTTAAGTCCACCTTTGCGCCTGTTGGCTTATGTCTTAGTAAAGCATCTGATGACTGTTTGTCAACAAATTTAAATCACCTGAGCCAAAGGCTAAAGTTATCTATTGGCATTCATCTTCATCCATTGTCTTTTAACAATTGATACCTTTGACAATTTTCGATAGTTACCTCTCTTGTGACTTTGAATTCCATTGTGTATGATAATTTGTCTCTTTTGAACAGCTTTGTCCTGTATGACCTAACACAGGACAGGAAGTACTTGTTAGATTTGAACATCAGTGCCTGTCTGGAAACATCCCAGCCCTGCGAGTTTGTTACCCAAATATTCAAGGACACAGCTCTCCACAAGAGACCCTGTCAATGGAACACTGGATTTGTTGATCCCAGTAAGTCTCATTTTGTTAATTCCTCCAGAGTTGGTCAATATTAGTGGTATCTTGTCGCTACATATCCTGTCCCTTCACGATTTCATTTTTCATCAAAGTTTAAACAAAGATGACATATGAGAAAACCTTGTACAAGTTCATTATTCAAAGTTCCAAAAAGTCACTTTTGCTCTTCATAGGTCAACCACAGGGCCAATGAGGCATTTATGTCTTGCAGACGTTTTCTATATAGTCTTGTGATGTGGACTGCAGTTTTGGTTCTACGGTTTTTTAATTTAAATTAAACATAATTTTGCAACAAACACTCCATTTTGCTACACACACTGAGTCATTTCAGGAAAACCCTTAATACTGTTAATTAAATTAAATTTCTTTTTCTTCTCTGTGTACAGTTAATGAAAAAAGATTTGTCCAAACATTGCATTGCTTTTCGAAAATTGTATGGTCATAAATGTATGCATATTTTTCCGTGTTAGGGAGACAAATCTATGTTTTAAATACAGTTTTTTTTTATTCATGATATATTTATATTTTCTGAGACTACTAAAGGATTAATTAAATTTGGTAGGTGATTTTGGAATTCTGTTGTTCATTAATGAATGCCAAACAGTGATCACCATTGGAATGGAGAGTAAGTTTTGAGTGGATTTTGTTTCAGATTTCTCTTTGAACACCTGGGCTAGTGATAAAGGCCTGAACCTGGCAGATCCACTGCCTGAGGTCTACATCGCGTTACTGAAGGAAGAACTGGGAATATCTGTGTACCTCCAGGAGGATGTATGTGACCGCACTCTGGAGCCATACTCTCCACACATATCTGGCTGGAGGGATGGTAAATAGGATTTACTGAGCTTTGGTTACATATAAACTGATTCTGGTATCTGTTACTGATTTCTTTCTTATTGTATGAACCTAAAACTTTTATCTAAATTCCAATACACAAAAATCTTGTTATCTCTTTTCTTTCTGTTTGACCTTTTACCTTTTATTTCTTACCTTTTATTTGAACTCCAATACAAAAAAACATCTTGTTTTCTCCTTTCTTCTGTTTGACCTTTAACCTTTTGTCACTGTAGAATGTGTAGTAGACTACAAGGTGACACTACCATGTTATAACATCAATTGTTTCCTCTGACTCCTCATGATTCTATTGACCTTTGACCTTGTGTTAATGAGGGATGTGGTGTAGCTACACACTACAGTATGACTTTCATTGTTACTTTTGTCCATTACCACCATCCCGTTTGACCTTTGACCTCTTGTTTCCGCTGACTCCTCATTGTCTTGTTTGACCCGTAGTCTTGTTTTGTTTCTGTAGAATAAAATGTTGTTCATTTAAGGCAATATTACAATACAATTACATCCATGGTTACCTCTTCTCACCATCATATATGACCTTTCACCTTTTGTTTCCGTCCTGTTTGACCTTTAACTTTTTTGTATCTATAGAATGTGGCGTTGACTACAAGACATCACTATCCTCCAACGACATTCATTGTTATCTGCCCTCCTCCTGTGGAACTGTGGACTGCTGCACAGAAGTTACCCAACTGGACACTACAATTCAGACTGTGGTCAGTCTTGACCCCTGCAACTTCACCCTGACCGTCACCATTGAGAAACTGACCTTCACCATTTTCTTGTTTAAGTACAGCTGGGGTATGTAACCAGGACTTGTCACACCAGATAATATACTGTATACTGGGATATTTTGGCAGCAGTTTAATTTTTGCCTTTTTCGCCCTCCGTAACGAGGGCGATTGATCATCACTAAGAGTATAAGTAGATAACATAGAAGATTCATGTGGAGGGTGAAATTTACACTGGGCTAAAATTGAGTTAATGGGAGAAGGACGAAAGTTTCCCGGTATACAATAACAGTAGACTTCCTGCAGTGGTAGATTTCAACATTTCAATACAGATATTATGAATATTCTAATCAACCATTTGAAATTTAAACAAACAATGATGCACAGTTTTGAAGATTTTAGTGTTTATACATTTAAAGTGATGATTTTACTGGTTCTTCACAGAGTTCGGTAGAAACAGTCACCGCAGAGACGAGCATATCAATATAAGGCTTTATAACCACATGACTTTAAAAAAAACGATTTTTCAACAGCTCTTTGAATACATATCTTGAAAAACATCAGTTTCAACAGTGATATTGCTTTATGTACATACAGTGTAGGACTTAATTAAGAGAAACTTAAGAGAAAAAAGGCTTTTCATATAACTTTGGATATGATTAATTTTGATTTGTTGTGTTATATTTCAGGAACCAACCAGACCATGGACCTGTTTGGTGTTTTCAGACTTGAGTATGTATACTATTATATTTGTAAGACTAGTTTTCCCTGGTTAATTGTATTTTTCCCACTGGAAAGCTATCTTGTTGCTTGTTACAGATTCGGTTTTTGGCAATTTCCCTTAGCTCAATTCATAGAACATTGCAGTAGAAATTTATACTTTCCCCTTTGCCTGATCATTTTCATATTGTGTAAACATTCATGACCTTAAAAAGCTTAATTTCAGACAGAAACTAAAATTAAAAATATAATGTATGTACGCTTCGAAAATCTTAATACAATTTTTAATTTTCATTCACTTTTAAATGATTTTTCAATGTGTGCATTTGAACTATATTTCAATATCCTATTTGTATCTGTGTTGTACAGTTTTAATATAGACAACTTGTACGAGGAGAAAGCTTACCTGATCAACCTGAACCTGAGCCTGTGTTACGAGGCTAACCAGGCATGTGATGTCATCATCCCTATCATGGTCAACAACCTCCTCAGGAAACAGGTCTGTGATTGGGGCACAGAGTACAGGATAGCAGGTAAATAACATCAGTACAGGATAGCAGGTAAATAACATCAGTGCGTGCAGGATACCAGGTAAATAATATCAGTACAGGATACCAGGTAAATAACATCAGTACAGGATACCAGGAAAATAACATCAGTACAGGATAGCAGCTAAATAACATCAGTACAGGATAGCAGGTAAATAACATCAGTACTGGATACCAGGTAAATAACATCAGTACTGGATAGCAGGTCAATAACATCAGTACTGGATACCAGGTAAATAATATCAGTACTGGATACCAGGTAAATAACATCAGTACTGGATACCAGGTAAATAACATCAGTACAGGATAGCAGGTAAATAACATCAGTACTGGATAGCTGGTAAATAACATCAGTACAGGATAGCAGGTAAATAACATCAGTACAGGATACCAGGTAAATAATATCAGTACTGGAAAGCAGGTAAATTACATCAGTACTGGATAAGATAACTTGTTTATTAAATATTGTTTAATTTTGACGAAACTTGGTAAGTATGTATTAAAAAGAACAACTGCATATTTGACCGCAAATACGACCCCACTTGAAATAAGCCCTCTTCCCACTTTGGCAAATGTCCTGAGAACAGGGGGGTACCTGCAATTATTAGCCCCCTCCCTAATTTAATCTCTCTAAATATGTATGGTTGTAAAAAAAAAAAAAAAAAAAGATTAAAATTCTACAAATAATTATGTCACTGAATTAGGCCCAATAGTAAAAAGAATTCTTTCATTTCAGATTTCTCTGTGTTTTCCTGGCTAACTGACAGGAGTGTATCGGACAAGACAAACTTGGAGGACCACATAGCTTGGCAGCTGATGGAGGAGACGGGTCTGGCTGCCTACGCCAAACAGACACAGTGTGCTCTGGACCCGGCAGCTAGTCCATCCGGCTGGACTTCAGGTCAGTAGTATTCAAGGGGTAGGTTTCAGGTCAGTGTGGATTTGACCCCATGGCACTTGCGTTTAGTGGCTAGTGCCTCAGAATGGACCTTAGGTCAATCATACTGGTGTAGCGGAACTGGACTGGGTCGATCGTCGGCGACCAGATAACTTAATTGGTAGAGCGTCCGTCTAGAGTTTGGAGGTCCTAGGTATGAACCCTGGTCTGGCTGTGCATTTTCCATCTCCTGTTACACTGGTATAGACTTGACATTAGAGAGGAATCCACTCTTGCAGGACCTCATGTAAACTAGGTTTATCTGGAGTCTCATTCTGGACTTGACTGCATCCCAAATTCCTCAGATTAGTAATTCAAGGACCTGGAGGAAAGTGTGCTGTATAATTTATGTTTAATGAAAAGACGATACATGTGTAAACACAACAGTGTATAATGTTGTAGATTGTTCCTGGGTGAGTGACCTTCCTGCCCTAACCCCGACAGAGATCACATGTAATGTGCTGGATACATGTATGGGCGCGGCCTGTTGTATGGCTGTCGACTTCATACACCGACATTTCAGTACTTACATCAACCTTGACCCCTGTGAGTCGCGCATCAGTATCGGTATAGAGAATATTGTCTACAACACTACACTGTCCAGCGACATCCTCGGTAAGTTTGACTAGTATGTGTTACTGATGTTGAGATAATTTTGTAAGGTTCATATACGGCATAAAAAATCTTAAAAAACTTTGGTTATAAATAGTCAACATATCTAGCTTTAACCTTGAACACTAATTAAGTCAATGGCCCTATTCATGAGTTCATGCTCAAGCTTTAATTTTAAAACCAAATTTATTTTAATTGAAAGATTCTTTTCATTGATGATTAAACCCTTTTTATGGGTATGTGTCAAGGAAATTTTCAGTTAAAATTGAAAATTTCAGAGGCAGTAAAAAACTACAATCGATTTCAAAAACTGTGAACATCATGAGATTTGTCATCTAAAATTAATATGAATATCTGCCATATTGGTTTAGAGCATGGAACAAAAATTATATCATTTATTGTAGATATTGAGTAAATTTTTTAATATCTCTTATTTCAAGTCTGGATTTCATGTAGAAATTACTTGATTTGCATCTGAATTGTGACGGCATTTGTTTGTTGGCATTTATCTAAAATAATATATATACTGTCACAATGATGTGTCTGTTATAGAATATATATTTTTTTTTTACTATTTATCTGTCATCCAGGTACACTACAGACGTTCTGGATGGAGGGGATTATCAGAATTGAGTAAGTATGGGGGAGGAGGATCAGGGATCTACACACAAATGTTTAGTAGTTAAAAGAAAACAACAATTGTATGTTGAATATGACAAATTTATTTTGTAATATTTAAATCAATATTGTTACTCTCTTCCTATTTTTGGCAAAATGGACCTCTGCTTGTGTAACAAGGGTGAACAGTGGAACCATGCTGTATCTTGAATAATTGTATGAGTGATCAGGTATGGAAGCAACTGAGAGATATTGGTAGCGGTTGTATTCTTTAAAACTTTTAATAAGTAACCTTCACTTCACTTGACAAGTTGGTCCATTCGAAGGTCATAGACCTAGATGTTGATAAGCTGATCTGTCAATTAAAACCTTTTGACCTAGATGTTGATAAGCTGATCTGTCAATTAAAACATTTTGACCTAGATGTTGATAAGCTAATCTGTCAATTAAAACCTTTTGACCTAGATGTTGATAAGCTGATCTGTCAATTAAAACCTTTTGACCTAGATGCAGTACAATCGTCATGACATTTTATAGAAATGAATTATCCCTTTATTACAATCTCCGAGGTTATTTCTGTTCTTGCAAGGATTTCAAGATAGACAGTTTGATTGTATATGCTCTTCTGTGATTGTAACGTTCCTTTAGATGTATGTACTTTCTCCATTTCCTATTGTTAACTACCCTTGGTGTTCCGTGAATGAAAATTTACCTGTTGTGGGGGATCCATGTGACCGAGGGGTCACCTGTTTCAATAGCTCACTGTATATAGTCGGCAACTGGTGTCGTCCACCGTATTCAAGTCCCAGCGTAGTCAGGATGAAAGCTCTTCGGTAAGCTTAAGTAATAGTAGTGAAAAATAGTTTAACCAATTTCATCGTATCCTTGTTGTTGTTGCCAGTTTTGTGATTGAGGATCTCTATGACAACGAGAGGATGTACTTGATGAACCTGAACATCAGTAACTGCTGGGAAACGGCTTCCCCCCAGTGTTCCAACGTCCACGTCGTGTTCAAAAACACCCTACTCCCGAAACCTATCTGTCAGTGGAACCAGGACTACTTCTACCCAGGTACGCCAAACTCAGAAAAGGATCCTGAAAGCTATTCCCCCAACTTAAATGCTATTTTATTTGATGTTATTGTAACCTTTCTTTTGAAAGTTAAGATTGATTTTCTGAAAATTGAATAAGCTCAGTAATTGAGAAAATGGGAAGAGAAATACTATCGTGGGATCTTGTTCCAAAGTGTACCATTTCAAACAGTCTTGTAATTAGAATAATTGTAAAACTGATTTAATAAAAAATAAAAAAAAAAGTGAAATATTTAGAGGAAGTTTGAAACATACGTGTTTCATTTTAGCACAGGCTCCAGGATTGAATGCTGTAAGCTGATCTTTTTGATATTTCTTATATAGAGATTTTAACATGAAACCTTTGAGTAAAAAAGGCATTAAATATTTCATTTAGATTTTCACATAGTCCTACACTAAAATAATGTGATGCCCAATTATGTATGTTCTAACATGTCCTCCAAGTAAAATAAACTATAATGCTTCATTGCATAGATTTCTCCCTCACCGATTGGCTGATGGAAAACCGATACAGCATGTCCCGGCCGCTGGCACCACATGTGGTAGCTCACCTATTGGACCACCTGGGTCTCTCCGGACACCTGCTGATGCCAACCTGTGACCCGCTGGACAGTATTTACCAATCATCTGATGGCACTGGGTGGTTTAAATGTAGGTCTGACTTGAAGTCCCCCAACAGTGACTCCTTGAAATAAACCAACAAAACACTTGAATGTCTTATTAAATAGTGACAATTCACAGAGTATACAAGTGAATACGTAAATTTATGGGCACTGGTTAAAGTCGTAAAAGTTTACAAGTAAGATATTTAAATGTATGGGCCACTAACCCAGGTCATACTAGTCTGAAAAGTATGTAAGTAAAATATTTAAATGTCTGGCCCCATTTGAAACATCTATTATACATATTATTTAAGTTATGAATATTTTCTGTAAATATACAAGAAACGATGTCAATGGTAAGCTACAAATATCAAAGAAACATATTCAAGAACAATATTTGGCATACAATTATTTTTCGTCAGTGAAACATGTGAATTTTAAGTTTGATGCAGTAATGAAAATTAAATAATATAATCTTATCTCCAGCATGTACCAAGACAGTGAACCTTCCAAACGTCACAAACTCAGCGCTGTGTCACCTGAAGACTGACTGTACCAAACATGAATGTTGTATCTACAGTGACCTGGTCGACAGGTCGTTCCATACTTACATAGACATCGACCCCTGTAGAGAAGAGATGACTATTGGCATCGACAAGTTTCAAAGAAGCATTTCTCTGATTGGCTATAATTGGGGTTAGCAAGTAACATCATCTGTGATTAATTAGCTACTTAAATTGAAAAAGTAAAGAACGTCTGTAAAATTTGCAAAACAGGAAAATAAAAAAAAATTGAGGAAAGCAAACAGCCTTGTCTCTGATTGGCTAAAAATGGGCCAGGGGAAATTAGATAACAATGGGTCTGATTGGTTAAACATTTTGAAAGCAAATAACAGCTGGTTTTGAATGGCTAAAAATGGGGAAAGCAAATAAAAGTGTGTCCTATAGAAAGTACAGTTGCAATATCCTTAGAATTTCTTTTTTCTTTCTTTCAGGTGGTATTGAACATTTCTGGATGGCAGGAGTTATTCGACTTGAGTAAGATTTCAAACAATGATAAAGTAGGGAGTCTGGCATTCATAATGCAACTATTCATCAGCATCTGATGCATTTTGAGCTTTTATTTCAAACATTTAGAGTTCTGTACAAAGACAACCTTCAATATGGTTGTAGAATTAGCAATTGTCTGTTCGACTAAAAGCTGTAAATTTGTAACAAGTGGTGGTTGGATAACTTTAGAAGTGAATTTTGATAAATCATTTGACCCTAAGTACAACTGTTGAGTCCTAATTGGCTATATGGTGCAGCAAAATCTTTACTTTGCTTGGCTTTTTGCATTGAATAAATAGATGGTTCGTTTCTTTGGGTGTTTTTTTGTAGAATGTACATGTAGTTTATGTAATTGTAGATGAGATTTTTACACATACTGGTAGAATAAAGTTTATCTGAAGTTAACAGTTGTGGAGAATATTCATTTATAAACTTTATAAAGAAAATTAAAAATCAATCTGTATAAAATGTACTCAGAACTTGATTGGTTCCTGTCTGTTTCAGCTATCAATATTAAATCAATCCATAAAACATGAACTTAGAATTTGATTGGTTGCTGTTCCTTTCAGCTATCAAGTATACGATTTCTACCATGAGCAAGACTTCCTGGCGTCCTTGAATGTTAGCCTGTGTTTTGACGCTGCTGACTGTGATCTGGTGGTCGTCGTACTGGACAACACGAGACTACCCAAGTCCCTGTGTACATGGAACAAAGACTATTACATTCCAGGTACTGTATCTATGGAGATTAGGCATTACCTATATTTTCGTTCACATAAGCCCTGATTGAACAAGAGTTTGGAGGTTCCAGGTTTGAATCTGGATCAGCACTTTTGCAGTTTTCCAATCTTGATACAAACTGGTGCCAGTGGCCAACCCTTGTTAATTACTGTGTGTGGCTTAGCAATGGAATAGTAAATAGTTGTGTCATTGGGGATCCAAAGGAGACAAAAGTAAAGAGGATCTTGAGTTGAGTTAACTGTTGGAGACCAGGTAGTATAGTTGTTTATACTGGTCTGCCTGATATGTAGGATTTAGGAAATGTGATATCTTTGCATTTTCCCCATTATATAACATAAGCAGAAAAAGAGATAACAAAAGATTTCAGAGTGAGTTTGGGCTGTTATTTTAGTCAATTTCTTGTGGAAGAAATAAGGCTTTCGATAATGAAAAAGTTTCAAAGGTAACTTTAAAGGTGAATTCATAAAAATACTTGAAATGTAGTTAGGAATTGTGCTTCAAAGGTCGTAAAAAAGGGGACAAGAAAGAAGAAAGATTGAAAACAACCTGTTGATTGAATATTTTGCTTGTTCTTCAAGATTTCAAACTGTCGACATGGAAACAGGAGTACAACATTGGTGTAGGTGAAGATCTGCCTGACTGGGCCGTGTTACTACTGATGGAGAAACTAGGCCTCGCTAGCTACTTAGAGGACCCTATGTGTGCCCTGGGAGCAGGAGTGTTTGACAACTCGGATACTGCAGATGGCTGGAGTAAAGGTACGCCACTCAAAACTTCTGGAATAATCAAGATGAGTTGGACCCTCATAAAAAAAATAAGGGGGGGGGGGGGGCTTTTTAGTTTTGTTACACAGTTTGACCTTATATGCATGAAAGGTGTATTTCCAGAAATAAATATATTTTAAGTTTGCTATACATATGGAATAGACTTGACAATGACCATTAGTTCTGTACTGTTTAAACAGTAAATATGTTTGTAATGAACCCCAAGGGACCTAAGAAACCAGCTCTTTACAGGTTTATAAAGAACTGTGGGGGGAAAACAATTACTTCTTGATGGACAAAATTCATTATTGTAGCATTTGATGTTTTTAAGATAGTTTCTTGCCAAAAAACGATTTCCAGTATTTTGTGTGAAGTTGAATCCACCCTGCTGTTTAAAGGTGTATAGGTGAAAACATAGAGCAATGACAGATCATTCAGGTAGTATAGATTAACCTTGCTTGTGATTGTCAAATGGTGTTATAAATTTTAACCAGTGTCCACTTGTTTACTTTCCAGACTGTCCTCTGACCTTGACCCTGCCTGACCTTGCCGACCCGGCAGCTATCAACTGTCATCTGACAGATCTGTGTACAGCTGTGGAGTGCTGCGTGACCTCTGACCTGGGCCGGAACTTTCATGTGTACCTTCAGATGGATGGGTGTCAGTCATACCTTAACCTGGGTATCGACAAATTCTACACCAACGTGTCTCTCACCAGCTTCACCGAATGGCGTAAGTAGAACAAACATCACAAAAAATGTCTACATATCTGTTTGGAATGGTTTAAGTTTTAGCTTGAAGAGATATATCATTTATAGTTTGTTTCTACCAATGATTTTTAATACGCCTGTGGCAAATTTTAATTGAACATATGACCACGGTCAACTTCTAGCTTTGCACTTCGGGAAATTCTCTCTAGCTCAATTGGTAGCACGGTGGACTGGAACGCTAAGGGTCAGTCATCCTTGATACTCTAGGGGTTACGCTCACTTATGCTCTCTGCACCCTTGGAATATGCCCTGACAAAATTGAATGCTCCGTGTGCGCCACATTGTTGTGAGACAAGAAGACTAGTTTGATCCTTTGATGTTCATCTATAGAATCTCACGGTCGCATAACATTAAAATTGGTTGGCTTCGAAGTAATATTCAAAGGACAGGTATCATCCTAGCAATATATACCACTTTCGTGAATTTTCTGTTTAACAAATTCATGAGAAAATGTTATAAAATTTCATTTGCAGGACAAGAAGAGCACTTTTATCTGGGAGGAATCATACGACTAGTGTAAGTATTGTTGTCAGAGGAACTTGATTTTTACACATCCATCAAAATTGTGGTGGAGGGTATTATGGTATGAGGAATATCCATCGGTCCACCCATCATACTTTAGTATTTGCAAGAATACTTGATTAAAAATGTTGTAACTGAGTAAACTTGCAGCAAGTTTGTTTTTGCAATTCATCCAAATTTGAAAGAAAAATGAAAAACATGTTGCTGAGTATATTTATTTGCCTCATTAGTTATGGAGGTAGGACATTCCTAAAATGCATTCTTCGACCTTGCATAGATAGATTCTGATTTGATTCAGCGATTAAGTGCTGACCTGTATTGGTCAGTGTTTGATCGATCTCTCGATGGCCTAGTGCTGACCTCTCCACTTACCATTACAGGTACATGATTGACCACTTTGACGATGCCGCAGAGTTTCTGGTGTCCATGAATGTGAGCGTGTGTAGTGAGAGTGACCAGGCGTGTGAGGATAACCACCTGGTTCTGGCCGACGTCCGTTTACCGATGCTTCCTTGTAGCTGGGATCAGTCCTTCAAACAACCAGGTCAGTCAGAAATAGAATTAAATGTACAGTCAAACATTTCTGTTGTGGAAGTCAAAAGATCAAAAGATTGTGCTATATAACCCTTTTACCACTGTAGACCATAATGGACTCATCCAGATCAGTGCAATTGGTAAAGCTTACTTAAGTTACATAGGGTTAAATAAGATTTTTGGGAAAGTTAATTTGTCAATTACTATATTTTTGGCTCTTTCTTTATAACATCTACGATTCAAATAAAAAAAGAGAATTTCTGATCAACCAAACAATAAACCATATAAAATAGCAACAATATAGGAAACCTATCATTGCTAACTCACTTAAGTGTTGATTGGCAATTACAGGTTTCTCTTTGACCACGTGGCTGAACGAAACTATGGTGTCCACCCCACTGACTTCACAAGACTTGTCCAAGTTGTTTCTGGACCTTGGACTGTCCTGGTACAAGATGTCAGTACCGTGTGCGCAAGAAACCATTGGCAACAGTGTCCCAGCATCAGACGGTTGGGTTAAAGGTATACCTCACACATCAATTACCCAAAGCCTAATGTACTGAAGCGGCATACACTAATATTCAGATCGTGACGTATCGAAAATCCGGAAAAATATATCGTGAATCGATTCGAACATAAACTATCGCAGTACAAGTGCATCACGGTGAAACGTGACGCCTCTGGTGTAGATGGAGGAGTCCAGATGTGCCTGACCGAAACTAAAATGCTGACTATTGCTAGTTTGTGTTATTTCTTTATTAAACAAGGTCAAGCCACATGTAGATTTTAAGATACGTTATATAATTTAGTCTCCAAAACTGTGCATTTTTTAGCTCTGTCTATAGTTCTGTCCAAGTGTGTTTGTTTATTGTGTAATATTTCTGTCCCACAGGAACCGTTTCAACCGGTATACGCGAATGTAGTCTTATAGTAACACTTGAATTACACTTGGTGCTGTCTAGGAAGCAGAAGATGCTTACCCTTCTGGAACACCTGGTCTTATTTTCCTTGTTCTTTATAAAGGGTCTCCAAGTAATATCAATTTTTTTTTATTACACAAACAATGTATGTATTAAACATGTCACAACGTTTCAAGACCAACTGGTCTCTTTATCAAGCTTGCCCTCAATTAAGCTGGACAAAGTTACCAGCCGGTCTTGAAACATTGCGACACATGTAATATGTACACTGTTTGTGTATAAAGTAGAACTTTGATATTACATACTTCCAAACTGATGAATCTTTTGAAGGTCTCCAAGAAAATCCTTTCTTCATTCATATTTTTCCATATTAGGAGTTTTATCAATTTTGAATTCACAGCAGTTTTGTTGGCACAGTGGTATTCTCTTGTTGCTTTATTAAAGATAGCCTACTTTTAATATAGTGTCATTGACTGAAACAAATGAAATACCAATTTAAGACAGATATCCCGATTTATACAGTCTTGTTATATTTTATTATGTACTGTATTCATCAAAAGGATCTCATTTTTAATTGCAGATTGTGAAACATTTGTGAATGTGTCGGAGATAGCTAGTTCCAATACCTACTGTCTACTTGCTGACAGTTGTAACTCTGTTCAGTGCTGTCTGACTGGAACTGACCTCGACTACGCTTTCCACGCCGGCGTCAATATTGATGGTTGTGATAATCAGCTGGTGATCACTCTGGAGTCCCTGTCCATACCAGTCCCACTGCCCACCTACAGTTGGGGTAAGTCTACGTTTATACCCGTCCCACTGCCCACCTACAGTTGGGGTAAGTCCACGTTTATACCTGTCCATTCCTGTAGCATAGATCGGTGTCCATACCTGTCTCAATATTCAGGGTTCCACAACGGAGACGTGGGTGCCCTATAGTAACCGCAGTGTCCATCTGTCTCTGCATCTGTCTATCCGTCTAGAGTTTCTAGAGATTATCTCTGAATCCACAAGACAAATCGCTTTGAAAGTTGGCATGATGATACACTGTTACATGTAGATGTGCAATAGGGTTTTAAAAGAATTCTAAGGTCAATGTCAAGGTCACTGTTACTAAACGCAGACCTTGGGATGACTATCCTATTTTTAAGGGTCAATGATACGAAAAATAGATTTTAGTACAGTCTTTATCCTAGAATTGTATTTGACTTTGATGCATGATTGATAGATTAATATGGAATTTATGTTATTTCAGGTGAGAAGGTATCCTTCAGGTTACAAGGTGTTCTCGGAGTAGAGTAAGTGTTGTTACTTTTGTCTGTTTCATCTATCATTGCTCTGTTAAACTAGTCAATGACACCTCATCCTTGGATGTTATGATATCACATACCTTCAACATTACTGCGGAAATGGAATTGCACAAATGTGAAAATGGTTATGTTGTGACTATTTAAAGTTATGGGTGTGTGGAATTTTCGTGTTTGCAAAAGTTCTGAAATTCCACTTTGAGGGTAGTTGATATTGCCAATTAAATGATGTGTTATAATGCAGGTTGGAGATATACCGCCTGGTTACCGAGGGTAACTATGAAGTAACCTTAGACTTGATGCTGTGTACAGAGAGTGCCGGTCCTTGTGACCTGATCGTCAACGTAATGAACCATACCAAACTGCCAATCAAGACCTGTGATTTCACCTCCGGATTCGCTGCCAAAAATCCAGGTGAGTTATTGTCCACCTTGTAATTGTTGATGTCCATCTGTAAAATCATATAATTAAGATAAGAGGAGGAAAGTTGATAAGTTATTTTACCATAATTTTGTATGAAGATTCCTTAGTGACAGTATTTGTGAAAGTTACAATACTAACAAACACTCTAAAGTTGTGTGCTAGAATGCAGATGTGGCCTACTAACATAGCATAGTTATAAATAGAGCGTTCTATGACCTAAATGGTATAAACCACCAAAATGCCCTTTAACTTATATATACAATGTACCTTAACTTTTATCAACGTTCCTCCCTTAATGCCTACAAAGATAAGGTTGGCTAGCTTTGTGGCACTTGGCTGTTCACACTTAGGTTTGTTGTAACACTTGGGCTGTTTTTGTTTATCGCGGTCCAAACGGTTGAACCGGTTGGACCAGACTTGTTCATTTATTAAATAAGGTCGGACCCAGTAATCTGATGTTGCTTGCAGGTGAACCTTGACAAGGCCTGCATAAACATATGCAGGTCCGCTAGTATTATTATGCGAAATGTTACATTTAAAAACAGACAAATCGTTTGTTCCACATAAGCGAACAGGCCCCTTGGTTTGGTACTAGATTATGTGACATCATCTGTAATCTGAGAGTTCAGTTGATGATTTGTCCACCGATCTGACCATAATGAATGTGAATGTATAAGGGTAATTATCAGTTTCTGTTGCTCTGATATATACTGTAATAATACTGTATTTCGTTGTTGTTCGCAGCTTTCTCATTGAACAACTGGCTCACAAGTAAAAACCTGGACCCAAACCTGTCTCCTCTACCAGGATACATCTCCTACCAGCTATTGGAGGATCTGCAAGTCGCCCACTTCCTGATGGACCCCCAGTGTAACCAGTCTGCTGAACTGTACGCTGGGGCAACAGATGGCTGGAAAGATGGTAAAGTTTTAAACAGTGAACAATGCAAACTTAAACACTGATCAATTAAAAGGACCTATATAGATTACTCAACAGTGTAGTTCATGTATATGTTACTGTTCACAGTGATACAAATATAACCCCCAAACAAGCAAAGAATAATGATTTTACACCAAGTTTTATCAACTTACCAGACTCATAATCACTTTTTATCCTGGTGGAAGAACAAAGAGGCTCCTATTGTGGGAGGAAACCCATGTGGTGGGGCAGGTGACACTTCACTTTTCATGTCTATATAATTAGGGACTTGTCTTCTTGAAAGCCAATTTTGCTATCCACTGCACCACATGTCCACATATGATTACATACATCAGCATCTATAGGTAATTAACTTCGATATTCGTGTTGCTATCCACTGAACCACATGTCCACATATGAGTACATACATCAACATCAATGGGTAATTAACTTCGATATTTGTGTTGCTATCCACTGCACCACATGTCCACATAGTGATTACATACATCAACATCTATGGGTAATTAACTTCGATCACATCAATACGTACAGATATCCTAATTTGACGGGTGACATACTAAACCATGTGACAAGATTAACAAACTAAATTAAAGTAAACCTTTCTTAGCTGTAATCAGATATACATTAGGGGTGTCACAATACGCCTAGAGTGTACCATGATATATTGCAATACAGAATGAATATATTGTGATACGTATCCCGATATATTGTCATAAGAAAGATGTGCTCGATTTTATGATAAGTTGTTGTCAGAATGTTATCAAACTTAATCATACATAATATGGCTTACATAGACTTAAGGTTTTTGTCAAACCAACCATCGATTACAAAACTTGAACTATTAAAAGCCTGCTTTATGGTTATTGGCATATCTGTTAGAATTTGTAGTAATTTGCAAAGTTAAAACACCAAGCAGATACATAAAGATATGCTTTTGAAAAATATTGCGATACAGCAATATTTCATCTCTGTATTGTGGTACGATATGATATACCCATGTTTTGAGATATACCTGTTATCCAATATATTGTGACAGCCCGAATATACAATATACATCTTTGTGAGGCAAGGTTCTATTAATAACTGGCAATGTGTACATTATCTGGCTCCATCTTCCCCCTAGACTGCCACGTCGTGACCACCTTACCGTCTCTGACCGGTACTGCCACCACCTGTTACCTTGGTGATTCCTGTACCGACATCCAGTGCTGTATGCTGGTTGATCGTATCGACACAAACATCTACGCTAAATTGGCCATGGACCCATGCAGAAATTCCCTGAAAATCAAGCTGGAAACAATATCGATTGACATTGATCTACATGTTTTTGAATTTGGTAAGTGATTTGTCTTCAGCAGGTGGTCCCTGATCTGTGTAGATTTCAATCCAGCAGGTGGTCCCTGATCTGTGTAGATTTCAATCCAGCAGGTGGTCCCTGATCTGCATATTATTTTTCAGTAAGAGGCGCCTGATATGTTTACATTATACCTTAATTGACTTACTTTATGTGAGACGTACCAGATCTGCATTCTTTTGTCTTGATTAAAATTGCTTAGAACCTGCATATCTTTTACTGTCTTATTAAACTAACATTTTTAAATCCATAAACCCAAAGGCCATGACAATTTCCAAACAGATTCCTGTAATAAATGGCTATGTTTTCTATACTGCCAGCAATGAAGTTAGGAGAGGTATACTGGAATCAGGTTGTTTGTAGATACAACTTGCCTGGAGAACTCCTATAGATTTAAGCAAAATTTCATGAAACTTCACTATGTATTAATCCAGCCATTTCTAAGGAAGTTATGCCCCTTTCTCAAAGGTTGGCCAACACAATTTTGTCTGCACGACTTCTACAGATTTCTGCCGAATACCAAGAAGCTTCACTGATACATTTTGAAGTTGCGCACCAGCGATTAATATCGGATAAGTCTTATTTTTATGGGAGTTATACCTCTTAATGTAAACTATTGTTCACACCACTTGCGTTGAGAGGATGTCAGTTAAGTAGTGGAGTTATCTCCCCTATTGCTTGTCTCGTAATTTACTCACAGGTGGTATGAGAAGATATTTAGTTTGTTCAAAAGAATTACCTTGACCCACTTTTAATGTCACAGGGGTCAATTCTGTAACAACACGCCTTATTAAATTGGTGATAATAGATCGAATTTGGAATTGGGGACCTGGCAGGGGTATTTTGTTTATGATTAGATTGCAATCAAAACTGACTATTGTTCAAAGAGATTTTTTTTTTATTTTTTTTGCAGAATGATTAATTTGATATGTTTAAATTTGCAGGTACATACCATACTTTGTCCCTGTACGGCCCATTTCAGCTGGTGTGAGTACCCTCTTTATGTTGTTGTGTTAAATCTGGAAGGCAAAAATCTATTTCCTATGGTTGAATAACTGCTACCAGAGTGATTTCTATTTGAAAAATAAAACAGGGAATGAAATTTGATGCCATGATTGAATTAAAACAGTTATGTCTCATCAGTCCCAATTATCACCAACACTGTGTACCTTGATCGAGCTTAAACTGAGCTCGGAATTAATCCCCAGTAGATTTAACATGGGAATTCCAGCTCAAAATTGTTCACTAGCAAAGAGACTTCAGCTCAAAATTAGTTTGATATAACTCAGTGTTGATATGGTGTCCATATCAAACTACTCTGGCACATCAATTAGAAATAGTTCAGAGAAAATTTCTTAAATATTTATGCTTTAAAGTAAAGATTGACTGTGATGTTTTATCTTATGAAGAAATATGTGTTTATTTTAATTTACCACCTCTTTCAAAACGTAGAATGTATTTAGATCATTTGTTTCTTTTTAAGTGTGTAAACAGTATGTTCGACGTACTGTCCATATTTTATTGAAGAAATTAATCTAATGGTTCCAAACAGATCTCTTAGGTCCAGCTGTGCGGTGTGTTTCTATCCCACCAAGTGTCGTATTGACGTAAGGAAACACAGTGTTTAAATTAGATGTCAGAATTTTTTTAGCTTCCTCAATGTTCAGCCAGATAGTCTTTTTAGCGAATCACTCAAAATGTTTCAAACAGAAATGAAACAGATTTGTTTTTAATTCATTACACAGAGTCTGTTTGTATTTTATGTATCATGTTTGTATTGCTTGATAATTTTACATTTGGTCTGTGATATTGTAGTATGTAAATTACTGTGAACTGTTATTTGTTATCAACCTGTAAGTGGGCCTTATGGCCTGTTGGATTAAAATAAATAAATAAATAATCATATTATAGCCAACATATTTTGTAGCAAATACATGTAGGTACTGTTCCAAAGACATTGAGAGGATGATGGTGGTGGCAGGTTGTTTAGAATTTCAAGAATATATATAAAAATATTGATACCAAAACTAACTTTTAAGTTTTGCTTGTTTTCCTTAAGATATGAGGTCAGAGACCGTCAGATTGAGAGACAGTACGCCTTCAATATGAGGATTGAAGCGTGCTTCGAGGTGTCGGGACCCTGTGAGAAACAGGTGACAGTGTTTAACGAAACAATCATTGACAAACCAACCTGTAACCACACAGCTGGCTTCCACAACTCCTGTAAGTAGTAACTGAAAATGTTGAGTAGCATCATTTTACCTCAATGATAAAATAGGTAACAAAGATTCCTGAATACGAAACATAACACTGTGGAATGTTCATTAGAATACATGGATTCTTGGTTGAATAAGGTTAACTCATTCACCCCTGAAGACACATTTGAACTCTTCCAATTCAAAGGATGGAATAGTTCATTATGAAATTTCAGGGGTGAATGAGTTAATAGCAATGTATAGTTTTATTAGCTCACCTGATGTGAAGGGCATAACACTGTCATAGCACTGCTGTGGAATATTGATTAGAACACATGGATTCATGGTTGATGTGGATGATTACTGTATATAGTTTAATTGAATAATGAACTCAATACATAGAATTTTTGTTAAAGGTGTATAGAAAGACAGTTTAACAGTTGAATATGCAAAGCAATACATACATTCTCTGTTGAATATTGATAACAATACATATCTTTGCTATTGAATATAGATAGCAATTCATAGTTTGATATAACTGGTGAATGGACAACTTGTAGATTCACTTTTAAATATAGTTTAAAATACCTAGCTTCACTGATGAGTTAATCATTCCAGCATTTTCCTTGACACAATGGATGACTGAGAGAGGCCTAGGAGTGAACGACACTTTTACCTCTGCCCAGAGTGACGAATTGATACAATATTTACGTTTGGACGACTACCTTTCCACGACAGAACTGTGTGACTATCATAGCATGAAGCAGGACGTAGACATGTTTGGCTGGATCAACGGTGAGTCAAAGCCTCAAAATCAGAAACAAAATATCCACGTTTAGCCAAGGACAACAGATTATTACCAAAAGGCAAATAAGTAACAGCCTACCAGACATACCTGAAAGCTAACTATTTAACTCAGTAGGTCCAAAGAGTAACATGATCTTCTGCTATTGTACAGTGTCTAAATAACTAAGAGAGCTAGGCCTGAAGCAGGCAGGGACGAAGGGCTATCATGTTTGTTAAAAAAGATGACCTTGACCCATGTCAAGTTTATCAGGATAAAATGTGCTAAATCTTTAAATGACACCTTCATTCATGTTTTATCAGAAAACATCTTGTGCTCATCTCATACCTAGTTAGCTTCTTGTTCCTCCGTGTTATCAGATCATTTGTTTTTTCAGATTGCACCAATTTCACAGCAAGTAATATGTCCTACTTGGCCAACATATCTGAGTCGGTTCCGGCGGTCTGTGAGGTAATGGATACTTGTAATGGTTTTTCCTGCTGTCTGTATGCCAGCATCCTGAAGCGAAGTCTACAGGCCACCATCACCCTCGACACCTGTACATTTACTCTCAAAGTCCAGCTGGAGAATCTCGTTCAGGAAATAGACCTACTCAACTACCTCTGGGGTAAGGTGTCACATTGTAACAAATTTATGTTTATAAAAACATGTTTCTGGTGGGATATTTTCTGCTTTAGACAAAATGTCGATGTTTTATCACAGATCAGGATAAGTAATTAGCTCTCAAGATAAACTTTAAGTTGTCGATGAACTGCCGGTGTCTTTATATCAATGCTGCATAAACATTGTGCTGTAAAAGAGGATGTATTACGTGCAAATATTTGCACACACAAATTTACATGATCATCAAACAGGACAGTTGGGATACAGTTTCAGAAAATCTGGAACTTATCTGATAGATATCAGTACCTGGATGAATGCCAACATGCTAAAGCTTAATCAGGAAAAGACGGAACTAATTGTCTTTTCCCCAAAGTGTCAGCAAACAATGGCTCAAGGTCGGTGCCAGAACTATTGAGACTGTCCAAGCCGTTAAAAACCTAGGGGTATACTTTGATAGTTCACTGAACATGGAGAAACAAGTGAACGCTATTGCTAAATCCTGTTACTACCAGATCAGGAACATCGGCTGTATTTGGCAGTTTATAACTGAAGATGCATGCAAGATTTTGGTGCATTCACTTGTTACCTTTCCGTTGGATTATGGTAACACCCTGCGCTGTGGTATATCTGACAAACTAACTAGTCATCTGCATAGGGTCCAGAACACTGCAGCACGGCTGGTTACTCGTACTTAAAAGAGTGAGCACATCACACCTGACCTATATTCATTGCACTGGTTAGCTGTACGATACAGCTCGCAGTACAACATTTTGTTGAACACATACAAGGCACTGAATGGAACAGCTCCTCAGTACGGGAGCTTGTTACCCTATATCAGCCATCACAATTACTGCGGTCGGAGTCAGAATCATTGTTGTGTGTCCCAAAATCTCGTACTGTGACGTATGGAAACCGGTGCTTCGGGAGGGTTTCGGCCACGTTGTGGAATAGCTTACCATCTGCTATTAGAAAGTCAAATACCCTGGCCAAATTCAAGAGGGATATCAAATCTCACCTCTTCACGTCTGCATTTTAGTGTCTGCAAAGACGTCATGTAAATACCACCCTTTATTTGTGCAATTAATGTATAAAAGTGATTCTAAGCCTTTGTTTTTGCTTCACAATTATAACTATTACTATTATCCATATGTTTTAGAGCGCTTTAGAGTAATTTTACAAATTATATAGGGCGCTATATAAATGTTGTATACTATTATCAGAATCATTGCCAAAACAGTATACGTTTTATTTCATGATTTCAGTCTGATGAGTGAGAAGTTAAAAATGTTGTGCATGTATATAGAGCATCTAACATGAGTGTCAGTGTCATTTCAAATTATTGAACAAGTTCATTTAGATGACATGGACCCAAATGTAAGATTTGATTTATCACATAACATTCATAATTTTAAAAAAAATCATTTAATAGCAAAAGCAATAAAATGTATCAAAAAAAATGCAATAAATAAAGTGAACAATTTTGACCAATTGCAGCACCCTTTGTTATTATTACACCTTTGTATTTCCATAATTATGACATGGCCGTATGTCATAATAAAATGGGTCAGTAATGTGATAAATAGAATGAGCATATTGTTATTTTCTCACAGGGACACTGGCAGAGATCCAGCTTCATGGTGTCTTCATACTAAGGTGAGAATATAATTTACTCTCAGTTTTTAAAGTCATGGTTAAGCAGTAATACTTCACCAGGATAGTCTTCATTTTACACAAATTAATTTAATTTAAACAAATCCTTTAGACAGTCATGCCGAGCATAGTTTACAAGGTTTAATTTGAGCTTTTATGGGTAAATTTGAGAATACCAGTGTTGTCTGAGTAATAGACATTTTTTGTTGGGGTTATAGATACTCAGTGATCAGTATTCCGAGTCTGAAGAGGTTCTCACTGGACGCTGACATCAAGCTGTGCTATGAACAATCGAGCTGTAAATACGACTTTGAAGTTCTCCACAGCACACACATGGAGTACGAAGTCTGTGACCCGACGGTCCCGCTCCCCTTCCAAGGTGAGGATCAGAAGTCATTAATCCTTGAAAGCTACCCTTGTGTTTTATCAGGGGATATGCCTCACATACATTGTAGTCAATTCAATCATGAGGTACAATTGATTACTGTTAACACAACCATGAAACAAGCACTTTATAATATATTTATCACTTATTGACTTTTGATGAGGTGAATATGTGGTTATATAGATCTGAAAAATTGATATTAACCTCTGTTGTGAATATGTGGTTATATGGACCTGATAAAGTGATATTGACCTCTGTTTTGAATATGTGGTTATATAGACCTGATAAATTGATATTGACCTATGTTTTGAATATGTGGTTATATGGACCTGATAAATTGATATTGACCTATGTTCTGATTATGTGGTTATATGGACCTGAGAAAGTGATATGGACCTCTGTTTTGAATATGTGGTTATATAGACCTGATAACTTGATATTGACCTCTGTTCTGAATATGTGGTTATATGGACCCGAGAAAGTGATATCGACCTCTGTTTTGAATATGTGGTTATATGGACCTGATAAATTGATATTGACCTCTGTTTTGAATATGTGGTTATATGGACCTGAGAAAGTGATATCGACCTCTGTTTTGATTATGTGGTTATATAGACCTGAAAAAGTGATACTAACCTTCACTCTGTCTCAGTTAGTATCCCTTTCTCAATCTATATAACCATATATCAACCTCAACAAAAGTCCTTAATTGTTATATTAGATGCTTAGTAATGTTTGAATCATTAAACAATATTAAACATATGAAAATTTTCATGGATACAGGAAAGTACTGCATTTGGCAGAGAGTATTGATTCAAATTAGATTTATGAAACTTTGTAAAATAGTACTTCTAGAATCATTTTATAAATCTTGAGTTAAGTGGAAGCTCATTAATGATCCTATATTTGTTAATGTTTGAATCTGCATGAGAAGAAATTAGGTGTTAAATTACTACACCTTCTAGAGAAACCATATATTATGTGTACTGCTTTATGTTTCAGGGATGACGTTTGACTTCTGGAGAAGAGATGAGTGTGCAGCAGTGTCAGGATCTGGAAGTTAGTAATTGTACCACCAATACCAACTTTATACAAAACTTACAAAAAAACAGCAGTTTCAGCCTGCTTCTACATGATCTTTAGTTAAATGAAAAACTTGCATGATAATTTATCTTGATATACATATCATTTTTAGTACTGTATGCTGAACAATTTTTCGCCAAGTCAAACTTCCCTTGGGCAGTAAAATCCATATTTCCCTAGTTTAATTTCATCCTTCACATTTAATTACTATATTAGGTTGTTTACTATTGCTTGCTGCAATGATATATTGACCCTTATTACAAAGGGCGAGAAAGGCAAAAATGTAACTGTAGCAAAAATTTACAGTAACATATTAACTCATTCACCCCTGAAATCTAAAATGAACTATTCCAACCTTTGAATTGGAGGAGTTCAAATGTGTCTTCAGGAGTGAATGAGTTAAAGTTGACTTGGCATGGTAACAAACATAATAATTTCATCAATAATCGTTAATTGATTTCTTTAAAACAAATTAATATTTTGTACTTGTAGCTTGTACAGGAAACTTGACAACGTATGGCACCACTAACTGTAAGATCGTGGACTCGTGTACCGGCGTAGAATGCTGTATGAGTATGAACTTTATCCCGGGTGCGCGGCGGATCAAGATGACCTTCGTGACAGACAGGTGTGCCGATACCCTTACCTTCAGTCTGGAGAACAAAGCATGGACAAAAACACTGAGTGCCATCGATGGTAGGTACCACCATCATCAAATTCTAACCCTCTGCATCCTGCTTGCAAATTCTATATAAATTTTATATTTTAGAAACCTTACATTCCATTATTTCTGTTAAATGTTATCAACCCTAGATGCTGTATGCTACTATTTTTTCAATCTGATTGTAACCCCATATCTATGCTCCATTCTGTAAGCTACACTCTGCTACAAGTTTACAGAAAGGAGCATAAATCAAGAAAGGGTTTAATTAATCAGATTGCTTTTTTTTTTTTTTAAATTGCGCCATGACCGAAACTCTAGGTTCTGTGTGCTATTGCTGTGTAATGCTAGATTTGTAAATGTTAGACACTGTAGATGTTGTGTGTTATTTATTTGTACCTTTCTACCTTTATAGGTGTGAAACAGACGCTGACCATTGGTGTGAAACCATCCTTCACCCTAAACTACACGGTTACCGTGATCGCGGCCAGTCAGGTCAGGATCAGCCTCTCTCTGGAAGTGTGTGAATTGTACGGAGAAGTGTGTGAAAGACAGGACATCATGACCAACACGTATCTGACCCATTCTGCATGTACTGCACCCAGCCGTCGACGTAAACGGAGGAGTGCCATACAGAAACGAGACGCGCAGGAGTATGTGGATTTTTCTCTCTGTAACATGAATGTGATTGGAACACTGTTTTGATAAGGTTTAATTGGAAGTTAATTGGTAAAGTTAAATTATTTGAACAAATTATAACTAGCATATCTAAAATGTTTGACATGAAACATGAACATGAAGCTAAAAGTTTTAGCTCACCTGGCCAAAATTGACCAAATTGAACTTGTGCTATGGTGCAGTGTCTGTCTGTCTGATGTCATCTTGTACTTAATATGACTGTTTTTGAATAACCAAGACTTTTACTTATCAATAGTGATATTAATATATAGCACCCTATACATCACAAGCATTTTAATATAACACTGGTCTGATAAGTGTCTGAAAAATCTTACGACTGGAATGTCTGTGAAATGTCTATAAATCAACGTGTTTTCCCGTGGATAAGTCGGTTTCTATGAAGTTGGCTTCAACTGCATGCGTGATGTTTTAAACAACACATTTGAAATGTTATTTTTGATTAAAGAAGAAGAAAATGTTGAAAAATACAGATGTTTCGTGACATTATGTGATTACTTTTGGATCTTATGTTCATTAATAGTCACTTTACATTTCAGGCTGGACGTTTCAGACTTGAGTGGAGGTCTGAAAATCCTGAGAGATAGAGGCTCCACAGAGGAAGAATATGATGCATTTGTGGAACAGAATCGAGCTTATGTGGTAAGGATACAGCTGCCTATTTATGTGGCAAGGTTTTGAAAAACTTAGCCTGTTTATTTGGCGAGATTATCAAAGTATTACCTAATCATAAAGGCATATCATGTGGTGAGGTGACCAAGAAAATGTTGCGACCAATTTACAGCGAAGCACTGGATGTAAGATTGACCTTCAGCCAACATGAGAAATTTTTTAAGTAGTACAATATAACAAATCTCAAATTTCTCTGCAAAACAGTAAATATAACAACAATTCTAACCTAGTATCTGAAACCTGTTGGTATGTTCAAAAATATATAACTAACCATAGCCACTTCTGCTTTTTAAGTTGACATTTGTCTTTAATAATTATTTTTTGGTTTGATGTGGTTTCCTTTTGCATGTTTTATGTTAACCTTTTATTGGTCCTAAAGAACTCTTCTGTGCCGACAGGCTGTTTAGAGCTCGATAAATACTAAGAACATTGACAGGAAGTGTGTATATTGTGTGTTTGACAGCAAGCCCAAGAGGTTGCTAACCTGGTCGGAGCTGATGTAGGAGATGATGACAATAAGATGGGGATAAAGTCCTCCGTCCAGGCCATGGGCACCGGCAACCCTTTCACCATAGCAACCATGGGAAAATTGGAGGGGGCAGTTACCATACAAGGGGGTAAGTAAGGAAGTACATTGATCACCTTAGCAACTTCACAAATTATTACCTGAAGGCTCTAGGCTATGAACTCATAATGTCCATTTGTGTCATATGAATTAACAAAATTTATTTTAAACTTTAACCTGAAAAGTGATGTTAATCTACCCCAAAAGGCTAGAAAAAGAGGTAGTTAGATCCTACACTTTTGAGATTCTTGAGTTCTTCACCTATGTATTATCCTCAGCATGCGTAGTTATTGAACATTAATAGATATATTAGCTAGAAGACTAATGGTCAGGAGACCATGTCAGAACTCACTCAGAACTAGAACCAATCATACTGGCCACACATACTGAACTATGCAATGTCACAATTGGTGGAAAAATCAGTTTGTAAAAAGATATTCATTTTAAGGGTATACAGTGTATCAGATATTCCTATCATGAATGCAGTCTTGTATGAATCAAATAAGATATTTAAAAGGTAATGACGGGGAAAAAAGTTTTACCAGTACAATGTAGTATACATTTTTGACAATTTCGAATTTCTTTATGTACACTTCTAATGCTGTCGGTATATATGTATTTCCATCTCCTTAAGCCTTTTCTGACATCTGCATTTTCTATTATTTTATTCATGATTATATGTTCCTGATGACATTTAAGTGGGTTGTAATAAAGTCACCTCTACTTGAATTTAATTTGTCCTTTAATCGCTTGGCAAACCCTTGGTACCCGTACTCACAGTGAAGTGCCAGGTACTCATCAACCCTGATATCTTTACCTGATATTGGCTCTTGATCATCTATGGAGTTTATTAGATGTCTTGGAAAAAAGTATTGAAATGTTTCCAATTTCTCCTTTTTAGGTGATGCTATCACAGGAATGTTGGGAACGGTACAGGATATTGCTGGCCACGCAGAACAAGCTTTTGTCGCAGGTCAGGGCCTCTCACAAGAGGGTGTGCAAATGCTTGGTCGCAAACTCGCATGTATGACGATCGGGGACCTTCAGGGTCTGCTGGATACGCAGAATGTTGACCCGTTTGAAGTTGCTCAGCTGATGAAAGACCTGAATGACCTGGGGAAGGCTCTGGTTTGTATCCAACATCACATAGAATTAAAATGTATGCCAAGATGGTTACTGTGAAATCAGATGTTTTGGTGGGGGCAAAATTTCGTGGTTTCCCAATAAAACACCTTTTTGTGGGTACATAGATTTGTGGCTTACGAGTATCAATTCAAACAGAGAATTGCTTTATATCAAACTTGTAATTACATGATTTCATCGGAAATCTTAAACCATGAAATCATAAATCCCAGAAGTAATTAAACAAAATTAAAAACTTGACTTTGTATGTTTATAAACTCAGATCCTATTGAGGCAAATGACAACTGACGTAAATGTTTATAAACATAGATCCTGTTGAGGCAAATGACAACTGATGTATATGTTTATAAACATAGTACCTGTCGAGGCAAATCACAGCTGACGTATATGTTTATAAACACAGATCCTGTTGAGTCAAATGACAACTGACTTAAATGTTTATAAACACAGATCCTGTTGAGGCAAATGACAACTGCCTTAAATGTTTATAAACACAGATCCTGTTGAGGCAAATGACAACTGCCTTAAATGTTTATAAACACAGATCCTGTTGAGGCAAATGACAACTGCCTTAAATGTTTATAAACACAGATCCTGTTGAGGCAAATGACAACTGCCTTAAATGTTTATAAACACAGATCCTGTTGAGGCAAATGACAACTGCCTTAAATGTTTATAAACACAGATCCTGTTGAGGCAAATGACAACTGCCTTAAATGTTTATAAACACAGATCCTGTTGAGGCAAATGACAACTGCCTTAAATGTTTATAAACACAGATCCTGTTGAGGCAAATGACAACTGACCTATATGTTTATAAACACAGATCCTGTTGCGGCAAATGACAACTGACGTAAATGTTTATAATCACAGATCCTGTTGCGGCAAATGACAACTGACATAAATGTTTATAAACATAGATCCTGTTGAGGCAAATGACAACTGATGTATATGTTTATAAACACAGATCCTGTTGTGGCAAATGACAACTGACGAATATGTTTATAAACACAGATCCTGTTGAGGCAAATGACAACTGACTTAAATGTTTATAAACACAGATCCTGTTGAGGCAAATGACAACTGCCTTAAATGTTTATAAACACAGATCCTGTTGAGGCAAATGACAACTGACGTAAATGTTTATAAACACAGATCCTGTTGCGGCAAATGACAACTGACATAAATGTTTATAAACATAGATCCTGTTGAGGCAAATGACAACTGACGTAAATGTTTATAATCACAGATCCTGTTGCGGCAAATGACAACTGACGTAAATGTTTATAATCACAGATCCTGTTGCGGCAAATGACAACTGACGTGTATGTTTATAAACACAGATCCTGTTGAGGCAAATGACAACTGATGTATATGTTTATAAACACAGATCCTGTTGAGGCAAATGACAACTGATGTATATGTTTATAAACACAGATCCTGTCGAGGCAAATGACAACTGACGTATATGTTTATAAACATAGATCCTGTTGTGGCAAATGACAACTGATGTATATGTTTATAAACATAGATCCTGTTGAGGCAAAATAGCTGGCGGATATGTTGTTTAATCATTGGTCCTGTTTGTGAAAAGTGCCATTATTTGTGAGATGTTATTTTTACATTCCAGTATTCTGACTTTATCGAGAAGTTATTCAGATATGTTTATAAACACAGATCCTGTTGAGGCAAATGACAACTGATGTATATGTTTATAAACACAGATCCTGTTGAGGCAAATGACAACTGACGTAAATGTTTATAAACACAGATCCTGTTGCGGCAAATGACAACTGACATAAATGTTTATAAACATAGATCCTGTTGAGGCAAAATAGCTGGCGGATATGTTGTTTAATCATTGGTCCTGTTTGTGAAAAGTGCCATTATTTGTGAGATGTTATTTTTACATTCCAGTATTCTGACTTTATCGAGAAGTTATTCAGATATGTTTATAAACACAGATCCTGTTGAGGCAAATGACAACTGACGTATATGTTTATAAACATAGATCCTGTTGCGGCAAATGACAACTGACGTAAATGTTTATAAACACAGATCCTGTTGCGGCAAATGACAACTGACGTAAATGTTTATAAACATAGATCCTGTTGCGGCAAATGACAACTGACGTGTATGTTTATAAACACAGATCCTGTTGAGGCAAATGACAACTGATGTATATGTTTATAAACACAGATCCTGTTGAGGCAAATGACAACTGATGTATATGTTTATAAACATAGATCCTGTTGCGGCAAATGACAACTGACGTGTATGTTTATAAACACAGATCCTGTTGAGGCAAATGACAACTGATGTATATGTTTATAAACACAGATCCTGTCGAGGCAAATGACAACTGACGTATATGTTTATAACCATAGATCCTGTTGAGGCAAATGACAACTGATGTATATGTTTATAAACATAGATCCTGTTGAGGCAAATGACAACTGACGTATATGTTTATAACCATAGATCCTGTTGAGGCAAATGACAACTGATGTATATGTTTATAAACACAGATCCTGTCGAGGCAAATGACAACTGACGTATATGTTTATAACCATAGATCCTGTTGAGGCAAATGACAACTGATGTATATGTTTATAAACATAGATCCTGTTGAGGCAAATGACAACTGACGTAAATGTTTATAAACACAGATCCTGTTGAGGCAAATGACAACTGACGTAAATGTTTATAAACATAGATCCTGTTGAGGCAAAATAGCTGGCGTATATGTTGTTTAATCATTGGTCCTGTTTGTGAAAAGTGCCATTATTTGTGAGATGTTATTTTTACTTTCCAGTATTCTGACTTTATCGAGAAGTTATTCAGTGACGCTGATGGAATATTTAAATCGTTTGATGTGACGTTGAAAGGAGATTTCAGCTTCCCTAGACAGAACATTGAACTGTTCACATTCTCCAAGTTTTTCATGGTCGGCGGGTTGGTGCCTATGACTTTTGGTAAGTATACCAGATAATTAGCTGTATAAACCAAACCAACATCTCTGAAAACACAGTATATAAATAGAACCGACTTCTTGTCCTGAAACCAATATCAACCGGAATAACCTTTATTCTAAAACAGATACCAACCTAAAACAGATACAAACCAAAATACTCTATTATCCCAAAACTGATATTAACCAAAATAATCTCTATCCCAAAACAGATATCAACCAAAATACCTAAAACAGATACAAACCAAAATACTCTATTATCCCAAAACTGATATTAACCAAAATAACCTCTTGTCCCAAAACAGATATCAACCAAAATAATCTCTATCCCAAAACAGATATCAACCAAAATACCTAAACAGATATCAACCAAAATAACCTCATATCCCAAAACAGATATCAACCAAAATAACCTCTAGTCCCAAAACAGATATCAACCAAAATAACCTCATATCCCAAAACAGATATCAACCAAAATAACCTCTAGTCGCAAAACAGATATCAACTACCAAAAACTTATTTAGATATCAACCAAATTGTCTTCTTATCCTCAATGCTTACTAAGTTAAACATTTTTTTTCTTTAATGATAATTGATTGTACTGGAAATAAAATAAACTTATTCAAAAAACAAATTTTAGGACAAAGGGTTCAATTTTAAAGAGCAACCATATATGGTCAAACATCAGTTCTAAGAATACTTCATCATATTTACGTAAATTATATATCCTTGCTGTTTCTGATTGGCTCTTGGTTTTCAATAATGAATTCTTTCTGAAACAGCTGTATTTTTTTGCTGAAATTAAATTAATTGTTGAACTTTTCAAACAAAGATTCTTTAATGTTTCGTGTGACTTAAATGGAGACAAACATGAAGGTCAGGTACAAATTCAAACATGAAGGTCAGGTACAAATTCAAGCATAAAGGTCAGGTACAAATTCAAACATAAAGGTCAGGTACAAATTCAAACATAAAGGTCAGGTACAAATTCAAACATAAAGGTCAGGGACATACAATGCTGTATGATGTTGTGATTACAGGTTTTGGTGCTGGCGGTTACTATGGGATGAAGTTTGAGGTCGGGGCCAAGATAATGGATATGGCAGCCGTATGCGGGGTGGAGCCATATGGGGGTCTGACAGTTTGGGGTGAGCTAGGCATTGGGTTTGCCTTGTATGGCAAGCTCCGTCTGGAAGGACACCTCTGTGACTTAGGATTCCCAACTACAGCTGAAATCGGCTTCAAGAAATTCCCAATTGATGTAAAGTAAGTGAAGTGTTTCTGCAGGGAGTATTTACTGAGATACATTCTCTATTTGGCTAAAATTACAATTTGATACCAATATTGTTCAGTATATTTCCAAATTTAACTAGCGATTCACCTGAAATGATGATTCAGTGGTAACTCTTGCCTTGCTGATTGTGGGACATTTTGGCCCCATATACCACATAGAGCGCTCTACTTGTGTGTAAAAGTGGGCAATTTACAAGCCAAAATAATGTATTTTAACCTTAACCCTTTCGCCCCTATGTAACTTAAGTAGACTTTTCCATGCATTGATATGGATGTGTCCATTATGGTTTACAGTGGTGAAAGGGTTAAGGTAATATTTGATTCAGCTTCAAATGAAGTTGCATTACTGCATACTTATAATATTGAATTAGATTACTATACTGGTAAATTATTCCTACATATTCCATAGGATCACCTTGTCCATAGTCCACATTCAGACTGCTCTATTGTTGGACTTTTAAGTTTATGTTTGTGTTTGAAGATTTATTATTTACAACGTGAAATTAGTGCATACATTGAAAATATTCTTGATCTTTAGCTATGTTTGTATTGCTCTGAAAAATCGTTATGGCCTGAAATTTCATAATAAACTATTCCAACCTTTGAATTGGAAGAGTTCAAATGTGTCTTCAGGGGTAAATGAGTTAATAGGTTCTCTTTGATGCTCTGATCTTGGAAACAACACTGATTTCATTGAAGTCTGTTACTGTATAGCACAATTTTAATGTTACTATAAGTTTATGTGAAACACATTGTCTTGTGTTTTTTCTGTCACAGTGGAATGATTGGAAACAAATTGACAAATGATGTTTTGGTATTTTGCTTGAAAAGAATTAAAATTTAAATAAAAATGCTGTCATATAATTGATAACTGTACATGTACGGACAGGTTGACTATGTATCTCCGCCTGACTCCGATCTCACTTAACCTCTACGCACTGGTGACCTTGGAGGTTGACCTTGGCTTCACTTCAATTGTTAAGACGCTGTTTAAGAAAAAGCTGTTCAGCTATGCCACCCCAACAATCATGAAGAAACTCATCGACAATACCAAGGCAGATCCTGACAATTCTCCGCCTGAAATTAAGAGTTTTAGTGATGATGGCAGCGGGGTAGGTTATTACACCCCACAGGGGCTTATTTCCATGTTATTCCCGGATAATAGAATATAGAGGATGTTACTGCAAAATTCAATTCTCTCCTGCCTGTTTATTTTGTTGTGATCTGTCTGACTTTGTTCTTTCTGAATTGTGCAACTTTAAGTAACTTGTAGTGATTAAATTTGATAATTGAATATGTAGTTGAAAACATTTAAATGTTGAATATGTAGTTAATAAATTTAGTAGTTAACTTTGAAGTTAATAAATTAAATGGTTAAATATGTACTTAATTAAATAGTTAAATAATGTTGTTAAAAAAATTAATTAACTACATATTATGTTGTTAATAAATTTGATAATTGAATATACTTTTAACAAATCAATAGTTGAATATGATTATTTTGAATTAACATGCCTTATTTATGAAGTGAAATTGTTTGAAATTCAATTTCCGAACAGCTTATCAGTTGAGATAGTGACTTCTTCCTTGTAATTATGATTGATTTGTCAGATGATAGAGAGCCTTTTTTTCTTGTATTGATGATTTATATGTCGGATGATACAGAGCCCCGTTTATTTACGATGCTTTCAGTCGAGCCCCGTCACAGGTTACTGTTCAGTCCATCAGATGGTAGGGAGAGACTACACAGAGCCGATGGTGGAGATTTCCCTTCAGGCCGCCGACGACAAGAGTGAAGTTACCATGACGTTGGATGTTGGTACCGTAGCAGGAGCTAAAGATGTGATGGAAGGCAAAGAACTCGGAGGACCTTTAGTTCAGATCGAAGAGGTGTGTAGTCTCCAGTGTTTACCTTACTAACAAAGCAAACAGATTGGTTTGACATTGTACAGGATGGTCCTGTAGGGCAGAAACATGTGAAGTTATGTTAAGCTTTTCTAGAATGCAGAACTTTTTACTTGACAATACTTTTTGTAAAGTTTCCCTGATTCAATATTTCATTCATTTACATAAGATCGTTAACAGTAGGATACAATTTTCAAATGAAGTTAATATAAAGAGGAGGTCATCATAAAGCAGGTGACATAAACAATTACATTTTATACACAACAAAACCGATGAAACAACAGTTTACCTGTTTACTACATTTCGAGATATTTAAATGAGGCAGATAGCAAGATAAAAAGAAAATACAAACTTATACTTTGGCGTATCAGGGGCTACTCGCTCAACACAATAAGCCAACTATATACAGTACTACAAAAACAAACGTGTACTGACGAGGTAGCCTCCTAAGCAAAGAAAGAGGCCACAAGGAAAAACAAAAAATATATTCTCAGTAATATATTTTCAGTAGGCCAGACAACTCTTGAGCGATTCAAGACAGGCCAAATGTAAATATCTAGTGAAACGTTCTTGAGCGATTCAAGACAGTATACATGTAGATATCTAGAGCAAACCCTTGAGCGATTCAAAAGCTGCATATAAGATAGAACGTTCTTGAGCGATTCAAGACAGTATACATGTAGATATCTAGAGCAAACCCTTGAGCGATTCAAGAGCTGCATATAAGATAGAACGTTCTTGAGCGATTCAAGACAGTATACATGTAGATATCTAGAGCAAGCCCCTGAGCGATTCAAGAGCTGCATATAAGATACTCATATATAAGTAGTAAAGAAAACTTTTAAGCGATTTAAAAGCAGAGAGCTTTTGCCATGAGCGATTCAAGAGAGGCAAAACTGACCACCAGACTTAAGCGATTTAAGAGCTGGCAAGACGAAACTCCTGAGCGATTCAAGAGCCTGGTAGAATCAAGAATAGACAGAAAAATTAAAGCAAAAGCAGTAAAATAATCAACAGATAAGTAAATAATATTACAGAAAAGTATTGGGGGGAAAATTCCCCAGGAATTAAAACCCAAATGGAACGAAACGAGGAATTGGAAATTACTAGTGAGTGAGAGCCCCCAATTACATACTGTGGAAAAACAGTATTACAGATAGACATGAAGTTAATATAAAGAGGAGGTCATCATAAAGCAGGTGACATAAACAATGACATTATAATAGATTACATACTGTGGAAATCAGTATTACAGATAGACATGAAGTTAATATAAAGAGGAGGTCATCATAAAGCAGGTGACATAAACAATTACATGATAATAGATTACATACTGTGGTAAAACAGTATTACAGATAGACATGAAGTTAAGCAAGAGTTTTCTTTTGTGTGAAACTCTTTAGGAAAAAATGCATTATACAGTAAATGCAGCATATAGCCTTAAATATGAGTACATGCAATGTCCAACTCATTAAGGAGGGGAACTAGGGCTAAACTTGTTTAATAAGTTTGTTCGTATCAACTTAATTGAACTCATTTTTTCACAGTAAATTTATTACAGAAATCATCAGATATTCAAAACAAATTTATCCAAACTCATGATGAGATTTTTTTTATACTTTTTCAAAATTGTATAACCAATTCCAGGATAGCTTGAAGATATAGATTCCTTTGAAACTGCATGTGACATGAATTAAAAAAAAAAAAAAAAACAAACTCTAACATGTATGAATTAACCTATTTGTGTTTGTGCTAAGACGGTGAATCTAACAGGCTTGTCATTAAATTTCACTTTGAAATCATTTTGATTCAATAGCGAATGTCTGTTACTGGTCTGCCATTGAATTTCACCGTGACCGTTGCCAATGACGCGGGTGGGGCAGTCAAGGCCGTGTGCTGGATTCCCACCTACGACGTTAACATCCCAGGGGGACAATTCCGAGCAGCTTTCCTGTCTAGTAGCAATCCTGAAGAGATGAAAGCATCTGTAGTTGTATTTGACGATTCACTGATTCAATCAGCGGAAGTTTCCGTGGGATATGGACGTGAGGTTTACGGCGACCAAGTTCTGATGTGGGAGGATGTGAACCTTTACAAGAGGTTCCATGATGTAGATATAAGTATGTATGCTTAAAGTATCAGGTCTAACTATGTATAACCTAACTAGGTGAATAGCAGATGTAAGCTCAACTTCAGTGACCATTGAATACCATTACTGTATAGATGTTTAATTTTGCAGGCTAATATCTTGGGATTTTCCCAATCAGAACTATTTCACAGAAATTAAATTTTGTGCAACATGACCAGGTTAAAAATTTGACTCACAGGAGTGTACTTTTGTGTTTGGGTGTTGAGATTTATTTTACAAGTATTTTGTGAAAATGAAGTAAAATATGTTATTGAATTGTTGTTTTATCTTCATTATTTGGTAGAAAACATACAGGAGATTATAATCCATGGTATTAGTTTTCGATGGGTATTTAATTTTGTGCTCTCTTTGTTGACTGCCAATACAGTGAAATTAAATTCCCCACAAATATTACTTACTATATTCTGGTATACTTCTGTTTTCAGTTACTCTTAATACCATTTCTATTGTAGGCAATGACCCACTCAACATCAAGGTACTAGGTCTGTTTAACAGCGGTATGTTTGGACGCCTGATTGGTCCTGTATTTATGGAACTGAACACCGTCAACACTGCTGGGGATTGCATGCGAGCATGTGCCAACTTCCCAGACACCAAGTGTCTGAGTATAAACTACGACTTTGGCACGAGTGGTCACTGTGAGCTGTTGGAGGCTATCGAAGGACACGACCACAAAGTGTCACAGGTGAGTTCTATCATTATTATCTCGGGTACCAGGTGAGTTTTATCATTATTATCTCGGGTACCAGGTAAGTTCTATCATTATTATCTCGGGTACCAGGTAAGTTCTATCATTATTATCTCAGGTACCAGGTAAGTTCTATCATTATTATCTCGGGTACCAGGTAAGTTCTATCATTATTATCTCGGGTACCAGGTAAGTTCTATCATTATTATCTCTGGTACCAGGTAAGTTCTATCATTATTATCTCGGGTACCAGGTGAGTTCTATCATTATTATCTTGGGTTACCAGGTAAGTTCCCCAGTAGTTTTTCTAGAAGGGGACAATACTGTGGCCCTGTCAGTCAGCTGGGTGTCATCAGTTAGTATGTATGTCAGTTTGTCCCAGCACAGTTATATAGTCTGGTACTCACAATTACCACATTTTGTATCTGAGTACTTTTGGAATGGTGTAGTGTTTGGCTCCGAATGCTTTTGGAATGGTGTAGTGTTTGGCTCTGAATACTTTTGGAATGGTGTAGTGTTTGGCTCTGAATACTTTTGGAATGGTGTAGTGTTTGGCTCTGAATACTTTTGGAATGGTGTAGTGTTTGGCTCTGAATACTTTTGGAATGGTGTAGTGTTTGGCTCTGAATACTTTTGGAATGGTGTAGTGTTTGGCTCTGAATACTTTTGGAATGGTGTAGTGTTTGGCTCTGAATACTTTTGGAATGGTGTAGTGTTTGGCTCTGAATACTTTTGGAATGGTGTAGTGTTTGGCTCTGAATACTTTTGGAATGGTGTAGTGTTTGGCTCTGAATACTTTTGGAATGGTGTAGTGTTTGGCTCTGAATACTTTTGGAATGGTGTAGTGTTTGGCTCTGAATACTTTTGGAATGGTGTAGTGTTTGGCTCTGAATACTTTTGGAATGGTGTAGTGTTTGGCTCTGAATACTTTTGGAATGGTGTAGTGTTTGGCTCTGAATACTTTTGGAATGGTGTAGTGTTTGGCTCTGAATACTTTTGGAATGGTGTAGTGTTTGGCTCTGAATACTTTTGGAATGGTGTAGTGTTTGGCTCTGAATACTTTTGGAATGGTGTAGTGTTTGGCTCTGAATACTTTTGGAATGGTGTAGTGTTTGGCTCTGAAATCAGGTTTATGTTTCAGTATATCACCACTGACATGTATTTCAACTCTTTGAACTCTGAGCTTTATTTCAGTCAATGAACTTTTGACCCATGTCTCACTTTGAACTCTGAACTGTGTTTAAGTAATGAACTCTTGACCTGATCTGTTATTCAGTCTATGGACTCTAACTTGTCTTTCAGTATATGAACTATGACATGTAATTCAGTCTATGAGCTCTGACCTGTCATTCAGTCTGTGATCTATATATGAACTCTGACCTGTCTTTCAGTATATGAACTATAACCTGTATTTCAGCCTATGAGCTCTGACCTGTAATTCAGTCAATGAACTCTGACCTGTCTTTCAGTATATGAACTATGACCTGTAAATCGGTCAAAGAGCTCTGATCTGTAATTCAGTATATGAACTATGACCTGTAATTTAGTCTATGAACTCTGACCTATATTTCAGTATATGTACTCTGACTTGTGTTTAAATCTTTTAACTTTGAGCTGTACGTATTTCAGTCTATGACCTCTTGGCCTGTATTTCAATCTGTGAACTCTTGACCCGTGTTTCAGTCTATGAACTTTGACCTGTATCTCAGTGTTTGAACTTTGACCTGTGTTTCAGTCTGGCCTGTACCAACACTATGAGAGACTAGGGATTGGACTTGCGGTGGAGTTCTCATACACAGGCCTCTCGCTGATCCACAACATGACGGTATACTTCAACCTGCGTCTCATCAATGCACTGGAATACCTGAACATCATCTCCACTGATGCAATCATATCAGACTTTACAACTCCAGAACCAGGTAAGTGCCAGCATCACTGTATATAACAGCATCACTTCTCCCTTTCCAGATCGTAACATTCCCTTATCAGGTAGAAATGTAAGCGGACCCCTCATAGTAAGTTACATTTATATATAATCATATACGTATAAGATGCAAAATTTGATTTATGTCCATATTGCAAAGAAAAAATATCAAAATTAACAATTCACAAAAAGACAAATTTCCAAGACCTTTTGCTCACATCTTTACTTCTCTTTAAGAGAATTATGTTCTTATTAAGACCATTCTCTTGAAGAGCCTTGAAAGCAAAGGCCTTGGGAATCAGTCTTTTTTTTCTAGAGCTTTTAATTTTCATTTCATACTGAATATTGATATCAATGCACACATCATTTGAGTTAGTCAGGATAATTATTTTAATAAGGAAAGTTTACTATATAATGTGTTACCTGTCATTATTAGGTTTGTTAATGAATGTGAAGGAGGACCGCCTGGTGGTCGTGACTTGTTCCAACCAGATACCTGAGGACAGACCAGATTGGTTGCCTCGCTGTGTCGGAATGTCAAGCAGTGTGTCCAATCACAGGTGAGATAAAACACAACTCTCTCTATTATTAGGTGTGTTAATGAATGTGAAGCAGGACTGCCTGGAGGTCGTGACTTGTGTAGTACATTGTACAATTATTTTACTAAGGAAAGATTACTATATAATGTGTTACCTGTCATTATTAGCTGTGTTAATGAATGTGAAGGAGGACTGCCTGGAGGTCGTGACTTGTGTAGTACATTGTATCACTATTTTACTAAGGGAAGTTTACTATATAATGTGTTACCTGTCATTATTAGCTGTGTTAATGAATGTGAAGGAGGACTGCCTGGAGGTCGTGACTTGTGTAGTACATTGTACAATTATTTTACTAGGGGAAGTTTACTATATAATGTGTTACCTGTCATTATTAGCTGTGTTAATGAATGTGAAGGAGGACTGCCTGGAGGTCGTGACTTGTGTAGTACATTGTATCACTATTTTACTAAGGGAAGTTTACTATATAATGTGTTACCTGTAATTCTTAGGTGTGTTAATGAATGTGAAGGAGTACCGCCTGGAGGTCGTGACTTGTTCCAACCAGATATCTGAGGACAGACCAGATTGGTTGCCTCGCTGTGTCGGAATGTCAAGCAGTGTGTCCAATCACAGGTGAGATAAAACACAACTCTCTCTATTATTAGGTGTGTTAATGAATGTGAAGGATGACCGCCTGGAGGTCGTGACTTGTTCCAACCAGATATCTGAGGACAGACCAGATTGGTTGCCTCGCTGTGTCGGAATGTCAAGAAGTGTGTCCAATCACAGGTGAGATAAAACACAACTCTCTCTATTATTAGGTGTGTTAATGAATGTGAAGGATGACCGCCTGGAGGTCGTGACTTGTTCCAACCAGATATCTGAGGACAGACCAGATTGGTTGCCTCGCTGTGTCGGAATGTCAAGCAGTGTGTCCAATCTCAGGTGAGATAAAACACAACTCTCTCTATTATTAGGTGTGTTAATGAATGTGAAGGAGGACCGCCTGGAGGACGTGACTTGTGTAGTACATTGTATCACTATTTTACTAAGGGAAGTTTACTATATAATGTGTTACCTGTAATTCTTAGGTGTGTTAATGAATGTGAAGGAGGACCGCCTGGAGGACGTGACTTGTGTAGTACATTGTATCACTATTTTACTAAGGGAAGTTTACTATATAATGTGTTACCTGTAATTCTTAGGTGTGTTAATGAATGTGAAGGAGGACCGCCTGGTGGTCGTGACTTGTTCCAACCAGATACCTGAGGACAGACCACATTGGTTGCCTCGCTGTGTCGGAATGTCAAGAAGTGTGTCCAATCACAGGTGAGATAAAACACAACTCTCTCTATTATTAGGTGTGTTAATGAATGTGAAGCAGGACTGCCTGGAGGTCGTGACTTGTGTAGTACATTGTACAATTATTTTACTAAGGAAAGTTTACTATATAATGGGTTACCTGTCATTATTAGGTGTGTTAATGAATGTGAAGGAGGACCGCCTGGAGGTCGTGACTTGTTCCAACCAGATACCTGAGGACAGACCAGATTGGTTGCCTCGCTGTGTCGGAATGTCAAGCAGTGTGTCCAATCACAGGTGAGATAAAACACAACTCTCTCTATTATTTCAAATAAATGGTTTATCCTGGTTGTTTAAAGTAAAAAAGACACTGTTTTTCTTGTTAAATCAAACTGCAAGTTCCAGAAATCTTTACAAACCAGGGCTGTTTAACATTCTATCCTGTTAATCCTTCTGGTAATAGTATATTTCTATGCCTAACATTTTGCATTCTTTCTGTTATTTCAGGGTAATCATTGACGGTCTAGGATCTACGACAATTCTCAATGGACATGATCCTGGAGATGAGACGCTTTATACACGTGCCAATCGTTATATCTCAGGTATTCTGTTAGTTTGTGTCTGTTTACACGTGACAACTGTTATATCTCAGGTATACTGTTAGTTTGTGTCTGTTTACATGTGACAATCATTATATCTCAGGTGTACTGTTAGTTTGTGTCTGTTTACACGTGACAACTGTTATATCTCAGGTGTACTGTTAGTTTGTGTCTGTTAACACCTGACAACTGTTATATCTCAGGTGTTCTGTTAGTTTGTGTCTGTTTACACGTGACAACTGTTATATCTCAGGTATACTGTTAGTTTGTGTCATTACATGGGTCTCCTTTAAAGCAAAAGTGCCACTCCCTTGGCATCATAGGCGTCATCTACACAAATGGTTTGGGTGTAATAACTCTTAAAGGATCATACTTTATTTTTCATGAAACCTTCAATGCATAACCATAGTAGTATTAATATCCTGTTTATGTTTGATTCATCGAAAACATGAAATTAAAAAGGCGACAAACTAGGATCTGTCCAAAATACTATGCAAGTTGTGAAATGGCATCATCTTATTATAAAGTTTGGGGACTTATTGTTTTTACTCCGATTCTTCTTCTTATTATTATTCTTTCTTCTTCTTCTTCTCCTTCTCCTTCTTCTTCTTCTTCTTCTGCTTTCTGCCGTAAAAGTTTCTGACACTTTTCTTAGAAACTATAAGTCGGATCTTCACCAAACTTTGAGGGATTATTACTGATAGCCTCTAGATGTGCAAACACTTTTTTTCTGAATACCATCCAAGATGGCCACCATGAATTTTTGAAATTTTTGGGAATTTAAAATTTCTAAAGGTGTTCGCTAAAGATAGCCAATGTCACCTATCCTATTTTACATGTTTTATAGATATTTTCCAATGCATTCCAAATTTGGCATGTAGGTGTATAATGGTACTGCAAACTCAACCATGACATCTGTTTATATGGCATTGCAAACTCAACTGCGACATTTGATTTCTAGTTTGACAAAATGGCCACCATATACTGGGTTCTGATTGGTCGAAATTTAGATATTGTTCGATGTTTGTGAAAATTGGTTTACAGAGGACTGCGAATTCAATCGCATAGGATATGTTGCCATATCAACCACATGGAGGCTTCTGGTTGGTCGAAATTTAGATAGTGTTCGATAGTGATGACAATTGATATATGGGTATAAAGGACTGCAAATTCAATCGCATACCTTCATTGCCATAGCAACCACACAGAGGCTTCTAATTGGTCGCAATTTAGAAATTGTTGGGTTTCACTCAAATTTAGTATGTAGGTGTATAAACCCATTGCAATCATTTTCTGATGCATCTTTGCAACTATAGGGTAGATATTGTTTGATTGTGATAAAAATGGGTATATAGGAGTATTAGGGAACTGCAAATTCAACTGCATAGGTTTCGTTGTCATACCAAAAACGCAGGCTTCAGATTGGTCGAAATTCAGATATTGTTCGATTTCACTCAAATTTAGTATGAAGGTGTTTTATGCCATTGTGATCCTTTTCTGATGTATCTTCGCGACTATGGGCGCAGTTTGGGGGACTTCTGTAGTGGTCCCCTATTCCAATTAGTACTTGTTTATATTAAACCACACTAATTAGTTCAGCTAATTCTCTCTGAACGCAGAGCTATAGTTTTCTTGATCTACACATTTTTTGATGTACAGATAGACATATTGCTGATATTTTGTTTTTTTTCCAGCCAATTGGAATGGTACAAATGACTTTGAGACTGGTATCCTTGGTTACACGGTAACAGTGGGGCTGAAATACTGTGAGGATATGATCCACCCCCACCACGACCCAGAGAAACACCTGTTTGACGAGTCACAGTGGACATTATCGGCCATGATATATCCTCTCACTCCGCCATACGACCCATTACCAGGTAAGACTCAAGGGAGATCATTCCAAATGTGTTCATGTCCATGGTGATTCAAAGATTATTATGGCAATGCCCTTTGTCCATTACGTTAGATTATTATGTACCATGATATACACAGCATACTGCATTTCTAGGTTAATCAAAATCAGTTTTATAACCACTACAGAGTTCCTATGACAAATAGGAGCAAGGAAATATTTAGAAATATCACTTTGAAATTATAATTTTGAAATATTACAAACTATATAAGAGCAAGGAAATCTTTAAAAATATCACTTTAAAATTATAATTTTGAAATATTACAAATTAAATAGGAGCAAGGAAATATTTAAAAATATCACTTTAAAATTATAATTTGAAATATTACAAATTAAATAGTAGCAAGGAAATATGTTAATATATCACTTTAAAATTATAATTTTGAAATATTACAAATTAAATAGGAGCAAGGAAATATTTTAAAATATCACTTTAAAATTACAATTTTGAAATATTACAAATTAAATAGTAGCAAGGAAATATTTAAAAATATCACTTTAAAATTATAATTTTGAAACCATATTTGAAACTTTACAGATGGAAAATATTACATTACTCTGCGTGCCCTGAACAAAGTGGAGTATGGTGGACCGTTGGTAACAAGTATCTGTCACACTACAGCCTATACTGTCGACAACTCGCCACCAATTGTGTACGAGGTCTACAACATCACGTACAATGAAGTCACCACACTGATCACCGCCATGCATAACTCCACGTGAGTCACAAAATCTACAGAAAAAAAATATAATAATCTTTCTGTTTTACTTCTTATTTTACTTGCTGTGCTGTAATATGGTACCTTTTGAAGCTAACTTTGGATTGCAGAGAGCAAGTGAGGCCAGGTTTGATGGAGGAACCATTAGCAAGTATAATTGTTAACAAAAATGGAATTGGTCGATGACAATTATGTGTGTTTTCTACTGAAATCCAGAGTCTGGAGTGAGTAAATGATTTCAGTTAGTTGTTTATCTGCAGAGAGTCGGAGTCAGGAATAAGTAATACTTGCCAGCTCATTGAAGATTCAATTCAATAGTGTTATTTCGCTTCTAGGGTGTATATACACAAATGTTTGTAATTCTGAGCATACATAAGCTCCCCCATGGAAATTTCAAAAAGTTGGCGAGTACTGTAAACCGGAAATTTTTGGCCCCAATATAGTTTTAGAATTTTTCACCCTCCATAATGAGAGTGAACTGTACTAAGCAATAAAATAAACATAGTAAGTAATCAGGTATGAAGAGTGAAATTAATATTGGACAAAAATGGATTATACCGATGTAGGGCGAAAGTTTCAGAGTATACAGTATGCTGTTAACCTTCAGGAGACCTTGAGTGCAGATTCAGATCATGAGTCCAGATATGTGAAATGATCATGTTGTTTGTCTACAGAGATCCCGAGTCCGGAGTAGAGTATAATGACCTGTGTCTGGGTAAAACTACCCGTGACTGTTACGTCTCGAACAACCTGTGGGAGCGCTACTCCTACAATCCTTCCATCCTACACTTCTTCAAACTACCTGATGGTATCCCAGTCTGGGTCAAGATTAAGGCCATCAACAGAGGTCAGTAGACGAAAAAGACATGTTGACAGCATCATAATATATTATATCTGAACAGGATACAATTTAAAAAAAAATAATTACCAAGCCTAATATGGGTAAATTTTATCTTCAAAAGACATCTTCTGAAGAACCAGGAGGCTTGAAATAATACTATTGACCTGAAGGTTGATGAAGCACAATATGTATATATCTTTTTCAAGTTAGGTGTTTTTGTATAAATCTTAATTGGTGAAATAGTTGGAGCATGACAAATACAATAAAATACTGAAATTTGCTTGGTTGATTTTCTTGTTAAAATTGGAGTAGAGATGATCAAGTATTAAAATTTCTTGTAAAATTATTGAAACAGATTCAACAATAAAGATGTACAATATCAGCTCTCAGAATTGAATCACCACCAACAAGTAGTACTCAAAGCACAATTGTCAAACATGATTTAGGGATATAAAGAAGTTCACTACTTATTTTTGTAAAGAACCTTTTACAGAATATATTATAATTGATCAATAATATGAATATTTTCACAGTGGACCTAAGAACAATCAAAGTGGCCAACTCTCCAATCATCATCGACTCTTCATTCCCTTTCCCTGGAGTCGTTAATGATGGCCCCATCTATGGGGTTGATCTTCAGTATACCAAGGACTACGACTCGGTATGTATTTAACTAACACCTGCTGTCTGTCTCAAGGTCGGGGCTACAGTTTGAACTTGGGTGTACTGATAGGCACATTGATTCACAATGTGTTAATGTACATATGAATCTTAAAGTCGATCAGGTGATCAAATTTTTTCTGATATTTCACAATGTTCTTAAGAATTAAGTGTCAGTTAAATAAGCTTTCATTGTTTAAACAGGATTTCAAACAGTTTTCCTATGTAACAAGAAAACAAAACTTGGCAGGTTCTATAATGAAATTATATAAACTCATCTGTCTGTAGGCAATATTTGTCCTTGCCATTTCCTCTGAACCATTTGGCCAATAACATTGAAACCTTGATAAGTTCAACAATGCACTTTGTCACATCATTTTGATTTTCTCAAAATGTAGCCAGTGTTTAAGGGGAAAGAATAGCAGTTCTTTTTCTGCACAAAATTGCCTTAGTTACTCGACCACAATTTTTGCCTGTCAGCTGAATTATCAAGGCACCGTGTATCCGAGACCTTAACAGTAACTCCTATTTCTGTTTCTAGCTGTGTGTGAACTGGCAGGGTTTTTACGACCCCGAGTCAGGTATAGCCTACTACCAAGTAAGTGCGGGATCAGTGGACAGTACCAATGTCACCGACATAGCCAATCTGACACAGTACACGCACCTTGATCATGAGGCTTGCGTCACCCTCAACCCCGAAAGTTACCTGGAGCATGACAAGGAGTACTTTGTCACAGTGTGGGCTTACAACGGAGGACACAAACAGTTGGGCGTGGCCAAAACCTCAGATGGAGGTAATTTACATATGTTGAACATACAAAATTGTATATGTATGTTTATTTAATTAACATGTTTTGCTGGTGATAAGCCCTTGGCTGGTAATAAGCGCCCACCGTCCCCCCCTTCCCCAACCCCTGATAATAAGCCCCCACTGTAGCCCCTCCCCAACCCCTGGTAATAAGCCCAAACCATCCCCCTCCCCAAAGCCTGGTAATAAGCCCCCACCGTCTCACTCCCCAACCCCTGGTAATAAGCCCCCACCATTCCCCCATCCCCTGGTAATAAGCCCCCACCGTCCCCCTCCCCCAATCCCTACTTTTCTTTATTTACCATGCATAGGGTGGGTGCCCGGTAATAAGTCCATCCCCCTTTCTTCAAGTTTGTTTTCATCAATAAAAAGTGTGGTTTTTTTTGTATGTCTTTTGTACATCGTACAATACATGTTGAGCTTATTGTATACCTTACAGCATGAATGTTTCATAATGTGTTTAATATTAGATTTGGTGCATTCTATGGAACCATGAATATTAGTTGTTTTAAATTATTCGTGGCTTCAACTTTGTACCACTTAAATCTCAAAAGCAACATAGCAAGGAAATTCATTAAAAGATCAATATTTTCTACTTATGTCCAACTCCTTGTATTATGTTGAGGTATTGTACCAAAATATGCAACAGTTATAATGTTTTGTTTTAACACAGTGGTATGTGACCTAACCGCCCCTTTCCCTGGTGAAATTATTGATGGAAACCGAGAAAACTTTGAGGATCAAGCTTATACAGCTGCGCAAGCAAAGGTTGAAGGTCAATGGAAGGATTTCTCTGACCCCGAGTCGTTTATCAAGGACTATAAAGTACAAGTGCACCGAGCAGTGTAAGTAAACTTAACAAACTTGTATACGTATAACCAAATAACCACTTTAAAGTTGAGGTCCTCAAACAAAAGGTTAAAGAGGATCTGTTATAAGTTCGCCTTTTGAAGTTCATATTAGATTTATGATACCAATTTTGGATTGTTCATGTTTGCGAGCCTCTGGTGAGCAAATATGAAAAATTCAAAACGAGTGTCATCAATCTAATGTAAAGGGAAACGAATGACAGATTCTTTTTATCATATAATACAAAGTAAACTGTATAATTGTGATCTGAAACGAATATTTAGCACTTGGCCGCCTCTGAAATGATGAAAATTGTGTATTACACATGTTACATAAACGTAATTTATGTGATGGTTTTATGACACTGCATAACACTGAATTCATATGATAAATTGATATATAACACCACTGGATCCTGTTAAAAGTTATATTTCCTTGACTCTATCAACAGTGCTGACATGTTTCGGCCTAAAGGTCAGCACTGTGGATAACGTCAGAGAAATATAACTTTGAACAGGATCCAGTAGTGTTGTTGCTCATTTTGTCTTTATGAGTTGACCTGCCACCATGAGAACTATAATGTATACCATTAGGTATCACCATTAGGTATCACGATACCATTAGGTATCACCATTAGGTATCACCATTAGGTATCAGGCCCTGGATCACTACCGCCACATTGGAATTGACCCCATTGCAGGGACGTTGGGTCTCCACCCCCTGTCTTTATATAATTTCTTTTTAAATTTTTAACTGCCTGATGTGATAACAATACTAAACATTCTTTAAACTCATAAAATATGTTGACATCAATGCTGATGTATGCTATACAGGAACTTGAGCATGGACTATGAAGTACTGAGGGATTGGACGGAGTTTGATAACGAGACACTCGGCGTGAAGTGGCTGAACTTTCACTTGAACCATCGAGATCGTGTAAAGCTCGTTTTGAACACAACTAACGGGGCTCTGAACACTATCCAGAGTGAGACTGACAGCTATGTGGTTGACCTCACGCCTCCTAAACTGTTCTATCTAGGGGATGGTGTGGACCCTGAGAAGGACATACAGTTCCAGGTAAGGTCAAGGTCAAAGTCATAGGTCAGCTGATGGCCAGTGTTGTGAGTCAAATCTCAGAACATTGGTAAATGAGACCAAATGTTTCATGAAAGAAAAAAGACAGGCATTTAGTAAGATAACCTGGGTTTTATGTCAGATAAAAAAATTCATTCTAGGTAATTCGAAAACCATGGTTCTATATATTAAAGATGAAAACTAGGGCTCCAAAATACTGTAAACTGGGAATTTTTGTTAAATCAAACTTTGCCCTTTCCTCATGAAATCAATTTTTGCCCAGTGTTAATTTCACCCTTCACCTTTAATTGCTATGTATATTATGTTAATTATGTTTGCTGTAAATGATAAATTCGCCTTCATCTCAGAGGGCGAAAAAGGCGAAAATTAAACTGCAGCAAAAATTTCCCGGTATACAGTAAAACCCATATATGTTCTATATGTATTATATAACTTAGGATAATTTTTCTCTTGCAGTCTAATGCAAACAGTTTATCTGCCAACTTTAAATTCGAGGATGTGGAGTCTTACATCAACCACTACAAGTTCCAGATCTATGAAAAGAGAGGAGGATCTCGCAACCAGATCTTCCCAGGTTTGTCTCTGCTAGAGCACACAACAGTAGTCAGGCCTTAAGTGTTCACAGAACAGACTTACTCTGACATAACCAAAGGCCAAACTACTGCTAAATTAGTCTACTTACTCTGACATAACCAAAGGCCAAACTGCTGTTCAATTAGTCTACTTACTCGACATAATCAAAGGCCAAACTACTGCTAAATTAGTCTACTTACTCGACATAATCAAAGGCCAAACTACTGTTAAATTAGTCTACTTACTCTGACATAACCAAAGGCCAAACTACTGTTAAATTAGTCTACTTACTCTGACATAACCAAAGGCCAAACTGCTGTTCAATTAGTCTACTTACTCTGACATAACCAAAGGCCAAACTACTGTTAAAGTAGTCTATGAAATATAAATTGTATACATGTTCTTTAGCACCAATATCTTATATCCTAAACAAACAGAAAATTAAGGTTGTGGGGCTTACCAACAAGAGTGATTAATATAAGTTGGTATAACTTGTTTCATAATTGTTGTAAAACAAATAAAGTATTATTATTTTTAAGTTTTTGTATGTCAATCTCAACTTGTTTCCTAAATCAGTAAAGCACCCTAGCCAAGTCGACCTATGTGTGATATTTCTTTCTGAACATTTTCAGCAATACAAGGGGAGTGGCACGAACTGAGTGACGATCCAGCCCGCACCCTCTACACCCAGACACCAATGGCTCTAAACGTCGGTAGCAGATACAGTGTGCGTGTCGGCGCCATCAACAACGCTGGATTTGTTGCAGCATTTGAAACAGATGGCGTTGTCATTGACGTATCACCACCATTGGTATATACATTCTAGATCTCTTTGCCATATAAACAACTTGATGTGGTATCACCACCATTGGTATATACATTCTAGATCTCTTTGCCATATAAACAACTTGATATGGTATCACCACCATTGGTATATACATTCTAGATCTCTTTGCCATATAAACAACTTGATATGGTATCACCACCATTGGTATATACATTCTAGATCTCTTTGCCATATAAACAACTTGATATGGTATCACCACCATTGGTATATACATTCTAGATCTCTTTGCCATATAAACAACTTGATATGGTATCACCACCATTGGTATATACATTCTAGATCTCTTTGCCATATAAACAACTTGATATGGTATCACCACCATTGGTATATACATTCTAGATCTCTTTGCCATATAAACAACTTGATATGGTATCACCACCATTGGTATATACATTCTAGATCTCTTTGCCATATAAACAACTTGATATGGTATCACCACCATTGGTATATACATTCTAGATCTCTTTGCCATATAAACAACTTGATATGGTATCACCACCATTGGTATATACATTCTAGATCTCTTTGCCATATAAACAACTTGATATGGTATCACCACCATTGGTATATACATTCTAGATCTCTTTGCCATATAAACAACTTGATATGGTATCACCACCATTGGTATATACATTCTAGATCTCTTTGCCATATAAACAACTTGATATGGTATCACCACCATTGGTATATACATTCTAAATCTCTTTGCCATATTAACAACAAAGTGCCAAGTGAGCTTATGCTGTGGTGCGGCGGCCGGCGTCAATATTTTACTTTAAACGACTTCTTCTTAATAACCGAAAGGCCTAGGGTGTCGATATTTGGCCAGAAGCAAACTTGGATAAAGGGCTACAAAGTTTGTTAAAGTGAATGACCTTCACCTATTTTCAAGGTCACAGGGGTCAAATATGTCAAAAACTTTAAACATCTTCTTCTCAATAACCAAAATGCCCAGGGAGTTGATATTTGGCCAGTAGCATGCTTGGGTGAAGGGCTACCAAGTTTGTTCAAATGAATGACCTTCAATTATATTCAAGGTCACAGGGGTCAATTGTATTAAAAAAAATGTTAAACAACTTCTTCTGAATAACCAAAATGCCCAGGGTGATGATATTTGGCCAGTAGCAAGCTGAGATGAAGGGCTACAAAGTTGTTCAAATGAATGACCTTCACCCATATTCAAGGTCACAGGGGTCAAATATGTAAAAAAAACTTTAAACAACTTCTTCTGAATAACCAAAATGCCCATGATGATGATATTTGGCCAGTAGCATGCTGGGTTGAAGGGCTACAATGTTTGTTCAAATGCATGACCTTCACCCATATTCAAGGTCACAAGGGTCAAATATGTTAAAAACTTTAAAAACTTCTTCTGAATAACCAAAATGCCCAGGGTAATGATATTTAGTCAGTAGCATACTAGGATCAAGGGCTACCAAGTTTGTATAAATGTATGACCTTGAATCATATTCAAGGTCACAAGGAGCAAATATGTTCAAAATATTTCAACAACTTGTTCTGAATAACCAAAAGGCCCAGGATGTTGATATTTAGTCAGTAGCATATGCTGGGATCAAGGACTACTTTGTTTGTTAAAGTGAATGACTTTGACTTATATTCAAGGTCACAGGGGTCAAATTTGTTTAAAATCTTTAAACAACCTCTTCTGAATAACCATGGGTCCCAGGATGTTTTTATGCAAGTTGCATCCTGAGATGAAAGGCTATACAATGTGTTCAACCTAAGACTTTGTTCGACTTTCAATCACAGGGGTGAAATGTTCCAAAAAATAATAACAGGGTCTTTATAATGAATTTCAATCATAAATACTGATATTTTGCCTGTAGCTTATTTTAGATCACTTTTAAGGTTACAAGTGTGAGTTTTATACCAGGTGAGCGATGCAGGCCCATTGGGCCTCTTGTTACTATTTGCAATTTTAGTGGAAAACACAATAAACTTCATATTGTGTCCACTGTATTTCTTTACAAAAAAATACCAGACAAAATAAATACATGCTGTGTACCAGGACATTTTGCCCAATTAAACTTCGCCCATGAATCCAATTTTTCACCCAGTGTTAATTTCACCTTTCACATCCAATTACTACAATGTATGTCATGTTGTTAACTTATATTTACTGCAATGATAAATTAACCCTCATTACGGAATTTGAAAAGGGCGTAAATTAAACTGCAACAAAAGTTTCTCGGTATACAGTAACTGTAAACTGTAGCACTAGTGTTTGGCTGTCTAAGGGACACTATTGTTAAGTTATATATTTATTCACTTTTGAAAATAGAAACTTGAACTTTTTCTTTCAAATTATAGACATTGTGGCTTAGAGTAGGGATCCTGAACAACGAGATAGAGGAGAAGGTCGAAGGTTACGTGTGGCAGGCTGATCAGACGGGCATCAAAGCTAAGTGGTTTGCTACAGATCCTCAGTCTGGAATCATCGGCTACAAAGTGGCTGTAGGCACCACTCCATGTAAGGGACATAACTCTATCACGATCAAAATACTCTAAAAAGAAAGACAATAACGAAAAAAGAACGGGAGAGAGAAAAATCTCAAAATAACACATTCACTCTTTTTGTGACAGTTGTGTGATAATTATTTCAGTCGCTAATAGCAATCTCATGTTGGACCAATATTGGGACGTCATATACTCGTATATTTTACAAATATACAAAGAACTATATAACATAATACATTGTAAATCCTTACCTCAATCATTATTTGTAACATTGCTTGACATATAGTACAAATGTTGCACACCAACCATTTAAAAAAATATTAACCTTTCTTCGAGGTTGATATTTTGATGTCAAAGTTACAATATTTTCTATATTTACAAGATGGCACAGACAAGCTTGACTACACGGAAATCAGCGACAGCGATGTATATATTCCCAACCTTGACCTTGACCTCACCAACCTGACTACCAAGAGTCCAGTGTATTATGTCTCGGTCAAAGCAATCAATGGTGCCGGAACTGAGAGCACCACCGCTGTAACGTCTACACCCATTGTAGTAGTAGAACAGGACACCGCAGGTAAGTGTGGAAGTTTATATCCTCCTCAACCTCCGATAGTTTATGGATATTTTGGAAAACTAGATATAATTTAAATTGAGATATTAAGAACATGTAAAGCTTTATTTAGTAGAAGTTGGGAATTTTTAAATTAGTTCCAGTTTTTAAAGGGGAAAAAAAGGTAAAAGTAAAACAATAAAACAAAACATGGCACTAAGTAAATTCCTGTAGATTATATTTTTAGGTCACCTGAGCTTTGCTCAAGTGACCTATTCTAATCGCTTTCCGTCCGTCGTCGTGCGTAAACTTTTTACATTTTCAACTTCTTCTCAAGAACCACTAGATGGATTTTTTTCAAACTAGGTCAGAATCATCCTTGGTAGATGAGGCTACAAAATTGTAAAATTGGAATTCCTACCCCAACCCCTGGAGCCAGGGTGGGGCCCCAAAGGGAAAATTAACCAATATTTCAAAAATCTTCTTCTCCAGACTCAGAGGTACTACAGTCATTTGACCTGCATGGAAAGAAAGATCATCAGGGGCTTTACTTAAATTGTAAATTTCAGGACCCCCGAGCTATCCGTTCTCCCTTGGGGAGGGGGTAAAGTTTACTATAGTTTATATAGGGAAATAACACTTTTGGGTATATTTTGACAACTTTCTGTAGGAAATTATTTTTACTTGGTGAGAATTATCCTTGGAGGAAGATGGTTTCAAAGTGTAAAATTGAAATTCCTACCCCAACCCTAGGGGCCAGGGCGGGGCCCCAAAGGGAAAATTAACCAATATTTCAAAAATCTTCTTCTCCAGACTCAGAGGTACTATATATATATTCATTTTCTCTGCATGGGAAGAAAATCCTCAGGGGCTTTATTTAAATTGCAAATTTCAGGACCCCCGAGCTATTCGTTCTCCCTTGGGGAGGGGGGCAAGTTTACTAATAACACTTTTGGGTATATTTTATCCATTTTCAGCAGAAAATTACTCAAACTTAGTCAGAATCATCTTTGGTGAATGAGAGTATTACTTTGTAAAATTGGGATTCCTGCCCCCTCCCCAGGGGCTAGGGCAGGGCCCCAAAGGGAACATTTACCAATATTTTCAAATTCTTATCCTTTGATGACATGACAAGTATTGTATTTCACTCAATTTACATGCTGATTTCCACATCACATCTAAACAATAAAATAAAGCTACCAGTACCTATGATATAACTCAGGTGACCGCTAAGGCCCTTGGGCCTCTTGTTATTTATATGATCTTTTAAAATCTATAAATAAAATCAGTAATTACTGGATAAATAAGAAAATGTTTCAATCATTCAAAAGACAATTATTCTAGTTTGTGTCCAGAAGTGATGGTCTCTACAGTATTTTACTGCGGGTTTCCAATGATATCATACCTATATCCCTAGGTGGTAGCTAGCTATATAGGGTGACCAAGTGGATAGCCCACTCCCCTTTCATTTGATTCCCTGATCGGACATGAACAGGTATGGGGTCACCTGCCTTATCATGTGGGCTTCCTCCAGGTAGTCGGTCTCTTCCCACATTAAGACCCAGTGCTTACTCACCAGGGCCAACAAGAGTAGTTAATATAAGTTGAAATAACTTGATTCATAAATGTTGTGAAAAAGGTGAAGTTTCATTTAATAATCCCTGTTTTAAGGTTACGCCATAGATGGTGCCGAGGGTCTGGGAACTGATGACATCATGTCAATGGACATTGACTACACTATGGACTTCTCCGTGGTAACCGCCCAGTTTGAGGGCTTTACCAGTGACCTCCACGGGGTCATGGCCTTTGAATGGGCTGTTGGAACCAGCCCTGGGGGCGAGGAAGTCCAGCCTTTCTTGACTGCAGGGATTGTCCACGAGGAGGATGATAGTATTCCTGGAGATGGTGAGTTTAGCCAAAAAACAGATAAGAAATTCTATATTTGATCTTGGTAAGAATCACTGTGATAAGAAAACCCAAGGATGATTGTTATAAAGATACTCATTATAAATATGATATGTATCTTAGTTTTATATTTATTGAGTTCCTTAGTCTGAAAGCATTCTGGAAGAAACTGCATTCATAGAGCTATGAAATGAATGCAGTTTGATCAGTGTCATTTTGAAGCTTCTCCTCCTGCCTCGAAAAACAAAGGAGACAACCGTAAGAAGCAAATATTTTGGTGACGTTACGCTGTTCCAGGAATCTTGTTTGCACTGACAACACAGACACCTTAGTATCAAAAACAGAAGGGAATATCTGTATGTCGGTCAATGATAACTAAAATTTTAGAATGTAAATATTAGGATTGAACAGTATTTTTTCAATGTGGACATCATGGAATATATATGTAACCAATTTGTGTTCATACATACCAGCATAAAATGGAAAAAAGTGCCATTCAATTCTTATGTATTTGTGTGTTTTGTTTAGAAAGGTGTTAAGTTTTGTGGTCCATTGTTGTGGTTACAGGTGTAGCCAGTAGTGGATACGCTCAGACCACTGCCCAGTTAACAGCCAACAAGACTTACTACACCACTATTCGAGGAATTACCAACGGAGGAAATGTCCTAGAGACTTCAACCGATGGTTTCACTATTGACCTCACTCCCCCCAGTATAAAGCTGGAACGGTAAAATATTTGTTGACCGTCTGTTGAATTTTATTTTTACATTGCTATAATAGTGTTAATATTGTATAACAAAGGTCATTTTCATTTCAATACCTTCGCTACGAGCCGAACCCAGAACCTCTGGTTTACTAGTCTGATGCTCTACCAAATAAGCTAAACTGAAATTATCCCTAGCGGAGTAACAAGTATAGGAAGCAGCTATTATTTTACTTCTTTTTCTATTTCAGCTTGACCGACAAATATGCAACTGATACAAACATAAAAGAGGGCGCCACCATATACCAACGGTCTTCTGACTCCATGACAGCAAGCTGGCAGTACAACGACACAGAAAGCCCTGTCGTTGAAAGCTGGTACACTGTGGGCACATATCCGTTTGCAGATGACATCAGAACAATGCAGTATGCTGAGATTACCTCCCTTGGCCTGAGTTCCATGCCCCTAGGGTCCATCTCACCTGATGTCACAGGTATGTGACCATCTTCAATCTGATTTCAGTACAGTACATTTATTAGGGCCACACAATCAAGATATAGGTGTCTTTTAGTAATTATGGTGTCTGTCCATCTGTCCGTTCCAAACAATGGTATGTAGGAGCTAAACAAGAATGTCTGGCCTCAGAATAGAATTTCAGATTTTCCTAATTCAAGAATCATTGTATAAACCTTTTCCATACCTGCCAACCCCGGACATACCCCGGAAATAAAAAAAGAGGGTCATAGTGCGCGACGGCTTTTTTTCGCAACAAATATAAGAAAAAGAGATATTAAATTAGAACTTAAATATTTTAATGATGTTAAGTTACATTCAACATTCATTGAACTGTTCTTCCAGCAGATCTAGCTAATCCTCATCCACAATACCAAATTCAAAGCTGAAAAATAAAAAGGTTTGTCGACAACACAACTTATGAAATTAATTCATAATAATATATATGATACTTTGTTTCCACAGGCATTTTTTATGTCAATTAAAATGGTCCTGACAATAACATGTCCCATTCTGCTCATATAAAATACCATTTTGTTTCTGTCAATGAAAATGGTCCTGACAATAAGAAGTTGTACCCTACTCATATAAAATATCAGTTTTATACGAGTAGGGTTTGAACTCTTATTGTTAGGATAATTTTGATTGACAAAAACAAATCATCAAATGCCTGTGCGTGTGTTTGAATGTCTTAGTGTAACCCTCTTAGCCCCAAAGGCTGGGTAAGAACAACTTTAACTACTTTTCAAGGTCTCTTGTATTTATTCTCTCCAAAGAAACCTGTTAACAAAAAGATACGAAACTAAGACTCAGTTACAATATACATATACAGTTACTTTCACTTTACGAATACGATGGACATGACTACATATATATTATCACAGGTATTGTTATATCATTACATGAATAAACACTGAGTAAAATATATTATGAGACTTACCAGGGACCTGGGAAGGATATACACTGTCCGTCCTGCTCGGCAGCATAGTGTGAAGTGAATCAGGGTGGTGACGTGCGCGTACATATAGGACACACGGGGTGGCGTGAGTATGTAAATACTCGTGCAGTTCACTCTCTCACAACACTCCACGTTCAGGTTATGACACGAGTACGGGATAGACAACACGTGGACACTGTGTGACTTAGTGCAATGAGTACACCCTGTTACATTAGTAACGTTGTTTTAAGCACCAGATCAAACTGAAATATGCGATTTACAAAGACTAGAGCGCAGAATGCAGCGTTTGGTCCACGACCGCAGGACTTTATACACTAAAACTCATTTTCCTACGATATGTGAACAATTATCTTTTCTTTTAGCATTTCGTGTATACTATAGTCAGAGACGTATATGCAAGTCCCGAGCCGCAAGTCCCGATAATGACTTCTTTTTTCAAGAAGACATAATGTTACCTTCAAAATACAATCTATTCTACGTAAATACAATTGTAAAAACAACTCTATTATTTGTTAAAACACCTGACTAATGAGTTGCCAGCAAGTTCAGTAACAACGGTATTTGTATAAACATTTGGAAAACCCGTTCTAGTACGTATAAAAACAACTCGCAACTTACCTGTTGGTGAGAAATGAAAATAAAAAATAGATCGTCTTTCTTATGAAGAAGGATGGAAAAGTCTAGAGAATTCCGAGTGACTTCGGTAACTTCTAATATACGAAAAGATTCCGGGTGAAAACAGGTGAAATTGACGAAATCCGGGTCAAAATCGTAACCCGGCGGGTGAAGTTATAAAAGCGGGTGAAAGGCTAAAATCCCAGGTGTAACCCGACGAAATCGGGTCACTTGGCAGGTATGCTTTTCAGAAGTTGATATTCTTCAGAATATTTCTTTTGTTGATAGCTGAATCATTTAATTTATAGGCAAACCCAACATTCTGAGTATCTGGGCGAGGAACAAAGCAGGGATTATTGAAGGTGTGGCGTCCGGCTCTGTTGTGTTTGACAGTTCTGATCCACTAATGGGTGAAGTCACCTGTCCGGATTATGTACAGGTAAGTTCGGAAAACTTATTGATTTTTTTTTTCTCTGTCACTCTTTATACAAAAATGTGCACAAATATAGCAGGGTTTAACGGGAAAGTGAAAAGAGAGAGAAAAAACAAACGCTCATAAACAAAACAAGCACCCTCGCACCCACACTAAATATACATAATACCAAGTACCAGTGATGTACACGCTGACCCCGTCCTCATCCCTAAAACATTGACGAGTATATGCTGCTGAATTCTCAGGTGTTGTGTTGAATATCTTGAGTTTTTCTGCAATGACGGTATATTGACCTACTGTTTATAGTCTAATTCTCCGGTTTCATGTTGGATAGTTTACCTTGTTATACTGCCACCATCTGTCCTGCGAAAATTTGGCATTATAAGTTGGTTTGTTGATAAAATGAGGTACACCTATTAAGAAAAACAAAAAAAAGGGACCTTGAAATATTTTGGCTGTAAGTGAGTTGGCAAATGACATGGGACATTATATTGAGGTTTTACAGTATTTAAGTTTGTCTACAATGAGGTAACATTAAATTGCTGTTTTCTGTTGAATGCTCCGGTGTTGTGTTGAATATCTTGAGTTTGTCTATAACGACGTAAAATTTACTTTAATACAGTTGAATGCGCCGGTGCTGTGTACATGGACAGGCTTCTTTGACGAGGAAAGTGGCATAGACAGGTACCTCATCACCATGGGACAGATACAGGGCTCAGACGACATCTTCAACAATGGCGAGGTCGAAGGGAGCATCACCTCTTACTCAATTACAGGTAATTATAAACACTCTACTGGTTATGTTCTTGTAATTCATACCTGTATGAACCTCTCAGATATTGATTCATTATAGTAAATATTGAATTAAACTTGTCTGTAAATGTGTGGCAGATTTTAAATGTACATAAGATTGAGAGCAACTGACTAGGAAGTCAGGGATTGCGGATCCCTGGTGGAAGCACACTTCTCTCTTTCCTGTTACAGATGTAAGACATTATGTGGCTCTAGAAATAAAGTCATTAAAGTATCAGAAATGTGGACGTATGCAGCAGGAATAAATACCTTGTTTGATGTCAGCATGTTGAGCTACTTAGATTTTGGCCCTGAATTAGTAAATGTAAAATTGATTAAAATTTCCTGAACATTGAAATTTAACAAAAAGGGAGAAGAACCGTCGTTGGTCTAATTTAGGTAGGGTCCTTAAGTAGTGTGCTGGCTTGTAAAGTAATTGCTTGTAAGTATTATATAATCAAATCACTGGATTAATTCTACGGAGTTAAAAGCACAATTTTATTTATTTACACTGAAAATACATTGATATTCTTCTTATATTGACTAATTTTATACAAATTATTGAATTTCACTGATAATTTGAGTGTACATCCTTTTACCATTATCAATATCAGATAAAGTAACACACAGAGGAAACTGTTTTACATATTTTTAGGTCACCTGAGCTTTGCTCAAGTGACCTATTCTAATCGCTTTCCGTCCGTCGTGCGTAAACTTTTTTCATTTTCAACTTCTTCTCAAGAACCAGTGGATGGATTTTTTTCAAACTTGGTCAGAATCATCCTTGGTAGATGAGGCTACAAAATTATAAAATTGGGATTCCTACCCCAACCCCTGGGGCCAGGGCGGGGCCCCAAAGGGGAAAATTAACCAATATTTCCAAATTGTTCTCCTCCAGATTGAGAGGTACTACATTCATTTTCTCTGCATGGAAAGAAAATAATCAAGGGCTTAATTTAAATCATAAATTTCAGAACCCCCGATCTATCCGTTCTCCCTTGGAGAGGGGGTAAAGTTTACTATAGTTTATATAGGGAAATAACACTTTTGGGTATATTTTGACAACTTTCTGTAGGAAATTATTTTTACTTTGTGAGAATTATCCTTGGAGGAAGATGATTTCAAATTGTAAAATTGAGATTCCTACCCCAACCCCTGGGGCCAGGGCGGGGCCCCAAAGGGAAAATTAACCAATATTTCAAAAATCTTCTTCTTCAGACTCAGAGGTACTATACTCATTTTCTCTGCATCGAAAGAAAGATCATCAGGGGCTTTACTTAAATTGTAAATTTCACTCCCCCCCAGTTATTCGTTCTCCCTTGGGGAGGGGGTAAAGTTTACTATAGTTTATATAGGGAAATAACACTTTTCGGTATATATTTTATCCATTTTCAGCAGAAAATTACTCAAACTTAGTCAGAATCATCTTTGGTGAATGAGAGTATTACTTTGTAAAATTGGGATTCCTGCCCCATCCCCAGGGGCTAGGGCGGGGCCCCAAAGGGAACATTTATCAATATTTTCGAATTCTTATCCTTTGATGACATGACAAGTATTGTATTTCACTTAGTTTACATGCTGATTTCCACATCACATCTAAACAATAAAATAAAACTACCAGTACCTATGATATAACTCAGGTGACCGCTAAGGCCCTTGGGCCTCTTATTTGTGAATGTGAACATGTTGAAAGATTATGGAACCTGCTTGAAAATGGGATATTTTTGAAAACAGCTGTGTAACTGTTTATTAGCTTTACAAAACAAGAGATTCTCTTTGGTAAACATGGTAAACAATATCAAGGGCAAAATCTAATTGTGTTGATCGTAAAGCATTACATTTACAAACAGCGTGTGAAAGGTGACATGTTATATATAGAAAGTGTTAAGAAAGATATTAAGAATTACTATAATACTGAAAAAAATATATCTACATGATAAACTGGTGGCATTCCATCAAAGATGGAGACTACTATCAAATTTAGTGATAGAAATCTAGTAACCTGTATACTTAATCAGTTCATGCTAACGTTGTCTAAATTCCCGCTTAAATGTAAGTACAGTATGGTCAAACCTCATAATTTTGAACTCGGACGACTTAAAACAACTTCTAAACTAAAAGTTGAGGCTCATTTTGTTGTCTAACTATTCTAAATGTTAAGGCATGAAAACTTTTCTGCGAGTGAATCGTCCGTTTTTGAGATGGTGAGGTGCAGCTGAATACTTTATTATCTTGTATAACATATAACAGATCCGAGAACCACTTGTTATATTAAGAACCAATTCATTCCAAGAAGTGAGGTAGTGTGAGTGAAAGTTGTGTCCTTGTAATGTGTATTGTATATTGTACATATATGTGAAAAATGCAAATAAAAAACTGTTCCAAAAGAAATTTATATATATCGGATAAAGTAGGAAAGAGTTACTAATTAAATTAGATTGTAAACTTTAATATTTCTTGATATCAGTATCTTTGGAAATGATTTAACTTTCCTTTGGTCTGTGACAGGTCTAGGCAGTAAGCTGAAGCATGGTGGCACTTACTTCGTCACTGTAACAGCTATCAACAAGGTTGGACTGGAGGTATATGCCTTCTCTAACGAGATTGGAATCGACAGAACGCCGCCCGTGGCTGGTCTGGTGGTGGACCTCCACACCGTTTACCGGGTAGACGCCACCAGTACTGACAATACTGTAGCTTATAACAGGAAAGTCTGCACGACCACTGAAGGTAAGTATTGTAGGGTTCCATACTTTTGTTAATGAATAATGATACTTTGATAGGCGGTCAGCAACTGAATTGTATTGCTTACTTGCAAACCTCATGGGAGAAAAACCATGTGGCAAAATAAAAACAAAATCTTAAAAAAGGACTTAGGTGTGTACAATGACAAATTTGATAAATTATATCATAAAAAAGAACACAATTAAAACTGTCCTATGCCAAAAAGCAGTTATAGGGTGGGGTACTCAATAGATTTCAAATGTCAAAAACATTAGGATGGAAAAAATGGAAGTCTCCCTCAAAAATATAGAAAAAGTATGAAATTGTCATGTTAATTGATACTTCACATGCTGATTGATACATAACGCTATCATCATCCCTTTATTCTGATCCAGTGTAATCCTATTAATATCATCATCCCTTTATTCTGATCCAGTGTAATCCTTTTAATATAATCATCCCTTTATTCTGATCCAGTGTATTTCTATTAATATCATCACACCTTTATTCTGATCCAGTGTAATCCTATTAATATCATCATCCCTTTATTCTGATCCAGTGTAATCCTATTAATATCATCATCCCTTTATTGTGATACAGTGTAATCCTATTAATATCATCACCCCGTTATTCTGATACAGTGTAATCCTATTAATATCATCCCTTTATTCTGATCCAGTGTAATCCTATTTATATCATCACCCCTTTATTCTGATCCAGTGTAATCCTATTAATATCATCACCCCTTTATTCTGATCCAGTGTAATCCTTTTAATATCATCACCCCTTTATTCTGATACAGTGTAATCCTATTAATATCATCACCCCTTTATTGTGATCCAGTGTAATCCTATTAATATCATCACCCCTTTATTGTGATCCAGTGTAATCCTATTAATATCATCACCCCTTTATTCTGATACAGTGTAATCCTATTAATATCATCACCCCTTTATTCTGATCCAGTGTAATCCTATTAATATCATCACCCCTTTATTGTGATACAGTGTAATCCTATTAATATCATCACCCCTTTATTGTGATACAGTGTTATCCTATTAATATCATCACCCCTTTATTGTGATCCAGTGTAATCCTATTAATATCATCATCCCTTTATTGTGATCCAGAGTAATCCTTTTAATATCATCACCCCTTTATTGTGATCCAGTGTAATCCTATTAATATCATCACCCCTTTATTCTGATACAGTGTAATCCTATTAATATCATCACCCCTTTATTCTGATACAGTGTAATCCTATTAATAGCATCACCCCTTTATTCTGATCCAGTGTAATCCTATTAATATCATCACCATGTATGGTGGTACAGTGCATTCCACAAGTCACCACTACTTCATATAGAAATTTCTCAACCAGTTCAGTGACATCATTCCGGAAACTTCATCATTTGTTAACAGATTTTGATCAATCTTTATACAAAGGTCAAGTGTGTGCAAATACTTTGAATGAATCCTATACAGGAACGAACGATTAAGGTTACTGTTGCTATTTGTAGAAATTTCTCAAAAAATGACTTTAACTAATTCACCCCTGAAGACACTTTTGAACTCTTCTAATTCAAAGGTTGGAATAGTTCATTATGAAATTTCTGTGGTAAATGAGTGTATTTACTTTGCAGCATTTCCATCTATGTCTTGCAGACATTATCTAATTTAAGCTAGTGAATTGCGAATATAGTGTAATTGTTAAGAAATCTTGTGTTCAAAAACAATGACAGAGACCTACTGTGTTAAATGACCGTGGAGATGATCCTGTATGTATATTTTCTGTACAGACTGCCTGGCCCTGGATGCTGTTTGTACTGAGTCGCTGACATCACTGTCTGTCACCTGGCAACCATTTTCTGACCCTGAATCCAAAATTGTGAGGTAAGTAGAAGGAACAGTTAAAGGCATTTTACCTATGCTATTTGCTTTGTATTTTGACTGTCGGGCGTTCAGAAATTCATGTTGATTTCTAATACGTCGGAAAAGTGACTAGTACAAATATTTTAAAAATCTATGAGAGATACACAAACAAGAATTTGTGAAGTTTATAATTTATAAAGCAAGAAAGAGTTTATAATTTATAATTTATAAAACAATAGTTATAATTTCAAAATGAAATATGGTTTGTATTTACAGACACCAGATTGCCGTGGGTACGACCCCTGGTGGAGGTCAAGTGAAGCCTTTCTTTGATATACCTAACGAGGCCAAGCACTACACTGTCAGTGGCCTTAACCTGCTGAACCACACACAGGTATGCTACACCACATCGGTGTCACAGTTAGTATTTCTGGGTACATTAATTTGTGTTAAAGATTTGAAATACTTACAATACACATTATATATTATAAAGGTTTTCTTATTAATGATATCATATTTTAAAGCTTCCAATATTATTTTTGAGACAAAGCATTTGCAGAATTGTTCTGTTTTCCAACACATAAATGTAAGGAATTCTGCAGGCTTCCTTTTGTTTAAATGTAGAGCAAAAACTTTAGGTACTTGGTATGTTGAATTTGGAATTTTTAACAAATGCTATTTGTGAAGACACTTAATCTTTATTGCCATGTTTAGTCAGAGTTATAAGCCACTTGATGGATCTTTAACCCACAGCATTCTGGGAAATGTTGGTAGTGTGGGTACTAAGTTGGGTGTTTTAGAGGTGGCTTATACTGACCTGTATAAAGGTAGAGTGAACACAGTATGTTACAGTAGAATTGTCTTTATTACAGCTATTTGTGTCGGTGAAAGTCATCAATGGTGCAGGATTAACCACAGTAGCTACATCAAATGGCATCTACATGTCCTATCTCAGCCAGGGATTACCTCCCCTTGGTCCTGTGGCGGTCGTCGACACTGTGGAAAATTCCATCGGAGATGTGTATGTTTTTAAACATTTTCTGGTTATTTTGTAGGTCACCTGTAACAAAGCCCTATATGACTTATTGTAATTGGCTTTTGTCTGTTGTGGGTCCTTTAAATATACATTGTTTTAACTCTTTAACCCTTTCATCCCTATGCAACTGTAGTAGACTCTACCATGCATTGATCTGGATGAGTCCTTTATGGTCTACAGTGGTGAAAGGGTTAAACCCAAGGCACTGAACCAATTTAACTAAAATGTTAAGAAACCTTTCCATAAGAACATTGTGAATTGTGCAGACCTCACGCCCCCCGTACTCCCCACCTTTCCCCTGGGTCAACAGTTCAACAGGACATCTCTCAATGAAACTTTGTATACATGATCTTTTCTTCATGCAACTATGCACCTCATTCTTCTTCTGAATGGTATTAGTCTATTGTAACTAGAATTTAGTCATAAAGAGGTGTTGGGGATATCAATTAGCATGCAGTTTATAGATTCAATTACTGACAAATCATGAATTAATCTTTGTTGATAGGAATTTTCAGACAGATTTGGCAACTATCCGAGCAGAGTGGGATGTCAGTGGTGACCCGTGTCCCGTCCTTAGTTATCACTGGCAGATAGAACGGATAGACGGAGTAGTCATTATGTCATATCTGGACATGCAGAGTAAGTTAACAATTAATTCATTTTTTGGTTTTTTTATATCAAATTTCAAAGCACTTGAATTAATAAACTATAGTATGTCACCTTATGAATATATATGATAATATTTGTCTTACAAACTCTTCAAAAAAAATATTCAAAATGAGCATTGTTTATACAGATCAAATGTCACAATACTTCTATAATTGGATACTGACCAACTTCAACAATTTGAAGAATATTTTCTCTTAGATTTTCTGCTGTTCTGCTTGACTTATAGGTCAAAACAAAAACAAAACAAAAACATTTTCAAATAATTTGTGAATTATCTACAGCCCAGACAGTTGGTGTAAATGATGGACTACAAATGCAGGACAGAGAAATGTACTTCTCTAAAGTAAGGATCACCAATGCCCTCAATTACACCTACGTTATACGGTCTGACGGCGTCACCATTCAACAAGATCCTCTACTTCCGGGTAAAGTGTTCGACGGTGGCATCACTGGTTATGACCTGAACTTTTTACCGTCGAGGATTACCGTCGCCGCCAACTGGATGGGCTTTGGTCAGCCAGCTGACTCTCTCATACAAGTAGATGTTAAATCAGGTAATATGCAATATGTATAAAGTTATCCCAGTTCTGCATAAAACCTCAGATTATAATTTAGGCACTGCTATCACTCCTCAATTTACGCAACAAAATTTGACAGCTGGTATATTATGGAATTTGTCAGACAGAGTTTGTTCACTGCTAACATTCTATGTAATTCAATAAGAATAAGGTAACGTAATTTCTTGCGTATGACTCGTGGGTTATACATTTTTTACCTTGAAAAATGCCCTCTGCAGGCTTTCTAAAGAAGCGACCAATGTGACAAAATGTTTTCAAAAAGCCATAAAAACGGGGGCTATGCAGTATGTTTAAAATCCATTTTTTTTTTACATCTTCAAATATAAACAAAACACAACAAAACTTGAGAAATTCTCCAGATTTCTATCTTGAAATGTTAATTCATATTACGGCCCAGTATTACTGTATATCAGGAATTGTTCACTGCAGATTAGTTTTCGCCTTTTTATGGTCCACCAGACAATGATTTACTGTAACACTTTATTTTCTATACTACAGGTAACCCTGGTCTACAAGAAGGCAACGATTTAGAACAGGATCGCAATCAGCTTGTGTCCTTTTACGAGATTGCCATAGGAACGGATCGAAGATTTCCAAACACCCGAGACAATGTTGTACCGTTCACAAACGTCGGTCCAAATACAACTGTGACCTTGTACGACCTTGATCTTACCCCAGTGACGGCAGTGTATTATGTTACAGTGAGGGCAACTAGTACATCTTACTCTGAAGCTACCGTCACATCTAACGGCTTTAGAGTGGGATATGATAGCGCAATAATTCGTAAGTTGATAAACAGTTAATCTGAAAGACATTACGATTCCATCATAACTATAACTTTTAAATGAATTTTTATCCTTAAAAATAATTAGAGACATATTATGGTGTGGTACATTCTTAGTCCGGTAATAATATACCATTGCAACAAACCCTTCAGATTCCATCCAATTTCTATCAAAAGTGGTAAAATTCACCACCAACACTATATACAAATGATACCAAATCCTATCTGTAAATTTATAAAATTCAATCCCACATGCATGTTGCTATGATTTTGTGAGTTTGAACTCTCCCTTGCTAAGACAAGGATGAGCATATATATTTAAGCTTGATCCTGTTTGTATTTCTCCTGACATTATATATTTCTCTTGAACTTGACCTGTTTCTATGTTTTCTTATCCTAACCCAATTTCTTTCCATGACCTTGACCTGCATATTATTTGACCCTGTTTCTATTTCTCTTAACCTTGACCTATGTATTATTTGATCCTGATTCGATTAAATTCTCCTGAAATTGACCTTGTTCATATTTCTCTTGATCTTGCCTGTTTTAGCTGGGGAAATTGTGCTTGCAACATATGTAAGTACATACCAGTACCTGGATTCACAGTGGGAGGAATTCACATCAAATCTGGACATTCTCATGTACTACGTGGCCGTATCCAACAACTCTGATGCCAACAACACTGACTGTAAACTGTATGTAAGTAAAATGGTCAGCTCTCCATCATGTGTACCAACAAACTGTATGTAAGTAACATGGTCAGCTCTCCATCATGTGTACCAACAACACTGACTGTAAACTGTATGTAAGTAACATGGTCAGCTCTCCATCATGTGTACCAACAACACTGACTGTAAACTGTCTGTATGTTTAATGGTCAGCTCTCCATCATGTGTACCAACAACACTGACTGTAAACTGTATGAAAGTAAAATGGTCAGCTTTTCATCATGTGTACCAACAACACTGACTGTAAACTGTATGTAAGTAAAATGGTCAGCTCTCCATCATGTGTACCAACAACACTGACTGTAAACTGTATGTAAGTAACACGGTCATGAGCTTACTATTTCCGCTGTGTGTAAATTACATGTTCATTTTGTAAAACAGTGGGGTGTTCTTAGATACTTATTTACATGTCACCTCAGATTACATTTCTGTGATTTTGTGACCTATTTTGTAATGCCAGTGATATGATGTTGGTTGTAGATTGAGGGAGGAAGGGCCACAGAGCAGGTGAAGCTACAGCTGTTTACAGAGTTTAATGTGACCAACTTAGGCAAAAATTCCTTCACGAAGATACAGCCCCTAAACCTGACGCAGGGCGAATCCTACTTCCTCTTCGTCATGGGTGAGTTATTGTCATGATATGGTGCAAGGCATACAATATACGTAATATCCATGCATGCAGGCATGTTTACATTATAATTTCTTGCTTGGTTTATGTTAGACAGTATCTATACCACCAATATAATACTGTTATCAAGTAATTAAACAAAAACAAATCTGCCACGAAACATTGGTACAGTGACATATGTATTCTTTGCCAAACCCTACCCCTGGTAAAAAAAAAACAGCACAACAAACATACTGATTGTTCACAACGCACAAACGATGCCATTAACTCATATTTCACCATCATGATTACAAAACAATCAACTTTACAAATCTTACAATCATTTTTTGAACCATCTGAACTGACAATCCTAACTCAAAACATAAATCAAAGTCTGCATTTCCTTGATACATGTATACAAAATATTAATTCAATATTAAAACGGTTTTATAAACTTGATAAAAAAAATGATAAAATTGATCTGACCAGCTCTCACTTGTGTGTTGCCTGAAATGCCCCGGCAGCCACATATACCTCAGGCTACCGCCACCTGGTGGTCAGCCTGGCAGAGAAAGTAATTTTTCACGCTAATTCCGGTGTCAACCATGCAAAACATGATATATTTTGAATTGATGTTCTGCTTTATAAATGTGTATGATTCAACTTTGGGCTAGGATAAAGAAACTTTCATGTTTCTATTGTGGTGGCAAAGCGGTCAAAATACATGGTAGGTTGTTTGAGGGAAAGAAGACAAAATGAATGCATATCCCACTTATTTACCAACCTCTGGTGCCCTTATGAAAAAAAATATGCTAATTATACTGTTTCTGTTTTTGTGAAATTTCTTTGTATTATTGTACTGTTAGTGTTTTGTGAGTTGTCTATGTGTTATTGTACTATTACCGGTTTTATGAGGTTTATTAGCTCACCTGGCACGAAGTGCCAAGTGAGCTTATGCCGTGGCGCGGCGTCCGTCGTCCGTCCGTCCTCGTCCGTCAACTTTTCCTTTAAACAACTTCTTCTGAAGAACGGACAGGCCGAGAGTCATGATATTTGGCTGAAAGCTTCGTTGGTAGGAGCCCTACAAAGTTTGAGAATGAAAATGACCTTGACCTTCTTTCAAGGTCACAGGGGTCAAATGTGTCAAACACTTCAAACGACTTCTTCTGAAGAACTGAAAGGTATATAATCTTTATATTTGGCTGGTGGCTTCCTGGGATAGAGCCCAACAAAGTTTGAGAATGAAAACTAGTTTGACCTACTTTCAAGGTCACAGGGGTCATATATGTCAAAAGCTTCAAATGACTTCTCCTGAAGAACTGAAAGGTATAGAATCTTTATTTTTGATTGAGGTCTTCCATGGATAGAGCCCGACAAAGTTTGAGAATGAAAATGACCTTGACCTTCTTTCAAGGTCACATGAGTCAAATGTGTCAGACACTTCAAACGACTTCTTCTGAAGTACTGAAAGGTATATAATCTCTATATTTGGCTTGTAGCTTCCGAGGAAAGAGCAGAACAAAGTTTGAGAATGAAAATGACCTTGACCTCCTTTCAAGGTCACAGCATTCGAATATGTCAAACAGTTCAAACAGCTTTTTCTGAAGAATTAAAAGGCATAAAATTATAATATTTGGCTGGTGACTTCCTGGGATAGAGCTCACCAAAGTTTGCAAATGAAAATGACCTCAACCTACTTTAGAGGTCAAAGAGGTCAACAACATTTTAATGGATTTGTTTTTGAGAACTAAAAGGAATGGATTCATAAGATTTGGCTGGTAGCTTTTTGGAATAGAGCTAACCAATTTGAGAAGGAAAATGACATTGACCTACTTACAAGATCACAGGGAAAAATATGTCAGCAACTTCTGAAGAAGAATCAAAAAGCATAGAATCTTATCATAATATTTTGCTGGTAGTTTCAACAGATGGAGCCAACAAAGTTTGCGAGGGAAATATTTTTAGTGCAATATAATATTTAATGAGAATATTTTGCTATGACTGCTTAAATATTCAGGTGAGCGATACAGGCCCTCTTGGACCTCTTGTTTTACATCTCTGTTACAGCCACTGACAAATCTGGGCAGTGTGCTATGACTATGACGGAGTTCACTACAGATACGACACCTCCAACCATAGGGCGCATGAAGGCTGGCATATTCTATGATATGGTAATTGTTTTTACTTGTGTGATGTCTCATTATCCCTGCAGCCATTTGATTTTGCAGCTTAATTTCACATTTCATTTGATTAATGAATTGCAAAAAAAAAAAAATTACATGAAAACAATGTTATTTTTTCACCTAAAATCATATTTCCTCTGGATAAATAAAGAGAATAAATTCAAAATAATTTAAGACTGTAAAAATCAGAGATCTTATTTAGACAATATAATATTACTATTAAATTGTTAATGATATTGAAACCTCTGTGTCATATGTAATCAGGGTTGTTATTTCTCCATTAGATATTGTATATATCATGTAACAGTTTTATTGAAACATTTGTTATAATTCTTTATTTCTTTAACGAGAATTGCATACAGCCCGGAGGCTACTTGATGCTTTCCTTGAAACATTTGACCACATGAAGAAGAAAACTCACATATGTCTGAACAGAAATGAATATAAAATGTTACATGTATTATGTTACTAGTACTTTTGCGATGGATATGAGAAACAGAAACTTAAACTTGTTCTGTCATTCTAGCCTGTGTCTTACACAAATGACAACAAATCAATCACGGTGGAGTGGGAAGGTTTTGAGGATCCCGAGTCGAACATCACCAGTTACTCCCTGGCATTGTACAAGTATGCCTCCTGTACAGTCACAGATAACACAGAAATTCTCGTCATGGATTGGATAGCGCTCTCCAAAAATAATTCAGAATTTACTCTCGTAGACCTGGAGCTAAAGGTTAGTACAAATGTATGTCCTAAAATTTCCCCGAATTTTCTACTGTAGGGTTTCCATGACTTTTTGAGCTAATCTGAATTCAACAACTGACCCAAGGACACATAATTATAGAATTTATGTCTGAAGGGGAAGTGTTGCTAGCCTGTATATCATGATTTATACTGTATATGATATTTCTCCGCAGCCTAACATCCCATACCTGGTGAAGTTGAAGGTCACTAATGGTGCTGGTCTGTCTGTTACGATCAGCAGCCCGCCGTGTTTGTATGACAAATCTGTCCCTACATCAGGGAGAGTGTCGGATGGACTCGACTTCCAGTTTGATGGCGTCTGGTTTGATAGAAAGACTTCAATGACAGGTCTGTAGTTTTGGCTAAAGTCACAAAGTCAGGGTTGTCCTTCTTATAATTAAACTAGAGAAAATAGCATTATTAGGAGTAAAGTATAAGTAATATGAAATGCACACAAATTGAGCAACAGAATTCTGTTTAAACCTAGTTGGCTGACTTTAGATATTGTCTATTGTGTAAGATAATGGTGTGTTGCACTGTAGAAAGTTCTCAAGGAAATCTGACACCCAAAGAGAGTTCACCTCAAATCATTTCTGATGCTGCTAGAATATTAATATGGTCTGTTCTGTGTTGTTATGCATATATTTCATATATCCATTAAATACGTGAGATCATCGTTTGTATCCTATCCAGGTTCCTTCCTACACCTTGCCAGTCCTAGCGCCTTGAATTGTCCGCTACGCGAAATAGGCGTGGCCTCTGCCGCGGGATGGTATAAAATGGAACAGAATGGATTCAAGGATCCGACTTGTGTGGAGTGGAGTTTGTCTCAGAAGGCTGGCTATGTCATCAAGGACGTGTTTGACGATATTGTTACCCTAAAAGTGGCCAGGGATTCCAAAGAAGAAAAGGTCAACGCTGGTATCTACTACAGGAGTGCTGATATGGAAAATGGAGGGGAATATCAGGTCAGTGGAAGTCAAAGATGATAAATTTAAAGTGTCAGGCCACTCAAGATAATACAAATGTTAACAGCCACTGTCAATCTGGGTACCTCCCATTGTCAAGCAAGTGTTTAACCCTTTCACCACTATAGACCATCACGTCTCATCCAGAAGAATGTATGGTAGAGTCTACTGAAGTTACCTAGGGGTGAAAGGGTTAAGGGAATGTATAGACCACACCCTCCTAGTGTGTAAGCCTGCTTGAACTTTCCTGATCGTATGTAACCATATATGTATGTCATCCCTTGATTGTTAAGTGTCCTTAGGATCCCTGTACCACTTCCAAAAACTGTGACTAAGTATTGGTATATATAGCTTCGCTAAATAATTTCTGAAAAGAAAATCATACCTTGTAGGACGTTTTGAGTAATAATAGAGATGAAATAAACAAAATACAATCAACAACTGAGTGTAAAATGTCAGCGGGGCTGGACTTGGATTCCAACCCTGGACCTTAGCTTGTTATACTAACACTCACACTGATTGAGCAACCAGGTCAACAGAAGTGTCCTGACCCTTATATCCAAACAGAAGTTAAGGGGAGGTTACTATATATAGAAAAAAAGACACAATGCATTGGGGCAGGGACCCTAAGGAGGGACTGTAAAGAAAATTTGAAAGTGTATGATTGACTATAGAACATTTCCATATTTATTTTTGACCACGGAACGAAAATGTCCTTCAAAAAAGTCTCTAACAGTGCCTTTGAGTGCTAAGAAACAGTAAAACCTTTCTTTAGCCAAATTGTAGCATTAGTAAGAAATTTGAAAATACATTGAGGGGAAGGCATAAAGGAATTGTTAAAAAAAGGAGGGGGAGGGGAGGTTGAAATATGTTTCTGGTGAAAACCAGTAAGATATGTGATGTGTGTTATAGGTGATTTACTTTACCGAACTTTTAACATACAATGGTATGTGTTGTTTAGGTGATGCTGAAGGCAGCTGGAGGTGGTGGTAAGGCTGTGACGGAGATCCTGTTCTGGGACGGACCAGTCGGTCAGATAGCCACACTGGATTACTATGAGGAACCAGACTGGACAACAGGACTGTGCTCTTGTTGTCTTATTGATCCTCCTCCAGCGGTAAGACATACAACACCATTACTGCATCCCGAGGGAAATTACACACACTGTTTGTACTAGTATGTTCATATAGATTTGGAGACAATCATTTCGAACTTTGTTCAAGGTGTGATCTAGAGGTATTTATGTAACAGAGGACATTTTTTTAATGCCTTCATTAGGAGTCGAATCTGGAACCTCTGGTTTACTAGTCTTACGCTCTACCAAATGAGCTACAGAGAAATTTTCCCAAGTCAAGTCTGTAGGAAGCAGTTAGTATTCTACAATGGTGACATGTATGTGTGGCAGATTTGGGTGTCTGATCTAGAAATGTGTTGGAAAGATATAGATCTGACAGATTGCAAGTAAATGTATCATGTAGACTACTGCTATAAGGTTTGAAGGTTCTGGGTTTGATCACTGAGGTATGGTGTATCTCTTCTATGCTCTTGTTATGAGCAGGATCGTGTTATATGCGGAACTTATAAGTGATTATCTCCCCTTGTACATAACTTATAAGTGATTATCTCCCCTTGTACACGACTTATACCTGACTATCTCCCCTTGTACATAACTTATAAGTGATAATCTCCCTATGTACATAACTTTTGACTGATTATCTCCCCTTATACATAACCTATACTTGATTATCTCCCCATGTACACGACTTATACCTGATTATCTCCCCTTGTACATAACTGATACCTGATTATCTCCCAACGTACATAACTTATAATTGATTATCTCCCCTTGTAGGACTGTACCTGTGATTGTCCCTACTACCTACAACAGAACAATCTGACCGCAGTCCCCGCGGCCAGTGTAATCACCACCACTCTAGCCCCTACAACAACTATCATAACCACAAGCTCTGCCTACGCCGTCATCGACAGTGACACTGCTGTGGATGGTACTAATGCAGTAGACACCAGTTGTCCCCTTACGCAAAGGTCATGTGCAGTACAGGTTCACACCGAGGACCAAGGTATGTCACATTTGTCATGATACAGAGGTTTCGGGGGGTACAGGTTCACACCGAGGACTAAGGTATGTCACATTTGTCATGATACAGAGGGTTTGTGGGGTACAGGATCACACCGAGGACCAAGGAATGTCTCATTTGTCATGATACAGAGGTTTCGTGGGGTACAGGTTCACACCGAGGACTAAGGTATGTCACATTTGTCATGATACAGAGGTTTTGTGGTGTACAGGTTCACACCGAGGACCAAGGTATGTCTCATTTGTCATGATACAGAGGTTTTGTGGGGTACAGGCTCGCACCGAGGACCAAGATGGTGCACATAACACGGAGGTTATTTGTATGTAGGTTCATCACAAAAACAAAAGTACAAAATGTTGGTCCTGACGTACAAAGTCAAGTGAGTTAGGAAGTAGTCAAGATATTTTGTCTGACGTAAACAACTTGATGTTGCTAACCACTGATTTTTGACTAGAAACCATTAAGCTATATATAAAAACATGCACTAGACATCACTTCCTGCCATCTGTAAATGTTACAAGCACTAAACAATACTTGCTTGTAGCCGTACTTCTGACAAGCTTCTAGACAACATTGAATGGTACCTGAATCGTCAAATAACACCAAACTATTGTTTTCAGCAAGAGGATTTAAAAACCAACTTGTAATCTGGTGTCGAGACTTCAATAATACGGATCAGCTAAGCAAGACACAATTTGATCTGACCTTTAACCCCTCCACCAGCTACCATACCTATCAAGTGAACTTTGAGGGTGTTAAAGAGGAAGCTGTGTCGGTAAGGACCTTTTTTAGAGTATTCTGTAACATATGTATTCAGTTGACAATAGTGGTAAATTTAATGACATCATACAAGATCATTTTGAAAATTAAATTCAAACAAAATATTTGGAACAAATAGAAGGATTACTCTTGGTCAAACCTGTCTTAAATGTGCATTTCTGGTTCTCCTGTTAATGCTAGCCATGATGTCAGCTGTTTAAGACAGGTGGTTGCTCAATTTCAGTTCCATTTACATTAACAAATTTACATTGACCAAAATTTAAGTAGTTATTCCAAATTAAATAATATGCCAATGTTGTACAACAACTTTTGTATTATTATCACGTGTATACGTGTATTATTTTCACGTGTATTATTAATATTTATCATTTTAGTAATACAAAAAAATGCACATGAATTATCCCAATACATGTACTCTTAACATCAGTAATATAATTGCAAGTTTGCCTTAAAGTTACAGATAATTTAGTTCATTACAAGATGTTAAAACAGAGAACTGTTCGATGGTTATGACAGCTGTAAGTCAAGTAATGTAAAACCAGTGACAGTTAAAATTGTCCCTCAAAATTAACATTGTTTGTTTACATTTCAAATAACTACCTTCTTGTTCAAATTATTTCTTGCTTCTGAAATTTTAAATTCTTTCTCTTTGACCAACAGACCCAGTGGTGTATGCGTGTGTTTGTGGACTCGGAGTATATGACAGAGCTGTGTGGTATCCCAGAATTCTCTGTCGACACACAATTGGTTTTCCATGTGTACAACAAGAACAACTATGTCCCACCAATAGTCTCGACCTTTGAACCCTGGTCCGCCAAAGCTTACATCAAGGACCTCATTATGCCTCCAGAAACTGGTTCCCTCTGTCGCTACGGAATCCCATTCAGGGGGGCAACCGACCCGATTCTTCGCTACGAGGCTGGCGTAGGAACAACCAAACTGGGCACTGAAGCAGAACCATTCAGCGTGGTATGGTGTTGCATTGGTTCTTGCCTGTTTTAAAATGATACATTAATTCAATATTCTGTCAATAGACCTTTACTTATATGTACTTCAAATTGCATTGACTGACATAGTATTTTGATTATGACATCAATACTAGATTTAGACATCTTTCCTTTGATGCCCCTTAAACCCTATAGCAAGGTCAACATAAATTGAATTAATATGAGGTGCAATCAACATGATCAAATTGTTATAGAACTTTTGGTTTTTGATGTCTAGATATGATAGTATTCTGGTATTTGGGCAAACAGCGGTGTACTATCTAAGCTCAGCTTCAACGATTGGCCTGGTATGATTCCCAAAAACTATTATTATATCTAATGAATAAAAGCACTATAACAATGTTAAAACTGTCTGTAGTGAATACCCGACAGTTTAATTAACCTTATAAAATTAATTGATTACACTTTATTGATACTTTGTAATAATTCTTGAATACAAATCAATACTTTATACTATTTATTGAATACAGAGTGATTATTTTTACTACTTTTTGAATACATATTGATACATTGAAATACTTATTGAATACAAATTGATACATTGTAATACTTATTGAATACAAATTGATACATTGTAATACTTATTGAATACAGATTGACACGCCTTGCATCCCCTGCTTTGGTGAGTGTTCACGGTACAACTGTGATCCCACCTGTAACCCTGAGGATCATACACTCAAAACCTTCACTCTCACCAACCTCACCCTGGAACCTAAGTTGTATGTCCTAAATGAGACAGGACATGGCCGACTAGAGGATGTCACCTACTATCTCACAGGTTATAATTGTTTTTTAAAAATCGCAGGTATATTAGCATACAATTGTATATAGCTTATCTTCCCAACTAAAAAGTTTTTAACTTCTGACCTTTGAAAACAAGTTTGTACAGTTGTTTTGATATTCCATAATATTACATTATATTCCCATAACTTGACACTAACTTTCATCTTGAGCCTAAAGGAGGGGCTAGTTAATGAACTGTAACTGTGAAGTGAAATCTACCTGTTTGTACAAAAGAGCTGTACTAATATTCACGGATTCACTGTAGCTACAAACACTATGAATGTCAACATGTAAAGAGAAAATTAGGTGACCCTCAATATTTTGTACTAGTCTGTAACAACAGTACAAAGGGTTTCATATTTTTAGGTCACCTGAGACAAAGTCTCAAGTGACCTATTGCGATCGCCTTTTGTCCGTCGTCGTCCGTCGTGCGTCCGTAAACAATTTACATTTTCGACTTCTTCTCCAAAACCCCTGAACCAATTTCAATGAAATTTTGCAGGGACCTTCCATGGACAAAGGTCAACAAAAAT